AACAAGATTGAAAACGAATTAATATTGACACTTTTCGTTCATTTCCCTGTCTTCACATTAAATTCCCTGTATTGCACAAATTGTATTTTCAGTAACAGTAATGTGTTGGAAATTAAGATAATCATTTTTTTTCATTAAACCCAGCTTACTCGTAGTATTACGTTCAATAGGCCTGGTTTCTGCCCCGTACAACCTCAGCTTTGAGAAATATGTTTCACTGTAAAATGTTGCAACGAGTCTCATCAGCTAATCGGCCGAAATCCTGAAACTGTCACCATCATTCAGCAAATACATTTAGCTGGATTTTTCCTCAAACGATTTGAATTCCTCTCACATCACGGTATAATGTTATGTTAATTGGTTACGTGTTGTTATATTAATTGGTCACGTGTAATTAACTTTTTGATAAGTCATAGGTAAATGAGATGATACATCTGTTGAAACAAATTTACATTCATCACAAAAACACGAACACATGAAGCCAAAGCGCCACGCCTACCATACTACACATTTCTTTCTTTCATAATAAATCCTATGCATACTAAAATGCCTTTTGCTGTCTGGTTTATCATTGGTTTGCAAAAACAACAACATGATACACGTTAAACAACACTATTTGTTGTCATGGCATGAGTGTAAATGAAAGTTATTGTTTTTCATCATTTCACCAGGAATACATGAATGAGCGGGTGAATGTTGTTTAACGCCGCAGCCAGATATCTTCCGTTATGTGACTGGGGTCTCTGAATAAACGCTTGTAGACAGTGTTCGAATTAGACAGAGGCCGACAGATTTGTTCTGGGGCTGATAGTTTTAAATTTCAGCAGGCCCTTTCAGCCTGCAGTTTATTAAAGTACTTATTTATTAAGCATTATTTAAGTAATGTGATAACCATAACCTTCATACTTATAAACAGTAGGATAAGACCTTACAAATGACCTGTCGTCGCAAAGATTTTTACAAGCTGATAATGTCCTAATAAATGTAGCCTTACACCTCTCACCATCGAGTCTCTGGGAACTCAGTGTGATAGCAGTAAAAGCTTCTGTTTGACTGGTTGTGTTTGGCAATTTATATTGCAAGAGTATGTCTCCTTGCTTCAGCTAAAATGTTTGGGCCTACGGGTTTTTTTTTCCACTAGGCCTACAGTTTTGTAAATGTGCTGCCCCTAAAGGCTCTCCGTTTACTCTGCTGAGTTTGACACTGCTTGTAGACCAGCAAACCAGTGTAAGAAAGAATGCGCGAAGTCCACGCCATGAATCTAGGCACGAGACACCAGATCCTCTTATGGCAAGCGGTGCACGGGTGGAACAGTCGTTTGTCTAATGCTTGCAGAGTTGCGTCCCTTAGGCATAACAGACACCTATGCTCGTTGGTTCGAATCCCGGTTTACCCTGATTATGTTTCGACGTTTGTCAGCACCATATCCTGGCTAGTACGATACTCCTGCATATGTTTGGACTTTCCTCCAACATGAAGCTGACACGCCGTATAAAAGTGAAACACTACCAAAGAACGGTTAAGCCTAACACACTGTACTCTAACAGCAAGCGACTCTTACCCGAAAAGGTTGAAGCTGCGTGCCTTAGTTTGACCAGGACTTAAGTCAGGGTGTGCTTTCCGTCCTGATGTCACCTTACTTGATTCTGTACACATGGACCGTCTGGCTGTTCTACCCTGTTCATTTCGGAGCCGATTTCAACCCATTGAAGCACCAGGCCACATTCTAAGCTGTGCAATCAGTGAGTTAACGGGGCTTTGAACAATACGTCAGTCATATCACGGGGTGTCATTTTAATGTTGGAAGGAGGTCCATGAGATCAGATTCGCCCTGTATTCTTGGTTTGCGTGCACTCATCCTCTTTTCGTCACTTTGAACTTTCCTCCCACATCAAGCTGATACGTTGTGATGTAGCAGCGTTAAACGCAAATCACGCTCTCATTCCTTTAATATTTAAGCCCACGTGGATTCCGAGATGGAATTGGTCCCAGCAGCCTACGCTTGTCGTGGGTGGCAACGCAAAGGATCAGTGGCCAGGCTTGGTGACTGCAGTGACCGTACCGTGGTGACGTTGTTCATAAGATTAATCACTGGATTGTCTGGACTCGATTATTTGGGGTCTTCTGTGATGTAGCTGAATACTGCGTTGAACAAACATACAAACTAACTCGGTTGTCAGTCATCATCTAGCTACCCACCTGTTAGGGTTGTACACCTGAGGGGCGAGACACAGATCAGGCAGTCACCTGGTCACCCATAATGTACTTCCTTGCAGGGGCGGTCGGGTAGCCTAGTGGTTAAAGCGTTCGCTCGTCACGCTGAAGACCGGGTTCGATTCCCGACATGGGTGCAATGTGTGAAGCCCATTTCTGGTGTCCCCCGCCGTGATATGGCGGGAATATTGCCAAAAGCGGTGTAAAACCATACTCCCTCACTTCCTTGCGATTTCCTTGTGACCATGTGATAGTATGATTTAAGGTTCACTTAATGATGCTTACTGCATTACCTGTAATTACTCTGAATTATTGGATTCAATCCACTAGTCCTCTGAACACCAAAATTCTGCATTAAATTTACAAAGTGAGTAAGTGAGTGAGTGTGGTTATATAATCTCACCCTCGTCTCATGGTAAATGTTAAACTTTCATGTATATATATTTAAACTTTTACAGACTTGTGTTGACATACTTGATCTCAGTGAGTGAGTGAGTATGGTTTTATGCCACCTTATATTCCAGCAATATCACAGCCGGGGACACCAGAAATGGGCTTCGAACTTTGTACCCATGTCGGGAATCAAACCAGGGTCTTTGGCATGACGAGCAAACACTTTAACAACTGGGCTACCCAAATGCTCCTAAACAACAAAGGGGGGCCCCATTCGTCTAAAGCACTGCAAATCACTGTGCAGAATTGCATCCCTTGGGCACCCAGAAACCTAAGATTGTGGGTTAAAATCCCGGTTCATCCCGATTGTGTTTCTAGGTTTGTCAGCACCATACCAGTGCTGGTGGGTTTCACCGAAGTGGTAAATGTCTGAGACCTGCATCACTTCGGGCTTTCCTCCCACATTAAGCTGACAGCCGTGATATAACTGGAAGAATGTTAAAGCGGCGTTAAACCCAACTCACTCATTTACTAAACAAACAAACAAAATCTCCTCTACTCTCGAATTCGCGTCTTTGACAGGGTGCAGATTCAATTTAAGAAAACCAACAAAAATGAACAGATACATTTTATTCCCGCTTTCACCGATTGTGCGTACAACCATAGCTGCCATCATAAACATCATGAAATACTGCTGCATAAGAACCAACACCACCAAACTTACTTGATTGTCAATAGTATTCAATGTCATCAAGAATAAATGAATAATGACATACACTAAAACACATCATATAAAAATACTGATCTCCCTGGGAACTAAGGTAAATGCTTTTTGGGAAACAAGTTCACAAACTAAACAGATCTTGAAAGGCAGAACACATGTGCAAGTATTAGGGCTGGGACGGGTAACTTGGTCCTACTCAATACCCGCCCGACCCGGGTACCCACAGGACTAGCCGGACCCGTGGTTCGTCACGTAAAATATTGTTTAATGACCAAAATTATCTAGAACTCTATGGTTACACTACAAGTCACTAATGTTTGCATTTCTTTCTGACAATGCACCCATTCCTTCTGTTTTTTCATTTGGTTGAATAAAGATATCACCTAATTCAACTTCAGTGTATGAATGACCAGATTGTTTAAAACATGTATCTTAATACGTTTTGCAAGGACTATGCCAAAAATGTTCCCATTCGGACATTTTGAGACATCTCATGAGACCTACAGTGGGTACCCGGGTAGGGTCGGGTAATAGCGGGGTGGGTACCTGGGTAGTAAATTTAGACTCGTCCCAGCCCTAGCGAGTATTTCCAGTTATATCAGCGTGTCGGCCAATGTGGGAGTAAACCCCAGTATGTAGCCCATGATCTCATACCTTCACAGACTATAGAAGATAAATGTGTTTTCAGATTTTTAGCTTTTCTTGAGTACACAATACGCATTTAGAATCATTAAAGAATTCTACATGACTTTTTCAAACAGTAATCACATTATTGAAAGGTTATTGGTAACTTCCCCAAGCACTATTTTTCAATGTTTTCTCAAAAAGCCAAGACAAAACATGACATCGCTGTGGAATGATATGACATTACCAATAAATGGCTGCTGTTTGCATGAAGGCCAACCAGAATGCACTGAAGCATACTTCTTCTGTTGACCATAAAGCAAAGGGAATTAGTTATGATATGAATATGATATTCAGTTTGTCCTACTGAATACCATGTTTTTCAAATTTGAGACTGAAAAACAAGGAACAGTATTTTTAAAGAAAGCCATTCTTATACCATGAAAAAAGTGCAAAGGCTTCCAGAGATTTATATCATATCTTGTCTATGTAGCTTGCCCAACACCAAGGGCGGATCCAGCATTTTTAAAATGGAGGGGTCCAAAATATCAAAATCCTCTCTCAGATAATTTTATTGTGAATTATAGCTAAAATGGATAGAATTAACATTAAACCACCCACATGTTATCAGAAATCAGCAGGCCAGTGTAACTTGATAATGCCCTCATATTGCCTGACGACAGGCCATTATCACTCCCGTTGTTAGGTGACGTCATAGGATGGGGATAGGTGACGTCACGTTCAATAGTGACGTCATCTGGTTTGTTCTATGACGTTTCCATATTTGTTGGTCAGTGACATTCGTGTTGATTGCAGTAAATGTTTCAAAACCGGTATTGTTGTTTCTTTTTATTTGATAACAAATTCCATCCATTTAAGATATAATAACGGTAACGCTATTTTTCAGGGCATTATCATTAGCAGAAGCCCTCAGTCTTTTCAACTGCTCTCCTTCGTCGGGCAGTTATTGGAAGACCTTGGGCTTCTGCAAATGCTAATGCCCTGAAAAATAGCGTTACCCTAATAGTAACATTCAAAAGGGGGTTGGGGGGTGGGGTGGGGGGGGGAGAGTCGAACAAGACCACACACACACAGCCTCTGGATCCGCCTATGCACACACCATGATTTACACTACATTATCAGCATCAGATCCACCTCCTTATTGCCTCCTCTCTGCCTCCGGTGTGTCAGGCTGATTGTGAGCATCAGCAGCCTTGAAGGCAGGAAGCTGCACCAGTTCTGCATGAATCCTCGCGATGGTAGGATAGCAGCTCATGTCAACACTGAACCTGGAACATCAGGAGGTCAGTGTAAAGCTGGGCCCATCCCTGGATGCCGTTGTTCAAAGGGATCTTAGTGCTGAGGTGATCGTAACACCCATACTTTAACATAGGCTTACGATCATCGTAGCGCTAAGGTTGTTTTGTACAATGGCACCCTGGTCTTACCTTGAAACTCACTGCTTCAAATGGTACCCCATCATTGAGCTACCAACCTGTTAGTATTGTACAGCTATGAGTGAGTTGGCCTCACTGCCTTGAAGTTGTATCTCAGTATGTCAGCTTAATGTTAAGGAAAGCCCCCAGTGGCGCAGGTAGAAGAGGATAAAACCAGGGCTATAGATAAGCTTTTGGTTACCCAGGGGTTTGATTTTCAATGGGTATCCACAATTTTTAGAGGGTATTCAATTTTTTTTACTCACCTGTTTCTTCACATTTGAATAATTTAACTTGAAAATATTTTTCGTAACAATTTCCTTAAAACTAAGTGAATAGTATTATACACATCTGCCATTGCTTGCGGCTCCCTCTCCGACAAGCCATGTTTGAAAAATCTTGCACTGCGAGAAAGGAACTATTTCTTCAATCACCAAGCAGTGACTGTTTAAGATACAACATGTATATATACAACATTGACTGGGCACGATGTGCTTTTCATGATTGGCATCTATCACTAATATCAGTATGTTTGTCGCACAAGCTTTTCCAAATGTAACTGTTGGTAAGTGAATTTCATGATCGGCTGATACAAAATCATTTTTTCTAACAGTTGTGATATACGCAATTGTTTTATCTAATATTTGTAATATACACATTAAATTTATAGTTTTTGTTGTGTATTTAATACACTAGGATTTGATTTGTCTGCATACTTCAGTTTACTTAATGCGTACTTTATGCAAATACACAGCTTATCTGGAGCTCTGTGAAACTACAGGAACTGTTTCATCCGAGACAAGCCAGGAAAAGTAATCTGGGTACATGCATGTAAACCCATGATCAAGTGATCCTGGCATGGTCTGGTTACATCACTATGCACAGCCAACTACAGAGACTTAACCATCATCTAGCTACCCACCTGTTGGCGTTGTACACCTGTGGGACTAGAAACAGGTCAGGTAGAGTCACCTGGTCACCTATACTGTACTTCCCCGCTGTTTCCTTGATGACCTGCTCCAGAGCTGGAACAAATACAGTTGGATGATATGCTTTACCTTTCACCTGATGGTGTTTACAGTATTATCATCAATAACTCTGAATTTTTGGATTCGTGTGTGATATACATACTCGATTGAAATGAAGAGGGTATCTGTGAAAACGTACACTTCAAAGGGGCATAACTCCAGACATACACGAACACTTCAGATGAACTGTTTACTACATAGCAGAGTAAAGGGGCATAACTCCAGACATACACGAACACTTCAGATGAACTGTTTACGACACAGCAGAGTAAAGGGGCATAACTCCAGACATACACGAACACTTCAGATGAACTGTTTACGACATAGCAGAGTAAAGGGGCATAACTCCAGACATACAAGAACACTTCAGATGAACTGTTTACGACATAGCAGAGTAAAGGGGCATAACTCCAGACATACACGAACACTTCAGATGAACTGTTTACGACATAGCAGAGTAAAGGGGCATAACTCCAGACATACACGAACACTTCAGATGAACTGTTTACGACATAGCAGAGTAAAGGGGCATAACTCCAGACATACTTGATTAAGTCAACATCCAAGTCAATAAATGATTGAAGGAACTTCTAAAGGCCATTATATACAAAGAACAACAAAGATATAACAGTGCAAACAGTACATACAAGCATATCACATCTTGGCTGTGATGCAGACTCTTGACTACATGCGACACTGAATGTATTCATAAAGACTAGTGAACATTTGTACACAGCTACCTCTAAATATATTTCACTAGGTCTCTAAATACCCAAATTCTGCTTTAAGATGCCTAAGAACAGACATTTCGAAATTATAATGTTTTTAGAAGAAGAAAAAGATTTATAGTGTCTTATGTTCTTAATGAAACCTTTCACATCTGAATAGGATTGAAAGCAATCAGTGGACAGCTACAAAACAACAGGCATAAAAGCTAAAATGGATAGAATTATCATTAAACCGCCCGCATGTTATCAGAAATGAGCGGGCCACTGTAACTTGATAATGCCCTCATATTGCTTGACGAAAAAGTGGGTCAGTGACATTCGTTGTGTGTTGATTGCAGTAATTGTTTCAAAAACGATATTGTTGTATATTTTTATTTCTTAACAAATTCTATCCAGTTTATCCATAATAACAGTAAAGCTATTTTTCAGGACATTATCATTTGCAGAAGTCCTCAGTCTTTCCAACTGCCCTCCTTCGTTGGGCAGTTAATGGAAGACCTCGGCTTCTGCAAATGACAATGCCCTGAAAAATAGCGTTACCCTTATATTATCCGTTTACTAGTACCGCAAACTGTTAGCTGGCCTCGGGGTAGGTGTCACATGCTGCTATCAAACTCCCAGTTACCTTACCCCACTATCACATGTACCAATGCAACACTGAAGTTGGATGAAAATCATGACCCAATTAAAAAGCATTCAAATATCTCAGCATGGGTTTTTACCATCAAAGCCTTTCTCAATCCACTTTTTGGCCCATTCCAACTTCTTGGCATCTCCTATTGCCTGCAGCACTTGTAGATTCTGCAGTGGCTGTATCCCACAATTCACTATTTCTGCAAGTGCCCTCGCCTAGGATTCAAGCACCTGTTCAATATCTTACAAGCATGCTTATTTCACGTCAAAGGGCTGGTGTGAGCCTTGTGAACATTGTGTTTATGTAAACAGTGTATTACTGAACTGCAAGAAATATCTGGATCATAAACTTTGATCAGCCTGATTTAAAATGGCCATGACAGACGATTGGATATCATAAAAATTATCTCAATACATATTTTGGGTAAAAAAATACTCTGCAGTCAAACCCAATCACCAAAGATTCCTACCTTCTGTCTCAAGACGGGGTCTTCAGATAACAGTTTGACACCTGGTCTGGTCTCATCCAGGTATTCGATGATAGGTAACTGAAACAGTCATTTCGGACTTCATTAGAAGCTGTACATCCACACTAATCATCAACTCACATGTTCTCCATACACAATGGGTTCTGTAAAATACAAATGAAATCATCCAAAACAGAACTTTCCCCAAAATGTGACCCAAGTGTCATTCAGTTGAGAAGTTTGTTTGATTGTTTGTTTGTTTTTTAACACCTAACTCTGCAATATTCCAGCCATATGATGGTGGTCTATAAATAATCGGGCACATTTCAGGGCACAAATATTGGCATAATAGATATGGCATCCACCATCATAAGATCCCATTATGAATAAAGGGAGGTAAGTATCAAATGCCAATTCAAGAACTGCAACCCCACAATCCCACTTTTAGTCTGATCGCATGACAAGTATAGTTTTTTTTGGTTTTGTTTGTTGTTTAACCCTGCACTCAGCAATATTCCAGCTATATGACTAACCACAGGTCTAGGTAGTCCTGTGGATACGCGGGTCCTACTCAGCACCCACCCAACCCGAGTACCCGAGTTTCTGTCCCAGCCCTAAGAGCGACACTGTTGACATCAGTGAAATTCACTGGCCATCACAAGCCTAGAACCAACCATGTTAAACTGTGGCCAGTCAGAAGGTACTCACTGACTGGGAGAGAGTTTGTCCATCAATAACTAGACACGGGAGCTGTTCCATCGGATTCATCTTCCTGTACGCCTCTGTATGCTGCAACATGTGTAGTCAGGGTCAATTCCATTGATACAATATGCCATGCACTGTTCTGGACTGACAATTGTTACAGTGACTAAAGTATAAGGACAGTTCACATTTCAGGGCACAAATATTGGCATAACAGATATGGCACCTACCATCATAAGATCCCATTATGAATAAAGGGAGGTAAGTATCAAATGCCTATTCAAAAAGTGCAACTACACAATCCAACTTTTAGTCTGATTGCATGACAGGTATAGCTTTTGGGGTTTTCTTATTGTTGTTTAACCTCGCACTCAAAAATATTCCAGCTATATGACAGCGGTCTGTAAATAATCAAATCTGGACAAGACAATCCAGTGATTGATATCATGAGCATCGATCCACACAATTGGGATGTGATGACATGCATCAACCAAGTCAGCAAGCCTAACCACCTGATCCCGTCAGTTGCCTCTTACGACAAGCATAGTCTCTTTTTACGGCAAGCATGGTTGCTGAAGACCTTTTCTACTCCAGATCATCATGGGGCTACAAGTATAGGGTAGTGGGGACCTATTCTTACCTGGTATCCATATAGAGCTATTAATAAGAAATAGGTAAACAAGGTAGATAATTCTATGGGTATACAAATTCTTTATACAGTGAATGTGACACTAACAGCGTTTATCAAGCAAGTATTAGTTTCTCCATCGAAATATCGCATTCATTGTATAACGAAGTTGTATGTCCATAGAACTATCCCTTGTTCATCATACCAACTTCTTAATGCCACTTAAAGAAGTTAAGAAAAAGGTATTTACGACTGACTACCCGGTTGTTATTATATAAATATGAAACATTACCTCCTAAGCATTTATCTATGGTTTGTTTGTCAAAGTTGTTTAAAGCTGCAGTTAGCAATATTCCATCTATAACAGGACGGCCTGTAAATATAAAGTAAGGGACAGGCACACCAGCAATTAGTAGCGAGATCCCATGTCTCGGTTAAGAATAGATGATCTGCCAAGTCACAGAGCCTGACCACTTAAGTCAACTTTAACAGAGGTACAAGAGACCCAGACCACATTCAACAAAGCAATCTTAGCGGTAAGACCATCATAATAACACTGACTTAGGACATACTAAGATCACCTTGTGGAACTGGGTCCTGGTGTTATTCTGCTACGACTACTGTAAGCCTGTATGTGGGACTTACGATTGTCTTAGAGCTATGATTGCTACAGGCATAAACATATATTTGACAAAAATAAGAAGTATTCACAAATAACCCACCTGTTGGCCTCCATCCTTGACAAGATGCACAATATTAGTCTCAAAGTCAATGCCTTTTAAGGCCAAAGCTGAAAACATGAAAAGTGTTTATTTAGTGAACTGTGTTTGATCAAACTTGGGCAGATATTAGGTTAATTAATTTGCACAATTGCTAACATCCTCTACCTAAATGAGGCTGCCAACTCCCTTTTGGAAAGTAGGATTTGGGAGTCTATTTAGAGGGTATTTGGAGTGTGGTTAGCAGGAAACAAATAAAATTGTTTCTGTATACAGATTCAACATGGTGTGTGTAAAAATGTTCTTTACATACTTGATTATTTTGATATTTTTTTCAGTAATTCAACTTTAAATAACACCATTTTATGACCTAGGAACATGTTCTTAGGGTTTTTGTTCTATGTATACCTTTGTAGAGTGAATTCCGACATGTGATTTTGGGAATAGTGTTAAGTAATATTCGTGATTAAGCGGTGAGGAAATAAGATTCAGTGTGATTTAGAATTTCGATGGTATTTGGGATTCAGGGGAGGGTGGGTTGGATCACTCCTAAATGTAATCTCCATAGACCTTTAGTTACATTTAGTGAGTGAGTTTGGTTTAGCACCGCTTATAGCAATATTCCAGCAATATCATATCAGGAAACAAACATGGGTCTCGGCACTGCCAGTATCTGACAAAATAATGTTTACCTCGAACAAGCCAGGCATGCTGTTGACTAGTATATGTCACCCATCTTGTAAGTGGCAGCCCCACATTTGCACATACATGGTACAAAAGATAATCATTATCATTTTTCTCAGACTTTCTTTATGCTGTGGCTATAACAAGCCTAGCCAAGGAAACCAGCAGGATTACAAACTATAGAATACGTCCTTAGTATCCCTCCCCCTACTCTGTCCCTCTTATATCACAACAGTAAACACACTGGTTATCTACTAAAGTATTGAAATCAATATATTGTCGGATTATAGGTTTTCGGACAGCCATGTTTATCGTGATTACTTGCTCTAGCATCACACAGACATTGTAAATACTCAGATGATGGTTTGTTATTAAGAGAAAGTTGTCTTTCTTAAGTGAATGAGATGTTTAACTGTTGTTCATGTGATTAAGTGAAGAATGTACGAATGTTTCTTAAGTGTCCGTAAACCCATAACACGGGGATAAACATCTTCTGATTAAGCCTGACCTATTCTGACTCTCCAGGAACAGGTACTCCTCCAATATGTGTACAGGACTGGCTGCAAGAAAAACAAAATCAATTAAAATTTGGAATAATGGTATTACAAATTAATCCTGTACACCAATACACTCTTTCAGCTCCATGCATGAATTGCCTTGTACTTTCTACATGCTACCACACAATATCAAATGTTAAACAAGCATGAAAAACTCATATCCCCTGACAATTATATGACATGTCCGGTTGTGTCCAAGGCATTGGCCTTCCGGAAACTAACACTACCGCCATTTTCAGTCTAAGTCAAAGTCATTGCAATGGAAACTCGAAAAATTCTTTTTTTTTAAATCACAAACTATCAAAAGGCACCAGTTTACCACTAGACCTATCTATGTGGCAAGTTTGGTAAAGAAATAGTGTACATTTTTCAAGATCTGCTCCAAAAGAAGCACTAAGCCATTTTCAGTTTAAGTCTAAGTCATTGCCATGGAAACTTCTAAAATAAGTGTATAAAATATCCCAAACTATCAAAAGGAACCAGATCTTCACTAGGCCTATCTATATGTCAAGTTTGGTTAATTATCTCTAATGTTTTTTTATAGTTCTGCTTAAGAAACAGAACTTGACGGACAGAAAGACGGACAGACAGCACCCATTTCTATATCCCTCTTGGGGGCACGGGTGGCCCAGTCGTCTAAAGTGCCGCGATTCGCTGTGCAGAGTTGCGTCCCTTGGGCACGCCAGAAACCTATGATTGTAGGTTCAAATCCCGGTTTCTAGGTTTGTCAGCACCATACCCGTGCTCGTGGGTTTCACCGAAGTGGTAAACGTCTGAGACCTGCATCACTTCGGGCTTTCCTCCCACATTAAGCCGACACGCCGTGATATAACTGGAATACTGTTAAAAGCGGCGTCACACCCAACTCACTCACTCACTCACTATATCCCTCTTCCACTTCGTGGATGGGGATAATAACTTGGCTTTGAAGAAACTGCCACGGTGATGGTCAGAGGCATGGGATATGGTGCACATTCCACTTCAAAGGTAGAATATCTACCTGGCGCCCGCGGCTCAAATTTCCATCCACAGTAAAACGTACAACTGAAATTGTGCATCTGGTATTATCCAGTTCTTATATAATGAAATGATCACGTTGCTACGCATGTCATCGCTGAACACAGGAGTGTGCCTCAAACATGGCAAAAGGTTGACACGCATCTCACCTTGGCTGCCATGTTGCCTTTTTAGACGGAGCTCAGTTGAGTACGTCTATAAATAGTAGGCAGTCTGGGGCGAATTTCTACACAGCGCAATAACAGACTCGCTGAAGCGATGTACGTGTGTCAAAATAGAATCTCACCATCGTCTCTTTTGATGTCAAACATATCAACACTCGTCAATAAAAGTGTTAAACCCTCAGCAAGCCCAGGAGTTTTAAACTTTTATCGAATCTTGTTATATTTGATATCAAAACCAGAAACTATATACCGATTTTACGTATCATCCAAAACGATTTTATCATACCAAACTGGCTCCCACAGGAGATATCACTTGTGTGAGGTCAAGCTGTTAGCTGTACTTTTCACACACTATTTATTACCGTCTACAAACTGAACAAGTTGAAAGAATGATGTTGGATGATAAATTAAACCTCACCCTCGTGTCTTTTTATATCAAATATGTCAACTCGTCAACTCGTGTTGATATATTTTATATGTCAACTCGTCAACTCGTGTTGATATATTTTAAGACACTCGGGGGAGATATAGAGAATATCGCCTAGTGTCTTTTTATATACACACGAATTGATAAAAGTGTGTGTGTGGGTGAGGGGGGGGGGGGGGGGGGGTGGGGGGTGGGGGGGGGGGAATTATCAACGAGTGTTGATATATTTTATATCAAAAGACAAGAGGGTGAGATTAATGTGGACGGCATTGTTGAGGTCCTTCGCATCCTATTGTGACGTAAGGTCGAAATGACGTCACACTAGAAACATCGTCATAACTGAAGATTGTTGATGTCGTTCGACGATTGTGGTTTTCTCTAAGACGGCAGTCGTGATCAGTGCATTTTTTTCTAAAGGGGAGCTCAAAAGGGTGAAGAAATAATGGGTAATGAATACATTGTGAATACTGAATAATGAATACTGTGGAAAAATGTGTGCATTCTTTTCACGTTTACATTCGTGTCAATATATCAAACCGTTATATCATATAAGTAGTATGTTTGTTGACCTTTTTACTGTATTTGCATCTTTTACCACACGCTGCACTGAGACTGGTGTTAGGTGGTATTTTTTAAATAAACATAAGGGAGGAAAACGTCGCAGTGGATGACGGCTACTTGACGGTTTGCGAAACTGTCTTAGAAAATGGCCACTGTGTAGTTTAGAGAAAAAATTACTTCGTTTTCTAACATTATGTATCTACATACACACGCACTGAGCTATGAGGCAAGGCAGTTCATCTGCATTATTTAAAAAAAAATAAAAAAATTGAAAACTACACCTTAAATTGGCCCCCACAATATGACGTAGCCTACAAGGAGCAGAATTATGCAAATAAATTTACGACTGCATACAGATATTCGTAACTGAACATGAATTAAATCAATGTTAATTACCCAGTTATTACAGAGTGGGTTTTTAAATTGGATCCAACGCAGGTTTGAACAATATTTCAGTTATTCCTTGCGTTTCTGCTTATGGTCATCTTCACGCGGCAAAGGGGTTAACTAACAAGGGGTTAACTAACACCTTTGCCGCGGGAAGATGGCTAATGGTGTGAGTGGCATCCAATGTGACGTAGGTAGCAGACGTTTTCCACATTGATGAAACCCACAAACACGGGTGGGCATGAAGCTGACATGCCAACGACTAGCGGATCCTGGCCTAACCAAGCGGTGCAACTCTGCAAAGCGAAGTGTTTCACGTATCTTACATCACTTGGCTGCTCGTTTCAAAGGTACCTTGTCCGAGGGTGCATCTGTTATGCCAATCGATATATATAGGATTATATAATCAATGGAAACAGTGATTTGCATCAATGAAAGAGAACATGTTTGATTAACTCCTCCCGAACCAGAAAGTTTCATCTTTCGTGTTACCCCAAAGTCTGATGTCAGACTCATCAGTGAGCACAGAATGCGACAGCTTTACATTAAAACGTCATTTGACGACAGGGGAGCAAAATAGGGTTTGTTAAAAAAAATGGAATCACGCGATGCATTGTTGCAAATATCCTTGGTGCCATATAGTCAGAATCTGATGGGGAAAGTATGTAATTAAATATAAACGTCCCGGAAACTGTCAGTGAACAACAGCGATCTTTAATGCAGCGTTGGTAACAAGTTAATTGTTTTGGAGTAAGAATACGGCTTCGGCAAGGTGGTCCTTTCCGAGATCCTGCATGTAGCAAACATTTCTTTTGGACTGGACTCAACACCACATTCAATCCAGGATTGGTCCCCGTGCTCTTCACAAGTACACTACTGCGTTACTTCCAAGGTCGCCCTGCTTGGTTGGGGCGTAGGCCAAGAGGATGTTTCAGTGGGTCAGTGATGGTCTTGGGCGGAATGAAGACGGGTGGAGGAACTGATTTCCATGTCCTCGGTATTGGCCCCGACTCATCGTGCCAGGTTTGTGTATCATTGCTTGGGGTATGAATTGATCGACACAATTCCACAATTCCCGCAGGACCACGGAACATGATCCTGATTGCCATTAGACATTGTCATTAGACAGCATCCTGTAGCTCCCGATTCCCTCAGGACCACGGAACATGATCCTGATCGCCATTAGACAGCATCCTGGAGCTCCCGATTCCCTCAGGACCACGGAACATGATCCTGATTGCCATTAGACAGCATCCTGTAGCTCCCGATTCCCTGAGGACCACGGAACATGATCCTGATCGCCATTAGACAGCATCCTGGAGCTCAACGATTCCCTCAGGACCACGGAACATTATCCTGATCGCCATTAGACAGCATCCTGTAGCTCCCGATTCCCTCAGGACCACGGAACATTATCCTGATTGCCATTAGACAGCATCCTGGAGCTTCACGATTCCCTCAGGACCACGGAACATTATCCTGATCGCCATTAGACAGCATCCTGGAGCTCCACGATTCCCTCAGGACCACGGAACATGATCCTGATTGCCATTAGACAGCATCCTGGAGCTCCACGATTCCCTCAGGACCACGGAACATTATCCTGATTGCCATTAGACAGCATCCTGGAGCTTCACGATTCCCTCAGGACCACGGAACATTATCCTGATCGCCATTAGACAGCATCCTGGAGCTCCACGATTCCCTCAGGACCGCGGAACATGATCCTGATTGCCATTAGACAGCATCCTGGAGCTCCACGATTCCCTCAGGACCACGGAACATTATCCTGATTGCCATTAGACAGCATCCTGTAGCTCAACGATTCCCTCAGGACCACGGAACATTATCCTGATTGCCATTAGACAGCATCCTGTAGCTCCCGATTCCCTCAGGACCACGGAACATGATCCTGATTGCCATTAGACAGCATCCTGGAGCTCCACGATTCCCTCAGGACCACGGAACATTATCCTGATTGCCATTAGACAGCATCCTGTAGCTCAACGATTACAGCAGGACCACGGAACATTATCCTGATTGCCATTAGACAGCATCCCGTAGCTCCTGATTCCCGCAGGACCACGGAACATGATCCTGATTGCCATTAGACAGCATCCTGTAGCTCCCGATTCCCTCAGGACCACGGAACATTATCCTGATTGCCATTAGACAGCATCCTGTAGCTCCACGATTACAGCAGGACCACGGAACATTATCCTGATTGCCATTAGACAGCATCCTGTAGCTCCACGATTACAGCAGGACCACGGAACATTATCCTGATCGCCATTAGACAGCATCCTGTAGCTCCCGATTCCCTCAGGACCACGGAACATTATCCTGATCGCCATTAGACAGCATCCTGGAGCTTCACGATTCCCTCAGGACCACGGAACATTATCCTGATCGCCATTAGACAGCATCCTGTAGCTCCCGATTCCCTCAGGACCACGGAACATTATCCTGATTGCCATTAGACAGCATCCTGGAGCTTCACGATTCCCTCAGGACCACGGAACATTATCCTGATCGCCATTAGACAGCATCCTGTAGCTTCACGATTCCCTCAGGACCACGGAACATTATCCTGATCGCCATTAGACAGCATCCTGTAGCTCCCGATTCCCTCAGGACCACGGAACATTATCCTGATTGCCATTAGACAGCATCCTGGAGCTTCACGATTCCCTCAGGACCACGGAACATTATCCTGATCGCCATTAGACAGCATCCTGGAGCTCCACGATTCCCTCAGGACCACGGAACATTATCCTGATTGCCATTAGACAGCATCCTGGAGCTCCCGATTCCCTCAGGACCACGGAACATGATCCTGATTGCCATTAGACAGCATCCTGGAGCTCCACGATTACCTCAGGACCACGGAACATTATCCTGATTGCCATTAGACAGCATCCTGGAGCTCCCGATTCCCTCAGGACCACGGAACATGATCCTGATTGCCATTAGACAGCATCCTGGAGCTCCACGATTACCTCAGGACCACGGAACATTATCCTGATTGCCATTAGACAGCATCCTGGAGCTCCACGATTCCCTCAGGACCACGGAACATTATCCTGATTGCCATTAGACAGCATCCTGTAGCTCAACGATTCCAGCAGGACCACAGACATGATCCTGATTGCCATTAGACAGCACCCTGTAGCTCCACTATTCCAGCAGGACCATTAGACAGCATCCTGTAGCTCCACAATGTCTGCAGGACCACGGAACATGATCCTGATTGCCATTAGACAGCATACTGTAGCTCCACAATGTCTGCAGGACCATGGACCATGATCATGTTGCAAAGGAGACAGCATCCTGTAGCTCCACAATGTCTACATGACCACAAAACATTATCCTGATTACCATTAGACAGCATCCTGTAGCTCCACGATTCCAACAGGGCCATGGAACAGCACCCTGTAGCTAGACAATGTCTGCAGGACCACAAATCTGTCCCGATCATCATAAGACAGCATCCTGTAGCTCCACGATTCCAACAGGGCCATGGAACAGCACCCTGTAGCTAGACAATGTCTGCAGGACCACAAATCTGTCCCGATCATCATAAGATAGAATCATGTAGATCCAAGATGTCTGCATGACCACGGAACATGATCCAGATTGGTGTCACAAATTACCAAGGCCCACTTGCACATAGCCACCTTAGCGTTAAGACTATCGTAAGCCTATGTTAAAGTATGGGAGTTACGATCATCTTAGCACTAAGAGCGCTTTGTGCAAGTAGGCCCTGTACTATTTTAATGACATGCTCACTTAAGTGATTCAAAATGTGTTGATGTTTTTCATCTTATCAACTTCCAAAAACCACTCAAAGACTTGGTGTAGTAACATGGCATCTTTTTATTGCAAACTCGGCAGAACACCTTGAGGACAGGAAGCAGCATTAGCGCAATTAATCGTTTTTAACATACACTTTAAAGATAACATGAACACATATTGGAAATAATACTTATAAATGACCAAACAAATAATGATGCTAGTGAGACCGGTCCATTGATCAAATCAATCCAGATGCCATCTTCTTATCCCTTCAAAATTAAGATAATTTCAAGCACCTTGTTTATATTTCACCCCAAAATCACGATTTACATGATGAAGAAACCACATAAATGAATACCTAAAGCTTTAAATATACATTGTAACTTTAAAAGTTATACCTCCATGAAGTTTATGTTTAACCCAATATATACAAGACTGCTGTTACTAAAAATCAGTTCATTTTTAAAGTTGTCAATGAGATTGTATACTTCTGTAATGAAGGTATTGTACAGATGATATTAAAAGGAAAACTTAAAGCTACTGTACATTGTTGTAAAAGGGCTCTTAATTATGTGTACTCTAAAACAAGCACATCCAACAGAATATTTCCCTGTAATTAGTATGTAAGTTGATATTAGCTATGTTTCAGACACACTGATCCATCGCCCAAGCCCGACCAGCCTCTTTGCTAGAAAGATCGTGAAGCCACACAACCCTTTCAAATAATTTACTTGCATATTTGTGATAAGCCACAAATTATTTTTTTCTGATTAATTTTATATAACAAGGTGTTAGGGTAAAAAAAAAGCTGTCCAACAAACCAAAAAAAATTGTTTAGATTTATTTTGTAAGAAGGCATTTCATCATGTTTTGATTTTACTTTCTAAGTTTAATAATCCAACCCAACACTTACTTACTTATTGTCTCCAGTTGGGGTATTGATATACAGGTACATGAATTTGTCTCCCATGGTGTTTCAGGACAAGCAGAAACATTGTAAGAGGTTTAAAGTAACTTACTTCTACATTTGAAACACTTCACTTCAGCAGCTTACTCCAAACAGTAATGAGTAAGTGAGTGAGTATGGTTTTACGCCGCTTTTAGCAATATTCCAGCAATATCACAGCGGGGGACACCAGAAATGGGCTTCACACATTGTACCCATGTCGGGAATCGAACCCAGGTCTTCGGCGTGATGAGTGAACGCTTTAACCACTAGGCTACCCGACCGCCCCCAAAACAGTAACGAAGTTACCTATGACATCATGGTGATCACAGAAATAACACTATATCGGATTTTAATGCGCTCAAACAAAACCGAAGATCTCTAAAAGTCATAACAGAACTTACAGTAGTAAGAATTGGGCTGTATCCAATAAGGATCTAGCATCAAAGTAGGGTTTGTCTCGAGTGAGTGAGTCAATGGTGTTTAACACCACTTCAACACACTCCACAGATTTGGACAATACACTGTGTACACTGTAACCTCGTAATAACCTATTCCTTCCTTGTGAGAATCTTCATAATGTATAAGAACTCAGTAGAGATGCTCATGAACTCAAGCATGAACTAAGTGTGGGGGCTGCAGCTTACACAGATATACTTGTAACCCAAACATGCTAAAGGAAGAACAAGAAAGAGACTACATGTATGACAAATAAAGCCAAATATTTTCATGCTCAGCAGGAGTCCATTTGCAAAGGAATATTATCAAAAATACTACTCAAGTTAAAGAACACCAGATTCATTCATTTTACTGTAAGAATTTGGAGTTCCTTAACTTTTTTCAAGTAGTTTATAAAATTAGAATACAGTAGACTACGGTTAAAACGAACACGCTTATAACGAACAGCGGATATAACGAACTTACTTTTTGGTCCTGACTATTTGCTGTAGTTATTCTGTATATATGCTTATAACGAACTACGGTTATAACAAACTAAAATTAGTAGTCCCTTTGAGTTCGTTATAGCCGTAGTTTACTGTAGCTCATAAAGTGAAGCTTGGGACACTATGGGGACATACACTTTGATGTCTGATGTCTTTTTGGTTCCATTTATCACTGTAATGTTCAAGCTGTTTTGCCATTTTACAACCATGACAACTGAGATTAAACAAGACATACAACAAACCAGGCCTTATTAATCAACTGCATTAACTAACTAAACTACCTTACTGCCCTGTCGCACATTTAGACATTAGAGCATACCCATCGTTCATCACATCATCCCTACTTCATCAATACCACTGAACAAATGGCAATGTTGCCTCAAACAATGAAAGAACTGGAAGACAATAGTTATGCAGCCAAAAGCAGATGATTAACAATCAACAGTCACTCCGAGAGTAGTTTTTAAAGGATCTGCCGGGCAAAAGAAAGTATACGCCCATGTTTGATGGTGACTACAAATGAAACAAACAAGAAATGGTTATTCGATGGTGATGTATTTGATACGGGTGTGGGCCTCCAGTTTGCAGTGTTTCGTCGACTGTTTCAGCCTTGTAAAGTTTTGACGTTTGTAATTTTTGGTCAAATCCAATTTTCAAGTGTATACATGTACTTTCTTTTGCCTGGCAGTTTAGATGGGGACAAATCTTGGATTTGAACCCTAAACTTAACAGTCCTGGCAAACCTCAAAGTGCTCGAGTTGGCAGCACCTTGGCCCATCCTGATATATGCAGGGATGAACATGGATATTTTCCTTTTCAGCTGAAACGTCTTTCATGGATCGTGGTCCATAATTTATGGGTGGTTCATCAGAATTTAACAAACTTGTGGTCACTAAAATTTGCGGATCTGCGGAAGATTCTCATCCCTGTATATGGCAGATTGTTAACACTGTTCTTACTCATAGCAGTGTTTGACACTCACCACACTTTGGTGTTCGTCCAAAGAACTAGATCACGAGGAGATCTACTGGTTCTTTTGGGTCTAGTAGTCTACTGGTGATAACAATCAAGACAATAATAACTAACATAGAAAGAAGAAGAAAACAATATTCCATGAGTTTGCACCACATATCAGTTTCCAATCCGAGAAATAATCAAGAGTTCCCCAAACATCACACTAGAAGTTGGACCACCATTTCATTTTTTCCACTGGTCTCTAAGAAAATGACAACATTGGGACCAGCATGACTCACGGACCAGTGGGTGTCAGAAAGTGTCAAGTCAAGCACTGCAGGTCCTGACATATTGTGGACACATCATTCTCATGATGACTTCATTGTTTGGTCTTGTTTGAGCGACAGTTCTGTGGACTGAAATGTCAGCCATCCAGGCTGGTTTCTTATCCTGTTGTAAAGATGATAAAGAAGTCCTACTGAAAGTGTGCAACATGTGATCATGGGAGTACATCATGGGAGTATCATGCAGCTGTTACAAGGGTTTTACCTTGACTTACAGGGCAACCCCAATAATTAATTTGAAGGGTCCTTGCAGGCAGTATGGATCCTGTTAAGTAATGAAATGGTGAAGTGTACTGTACATTGGGATAATTACTTGAATGAATGAATGAATGAATGAATGAATGAATGAATGAGCCTGAAATGAATCAATGATCACGTGCACTGTGGTCATGATTGATGGATGAAATGACGGACGCCAATAACTTGATGCTCTGGAGGAACACTGAATATTATTGTGCATCCCTCGGGACGCAGTATATTCTTTTTCTGCGTCCAATCTCAACATTTGTGCGTCCTGGACGCACATATTATGGCGTCATGTACAGCCCTGTGTTACTGATGCATGTTTGTGGTGATGTCCTGGACGATGCGTGCTAAATCATTGCCTCGTGTGTAATACCAATTGATGATGAGATGCTGCAGTACAGGAGGTACAGCCCTGCCCTGCCCTGCCCTGCCCTGCCTATATGTATGCACATATCTATTGCAAAAGAGAGTCAGTCAGCAATACAAGTAATGCCTATCAAACAAAGCAAGCATATCAATACAACACATATAGCATGCTACATGATACAGTGTAAGAATAAGATTCTGTTGTCATCAACGTCTTCAGACATAAGGCAAAAAATATATATAAAAGAATTGGTTCTCAGGCAAAGACTTTTGAAAATATGGTGTGCGGTGTTTATTTTTTGCTTGTTCAAACTAGTATGTACCCAAATAAACAGTTGTGTACCATCGACCTGGGACAGGGTCTCCCGACATAAACAAGCACAAAAACCTATTGCTGCCATGACCATAACACGAGATGTGCAGTAAAGCAGTGTGCATGTAAAGGGAAGTAACTGTGTGACATATTGGATCGATTGTTTTTAAGTATTAGGATTTCTAATATTTTTTTTTAAATGGAAATAAAACGAAATGTGCAGCAGACTTTATGATGATGCGGGCAGTGCCTGAGAACCAAGACCATTATTCTTTTTAGCCTAAGGTCGGTTGCTTTAATGAATATGCCAGAAAATGGCTGCTGATGGCCAAGACCATTTGCAGTCAGTACACAGGACTACTACATGTCCATTCTTCCTTTGTTAGTCGGCCCAGGACACATGAAAGGATCTATTAATACCCCACATGAATTCATTAGATGAATGCCCATTTCCGAGGATGAAAACAAATTCTAACAGTCAGCGCCCTGTATCACAAGCCTGCTTGTTTGACACAATGCTCATGTCAAAGAGAACTCACTGTCTCTTCTTCCCCATCAATGCCATGTTCTGTACTGTGTCATATTATTAGGTCATTTCTCTCAAAGCTCTACTGACTCGAAGGTGCTAAAACTAGGGAAGGAAAATTTACTCTTGGAATATTCTTATCCTGCTTTTTTAAATACAGCTTCAGTTGTGGCCACAAATCAGTGTTATTTGAACAAATTTATTTAATTTAATGAGTTAATGGCAAAATCAACATAAGTCATTCAACTGCTGCCTGTATTCGATCCATTTCATGGCTTCAAAGAACCAAATTACCGTATTTCCTTGCTGTTCAGATCATATATATGATAGTGTGTGTGTCCCTATATCAAGATTTGACCAAAACAGAATTTTCCCCAAAAAATATCACGTGACCGGTAAAATAAATCACACACTTGTGAGTTTTGTATTAGACTTTCAGGGCAGCATCCCCGTCATGACCATAGATCTGTCATTATAGTCATTATTACATGACGGAAATGATTCTAAAGAAACATAATAATCACACCAAATGGAATAAATATACAATTCAATGTACAAGTAATAACAAACCTTTAAAATAAATATCCAGATAAAACAAGTAAAACGTGTCGCCAATACACCACCCATCAGCTGTCACTGCATCAGATGAGATTAGAAATTCCACATGTTCCTGCAGTTTTTCCCAGGGTAACCATAGTAACACCAACCTTTTTTTCTCGGAAATCATGAAACATATATCTGATATATAGCCCCTGGCCCTGTCTACAATACTTTTATTTAATTTTATTACTTTTCATTTTATTACAATTTTAATTAACAGTTTGACACAACACTAGTTAACATGTTCTTAGTAGCTGTTGTGCCATAGGAATCTCTGTGCTTAGTTCTCCAGCCTGGTGACTGTCACCCTGTATCATGTGTACTGGGCCAGCATTGTCCGTCACCACCCGGCTGAACTCAGTTCTTTAGAGCGCTATCGCTTGACACGCACACATCTTCTGTAGTTACTTTAACATCTGACCAATCGGACCATGAGGACATCCTGCCTATGGGACATCCCCCATATAAAGTGAGTGAGTGAGTGAGCTTGGTCGTATGCTGCTTCAACAATATTCCAGGAACTTCCCGTGAGGTACACAACTGAGCTTCACATATTGTACCCTGATAGGAATGAAACCCAGACTTTATGCATGACAAGCAAATGCTTTAACCAGTAGGCTATCCCAGCACCGCAGAAAGTTTCACAGCTTTTGAATTTTTAATATCTGTTTAAGATGCTCCACTTCATGATGCCCAATTCCCGCCTAAATCTTGATATAGTAATTGGTCACTTGTAGCAACATGAGATTGAATCATAACAACCAGACTGATATCCATCATCACATTGAAGATTACGGAAAATCAAAGCAAGTTCTCAATCAGCATCTACTAATTGGCTTGAACCTTGTCCCTCTTGAACCACCATTACCATGCATCCACATCAAGTTCATCACCACCAACATGGCTGCACTAGTTGTACTTATCTGGGGAACCAGTCACAATCTCTTCATGTCCTTCTGAAGCTTCTGAAGTGTACTGCAGGGTACATGCTAAACAGTAACAGTACTTCCGCACCAGAACAACCTGTAAGACTCGACAACACTGACGGCAGCCACGCCTCCAGAATCGTGCAGGGTGGTCAGAGGACTCTAAGGATGCTGCTACGGAGGTGCACACTGCAGGGACAAATGACACCATGTCTTGAACCATCATTACAATCTGCTAGTCTTCATCAGACCAGTAGTAGTCCTTTTCTTCCTCATCCATTTCCTCTTCTTCCTCCACCTCTTCAAACAGGTTTGTAAGAGTGGTGTCATTTCTGAACAGTGACTTGGTAGGGCCGGCCTTCTCAGCACCCCTTGCTCGAGGCGTTTGACTCTGGGGGGTAAACCAAACCAAATCATTATATAACAGAATACATTTACAGGGTCTAAACATGTGTACAAGTCAAGCATTATGTTTAAATCATCTAAAAGCTCAAGAGTCAGAGAATGTTCATAGTTGACGAGTCAGTCATCAACAGCAGTGAAAATCCTCTTGACAGATACACATTAAGATTTAAGAGTATTTCGGTCACATCATAACATTGCTTCACTGTGACGTAAGAGGTGAAAGGGGTTTTAATGTTGAGTTCAAGATTATTGGACTCATAAAGCGATATGTGTGTGCGTGCGTGTGCGTGTCCTTGTGTGTGTGCACCTGTGTGTACTAGTCTGGGCTTATGCTAGTTTTATAGTGCCAGCCCACTGAGATAACATGCTACAGTTTAACATGTATACCTAGCACAGAATATCCTTAATGCTGAGTGCCAGACAGGGTACCAACAAGTACATCTTTTAATCTTGTTTGGTATGATGCAGTCCAGGGATCAACCACCGACCTTCCGCTATCCGAGAGGAAACTCAATCCATAGAGGGGGTCCTCACTGTGGCACAGGTTGAAGAAGTTTGTGAAGCCATGATCAGGGTCCTATTCCACAAAGTGATCTTAGCGCTAAGACCATCGTGACTCCTATACTATAACATACACTTATGACAGTCATAGCACTTAGATTGTTTTATGGAAAGGGCCCAGGTGTCTAGCACAGATTGGTGATCATAATAGGAATGTCTTGGAATTGAACTCACAACTATCAGATGTTGGCACATTACAGACCCAGACAGGGGAGCTGCAGTGCCTGAGACTGAGATATTCATAGAAAGACCACCACATGAGAGTGTTAAGTAAAGAAAAACAGTCACCTTGGAATCCTTTCCTCTGTTCTGTCTCCCTCCTTTCCGCTGATTCTGTGCAATCACCTGATCTGCCATTTTTCTGAAATGACAACACATCACATATTAAAGATGGGATCACAGAGCGATGGGCCGATTGTTATTTACACATGTCCAATGTACCAACAGACAACCAAACTATCGCCAAGACAACCATAGACACTGCTCATCCAGCCAAGCCCTTTATACCTGAATCCATGAGCTATCCAGATGATTAGGTATGATGAATATAGGTAAGAAATGGAGTTTCATCATCTGACTTCAGTTTTCTGATCCTAACACCTAGCAGGGATTAAGCTGTACCAATATATATCTTGGGACACTCAGTCACACTTTTTGGGGGGTCCCAGTCATGAAAATGGGGGTCCCAAGGTAACCATTGATCTAACAACAAATAGAAAATATGGTACATGTGAAGCCATAGCCAAACTATGAATGGGATCTTTTTGTTTTGAAAAATACCTTGATGATTGAAGAATAGCAGGCATGGACAGTCACATTTATGTGCATGCCACGGGGTCCACAATAAATCTTGTTGTTGTGCCCCCATAGTGAGGGTTTGTTACACAAATAAATTCTAGTCTTGATGCCCTGCACATGCCGGTGAAAGCTATGAACACTATATACTAAGACCATTACTATAGATTTTATTGATGAAAAGGCGTGATAACTTATCAACAGGATGTCATTGTTTTTGTTGTTACAAATTGTTGATATATGCAACAAAACAATAAAATTATATTGAAGAAAATGTTGCTACAGTCACTGGTTTGCCTGGGCCAAGCTAGATTATTTACAAGCTACAGAGATGTAGGTGGGATATGCTCACATACTGCTTAATCTCCATCACTCATTGATAAATCTGTCAGTCACACTACCGATGATCATATACATGTGTTGTACAGGCTTAATTTAATCTACCAATCAACAACACAGTCAAGTGTTCCTCAGCTTTTGTGTACCTGACGAGTACAGCGATCACCAGAACACAATGTCATGACTCATATTCCTGATATTTTTGCCTGGGATGGAAGTGTCCTGATTATCAGGATTTCCCTGTACGCTGAAGCCAGATGCTGACATCCGAGACTAGCTCACCTATTGAGAGGGTTGAGCCACGGAGTAGTGACAGTTTTGACACCACTGGTGGGTGTCTTGTGAGAGAAGCGGGAACCTTGAGAAACGATAGGCGTCTTGTGTCGAATGCCTGGTGTAGGCAAACACTCCGATTCAAAATCAAGCTCTTCTTCCTCTGTCAGTGTAAACTTCTGTGGCAGTGACTGTAAATAGAGTGTCCAGACATCAACATAAGATCAAAATTAATCCTGAATTTTCGCTCCATGTCTTAAAAACACTTCAAAAATACACATCAGGAACCGGTGGGCTGGGTTTGTTGACATCAGTAATTAGCTGATGACTCTTTCATTTGGGTTGATATGATTTGTTTCAAGGATATTTAGAAACCATAGATAGATTAGAATCCCTCCCACAGAAACAAGTAGTTTCATATTTCATAGCTCCAATAAACATATTGTCTACTCCAACGCTCTGAATACACGACAATTTTATGAGAAGCTACAGTGACTGACATAGAAGTGTACCAAGGCTGCAAATATATCATTATATAAGGTAGCTACTCGATAAATCGCAAGTTTCAAAGCTACTTCTTGCCCCTCATCAGGTGAATACTGGGTCGTCTAAACTCATTACGGTTTTTGCATGATAAATAGTCATTAATCAGTGAGTCCCTAAAGCTCTCTTCACCTTTTTCTGAATGCCTGTTTTGTGAGGCGTGGCGTCAAAGATGTCGTCCTCCACTCCTTTGTTGTGTTTGTTGTAGACCTCCCGCAGCTGCTCCTTGCGCTTCATGGTGCCTCGCCCCGCAGTCACACCAGCAACTGGAAGCAGTGACAGCCCTGTAGTTAACTCTACTGTCACCAGTACTACATATATATGATGGCCAGTAAATTCATTACCAATCAGACTGATAGATGGCAAACAATAGTTGCAGGGCAATGGTGTGGACTATTGGCCACTACTGCTCATTCCCATTGTTTTCTTATCAGTAAAAAATGCTTAAAATTAACAAACAAGGCTACCTGGTCAGTGCTTCAGGTTGCCAGGACCACTCAAAGAAAATATATGACACACCATTTCTGAATGATGGAGATCTTTGGCCTTAAGTTTGCAAAACAACAATCTTAGCTACAAATTTAGTAAATCCTTAGGATCACGATCTTAGGCTTCAGGTACAATCAAATCGCATCAATTGTAGACTAAGATCATTGTAAGCTACAATCGAAATTTATAATTGGTCCGGAACAGTCTTAAGTAGCAAAGATTGATTGATTGTAAGCGCTAAAGATTGACTATAACTAAGATCATCTTGTAATAGTGGGCCCACTAGGGATCAAACCAATCTAACATTAAGGCTTTAACAGTTTTCACCTAGAGACAGACCCGTGAAGATTCCGGGGTAGAATAGGTCTTCAGCAACCCATGCTTGCCGTAAAAGGTGACTATGCTTGTCGTAAAAGGCGACTAACGGGATTGGGTGGTCAGGCTCGCTGACTTGGTTGATGCATCAATCATCAATCCCAATTGCGTGGATCGATGCTCATGATAGTAATCACTGGATTGTCTGGTCCGGACTCGATTATTTACAGACCGCCGTCATATAGCTGGAATATTGCTGAGTGCGGCGTTAAACAACAAACCAACAATCTAGAGACAATGTTAACATGATCCTCTGCATATTAATGAACCCACTGCTTCAGCATGGTCCCCCTGTCCTGCTGCAGAGACTATACTTACTATTGTGTGCATTGGACTGAGGTTTGCTCTTGGTTGTCTTCACACTGGCTGCTGGTTTACTGCCTGCATCAGTCTCCTCCTCCTCATCTTCCTCCTCCTCCGGTCTGGCCAACCGGCTCCTGGCAACAACAGACAGATGTCATCCACGGGTCGCAGTAGCAGGTCTGTGACTCATATCAGTGTTTTGTTTCTAAAGGTCTTTCAATGGCATTTAGAAGCTTGTCACACAAGAGATTCAATTTGAAGTGGTAATAAAGCCTAAAATAACGCACAGGACCATAAACATGCAGGATAATTTTTTGTAGACCACAATTCGAACTCCCTTCCCTTTTTCCTAGTTTTAAAACCCCTTAGTCTCTATCCAAACAACAAGGCTGTTTGCCTGCCAGCACAAATGATTCAATTCAAATAGGTTCCCTCTAATGTTAGTGTCTGCTCATCATGAAACTTCATGTTTACGAAAGAAGCAGCCCCAGACATTGGCTATTTGAATGGCAAGCACCTGTCATTCTGTAACGGTCTACTTGAGCTGTAACTATACACTTTGTAATTATCCAATATGTAGCAAGACAGTAGCACCCCTGATCCAAATCTGCATCAAACTTTACATGCTTCAGCAAAGTGCATACATCAGGATCTAATGACAAAAACATGATTCACTGCCTAAGACACTTGCCTTCAAATCTGAGAACCATATTTCAGATTGTGCAAAAACATATTTACTTATTTAGTTGGAAACCTCAAAAGATAGCTTATGCATTGTGCTCAGCAATGGCAGTAAAAAATTCATACCCTCTTGATGATTCCAGCCCGTACATCAAAAGTTGCATGAATGAAAATACGCATATTTGAAGGAAAGTGTTTTGGAAGCATGTCATGCTGTAGTATCATGGTATTATGATTCATGTACGTTATGGCAGGGTTGCAATGCCCCAAAATGATCTTAATATTCAGAGCTTCCTACTTATTGAGAGCTTTTTCCATTCTTAGACTCTGAATGTCCTTGACGATGGGAGTCTTGTGTAGAGCTCCTGGAGTGGGAAGACATTCCTCATCAAAGGTCAAGGTTTCCTCTGCTGTCAGGTTGAATGTCTTACTCTGAAACCATGGAAACATACACTGTACAGAGGGATCAGAAGCTTCATCACCATTATTCCAACAAATAATCTGTGATAGCGTGTATATTGTTAACTGATGTGATCGGTATATGTAGGTTGAGTCAGTGAACGAACGCGAGAGCGAGTGTAATAATTTCTGTATTACCCATATTAAAACCTTTAGAGCATGCCTTTAGAAAATGCACTGTCTTTAAAAACCATATTTGTTGAGTGACATAATAAAAAATCTTCAGCTATGACATTGTTTCTAGTGTGACATCAACACGACCTTGCCACAATAAGATTCAAATGACATCAACAATGCCGTCCACATAACAAAAGCAGTAAACCAGTGCGTGTGGAGTGATATTTGCACCAGTTCACATACAATTTTTATGAATTCAGTTATTTCTAACCCTATTGGTAATATAAAGAATTATTATCCTTCTTATAAACTAAATAGTCTCCACATGATAACATTGAAGCTGTCACAATGATAACAAACTAGAGGAAAACGTAGTTGCAAATTTGGCCTGTTTAATCTTGTTCATCCTTGTTTAACTGTCCTCTTGAAAATGGGATATGCGTTTTAAAGCCCTCAGAAATGATACACTTAACTACAAACAATAACAAAAAACAACATATCGGCTGCTCTAAGGATATTGAACTAGAACAATACCCACTTCCCATTCAAGTAATCCATGAAAGGTGAGTCCACTGTTCAACATGGTGGACACCTTGCTATAAAGACTGATAAATCACAGTGGACACCTTGCTATAAAGACAGATAAATCATGGTGACACCTTGCTATAAAGACAGATAAATCACAGTGGACACCTTGCTATAAAGACAGATAAATCATGGTGTACACCTTGCTATAAAGACAGACAAATCATGGTGGACACCTTGCTACAAAGACAGATAAATCATGTCGGACATCTTGCTATAAAGACAGATAAATCATGTCGGACATCTTGCTATAAAACAGATAAATCATGGTGGACATCTTGCTATAAAGACAGATAAATCATGTCGGACATCTTGCTATAAAACAGATAAATCATGGTGGACACCTTGCTATAAAACAGATAAATCATGGTGGACACCTTGCTATAAAGACAGATAAATCACGGTGGACACCTTGCTATAAAGACAGATAAATCATTGTGGACACCTTGCTATAAAGACGGATAAATCATGGTGGACACCTTGCTATAAAGACAGATAAATCATTGTGGACACCTTGCTATAAAACAGATAAATCATGGTGGACACCTTGCTATAAAGACAGATAAATCACGGTGGACACCTTGCTATAAAGACAGATAAATCAGGGTGGACACCTTGCTATAATGACAGATTAGTCATGGTGGACACCTTGCTATAAAGACAGATAAATCACGGTGGACACCTTGCTATAAAGACAGATAAATCATGGTGGACACCTTGCTATAAAGACAGATATATCACAGTGGACACTTGCTATTAAGGCAGATAAATCATGGTGTACACCTTGCTATTAAGACAGATAAATCTACCTTTTTGTTGTTGCTTGGTCTAAATGGAGTCGCCTTGAAAAAGTCATCATCTTCTGTTTCTGTGTATTTGGCCTTTCCTATAGAAGTAAAATGCAAGTGAGTGATTTTGTTTGAACACATATTTGAACACCAGCTTAGTTTGGTAACCTATCAGTTTAATGTATGCAAAGCCTAAACTGATTGTACATGTTCATCTAAAGTAATACAGGTTTCACATGTTAATCACTGTGTGGAAGAAACCGACAAGCACGGGTAAAGTGTTGACAGTCCAAGGATCATAATCAGGGCTATCTAGGATTCAACCCACAATCAGTGGTTTTGCCTAAACAAGTATAGTTCATTAATCAATATTTGATGTAGATGTGCCATCTTTATAGACAGAACACTGTTCCCAACAATATGTTTGATCACAGGGGACATCACATCGGCGGTATTTCAGCCATATCGTGACGAGTAAACCATTATGACGTAACTAAAAAAGTGTACTTTATCACAGGATAAAGTAGTCGGTCTTTGATATTTTAGCGAAGTATCTTAGAGTTCTTGGCACAAGCCAAGCCAAGCAAAGCTGATATACAGTATCGTTTCAGGCAGTTTAGATATGAACACAAAGATGCTGCTGCTGCTGATATTCAAATCAGATACTTTATAACTACAGTACTAACAGAAGGGCTATTACGAAGCATCTGCTCACCTTTCTTCGATTTCCCTTTGGGTTTGGACTTTGTTTTGGGTTCAGGTTTAGAGGTGGTGTTGGGTGAGTTTTCATAATAAATGCGACATTCATCCATTGTCCTCGTCTCAACAGCTTCTGCAATGACATCCCAGAAGTAGGGATGTTCTTCTCTCGTCCGTTCTATAGCTCTGTCAATATAAACTGTGGTGATCAGGGCACAACATGACACAGGCCTGGCACAGGTGTGTGTGTGCGTGCGTGTGCGTGTGTGCATGTGCAAGTGTGTGTATGGGTGTGTGTGTGAGTGTGCGTATGTGTGTGCGTGTGCAAGTGTGTGTATGGGTGTGTGTGTGCGTGTGCGTATGTGTGTGTGTGTGTGCATGTGCAAGTGCGTGTATGGGTGTGTTCGAACGTGTAATAGTGCTAGCCAACAAATGGATACACCACACAGACACAGCATTACTTGTAGAAGCTTGTATTACAACTGGTAATAGACATGATAAGAAAGCATGTCAAAAACACACAATGCTTTCTATGGTGCCAGAAGATATGAACATCAAAAAGTATGAGAATCTGTACTTTACTATGAAAGTGTATCCCAAATACAACATTTGTTACAGAAGATATGGATTGCAAGAATGCTTATTGATGACTGCTAAATTGTTTACTTTCCTGCCGAGATGCAACCTACCTATAAAGTCTCATTATTTCAGACTTGCCCCATTCAGTTGGTGATTTTGTGGTTCCCTTCTTAGAAATGGTCTTTTTCTTCTTGGACACATTTTTATTAGTTTTAGTCTGACTTGTGGCTGACTCCTCTTCCGATTCATCCATTCTTTTTTGCATCCTCCTTGCTTTCTTTGTTCCAACATCATCGCTTTCTGACGATGACACAGTACTTTTTCGCTTTCTTGAAACTTTTGTTTTAGAACTTTTGGATTTGAATGTTTGTGATTTAGATTGAATATTTGACTTCCTATTGGAACTTAAGTCCTCTTCCTCGCTTGAAGAAGTTTCGCGTATTTCTAAAATACGTCTTCTACTTGGAGCTGGATTTTGTTTAATTTTGTCCTTTTTCTCACACACATCAGTCTTTGATTCCTTATTTCTGATATTTTCTTTCAATAAAGTCACGGGAACAACAGGGAGCATATCAAGCTTGCTCTGTCTTCGCGTCTCTTTTGTTCTCTTGTCGTAGCAAGTTTCACGACGCTCTTTAGGCAGAGTTCGGTCGGATTTAGCCTTCTCAATAATATCAAGGACTTGTGACTGGACATTTGAGCTTTGTCTTTGGGGAGTAGACATACTGCTTGTATTTGCAGGAACATACTTTCTACATTGATGCGAACGAGTCTGAAAGAAAAGTGAACTTTTGAAATAAGATCAGTTTTTGTCATTGTTGACATTTTATATGAAAGGCATTTTTATTCATGTGACAAATTTCTCAGAAACAAATTCATCTTGTGTCAAGGTTTTCTCACCTGTTAAAAACTACTTCTTACCTTGTACTCGGAGTATGTCTTCTTGATATGGGATTCAGCATGTGGAGTGCCCCGAGATATTTCAATGATATTACCCCTCACATCGTACGAGCGTCGCTGTCCCATCCACCAGGCAAGCCGTGGCATAACTTGTCTTCCACTACGAGTTTGGGGAAGTTTTTCAAGATTAACCCTCTGTCCCGAAGGTGTACACAATGTTTCTGTAACAAAAGCACAGAAACATTGACAGATATATATCCTGAGGGGAATCAGTCGGAGCAATATGGTGCTTCTCTCTCCCAGGACATGGCTGTCTCACTAAATCCCATGTCTTTCTGCAGCTTCTAGGTTAATCTTATTCCTAACATAGTTTGGAGCGGTGGGGTAGTCTAGTGGTTAAAGCGTTAGCTCGTCACGCCGAAGACCCGGGTTCGATTCCCGACATGGGTACAATGTATGAAGCCCATTTCTGGTGTCCCCTGCCGTGATATTGCTGGAATATTGCTAAAAGCGGCGTAAAACCAAACTCACTTAACATAGTTTACCATGGCTACCATTTCAGATTTTGCAAGATGAGGCCAGCACTCAAGAGGAATCCATGGAGAGCTACCAAATTTGAAGGAAAATTTAAAAAAAACCCCTCTTTACCCCATTCAAACTCTATGCAACGTGCGAGGTGAGGCTACAGTGGAATAGATAATGTTCGGTAGGCCAAGCATGTACAGTTGTGTTGTCATCAACCCCCTACCTCTGTTAAACGACTGATTGTCTGTAACGCTCATCAATTATTTGGACCCCAAAGGTAGCATTGTAGCAAGGGATCAGTGTACCATACTTGTTGACATGCTGGCCACACACCATCAGGGCTAGAATCTATTTGAAAAGCTTTTCTAGCCCGGGTAGAGATTAAACGCCCTTGTAATGTTAAAACAATGGGGAAATTTGTACAAGCCCACAGGAATGTGTACTTGCCCCATACTAATTTCTAACCCTGCACCATATTCAAGTATAGGAGGAGTTTGTTTAACATTGTTTACATAAATGCAAGCTTATGTTTTGTAATGAGCATAAATACCACCTTAGTTACGAGTACATGTGTATATGCAACAAACTGGATCAGACTTGAAAATCCAGAGATTGACAACACAATCCTACTGACCACTTCTAACTTACACTGATCTGATTTCATCACATACCTGTTTTCCAACTGACCTGACAATGAAACAAAATCTGTCTGCCATGTGTACAATGGCCAGAGTTGAGTAGCACACATGGAGCTTTAAACCACTATATATTGGATACTTGAATCTTTTTCTGGACTGAATTTGAAGAGAATTCCTTGAAATAATGTGAGTGCTGTTTAGGAAACAATTCTGGGTGTTTTTAAATCAAGCAGGAAATAATTTCTGAGTATGACATCACACCTTTAGTCCATGCACGATTCAATTCTTAAGCCAAAACAAAAGAGCACCGCAGGTGAGGCCGACAACCCAAGCACTTCGCAAAAAAACTGGCTTCGGCCATGTTCCTATAAGAGGCAAATTGAAGAGAAAGCTTCTATGTTTTTCTTTTATTGATGAGATGCAAAATACTAATCACCAGCTTGACTGGATTAGAAGCCAGAGTTTATCAAAGTCTGGAGTTCCTTATTGCCAGCCTTATTACTCTGCCACATCTTACACAGATGATTCAATATATTTTATAGCAAAAATGGATAGAATTATCATTAAACCGCCCGCATGTCATAAAAAATGAGCGGGCCACTGTAACTTGATAATGCCCTCATATTTCTTTTTTACGGGCCATTATCACGCCCGTTGATGGGTGTCGTCATTGAATAGGGATAGGTGACGTCACATTCAATAGTCATCTGGTTGTTCTATGACATTTCCATATTTGTAAAAGTGGATCAGTGACATTCGTGTTGATTGCAGTAAATGTTTGAAAACCGATATTGATGTTTCTTTTTATTTGATAACAAATTCCATCCATTTTAGCTATAATAACGGTAACGCTATTTTTCAGGGCATTATCATTTGCAGAAGCCCTCGGTCTTTTCAACTGCCCTCCTTCGTCGGACCTCGGGCTTCTGCAAATGCTAATGCCCTGAAAAATAGCGTTACCCTTATAGCACAGGCTTCTCATCTGTTGAATTTTTGACAAGTGTACACATTTAGATAAAACACATGTCATGAAATGTTAAATTTTTATTTAGAATATATCCTAAATGTGTAAAACTATTTCCATGTGTGTACTGGCATTTAAAGGGCATGCAAACTCAACATAGCAACTTTGATGATGTTATTACTTTAGGGCATATGAAATGACATATGATTGACCAAAATTAAACTTGAAAAATGGAAACAGTGTTAAACAGACGATATAAAACATGACAAATGAAATTGTCCCCCAAAAAGAAAATCCCTGACACGCATTCATTGTGAGGAATAGGACCAAGGACAACAGCAGGTTTATGGTACCCAAACAGGAAGCCAGTCGTTAAAAGCTAGTTACATACATAAGTGTTATTTCAATTATTCTTTGGGGTGGTTGGGTAGCCTAGTGGTTAAAGCGTTCGCTCGTCACGCCGAAGACCCGGGTTTGTATCCCGACAAGGGTACAATGTGTGAAGCCCATTTCTGGTGTCCCCCGCCGTGATATTGCTGGAACATTGCTAAAAGCGGCGTAAAACCAAACTTACTCACTCAATTATTCACAAGGTCAATATCAAAGGTCATTCATAACAAATAGATCATAGTAGACAGATGCTACAGCTAAGTCTACATATCAGGTGATGAAGACATTTGTCAAGCACCACTGCACCAGTAGCTTTGGGCCATGACCCCAAATAGGTTTGTTTCGGAAGCAGATTACAAAGCATGTGATTTCAGCATTTTCACTTGGGACATTTAAATACTTTCAACGAATGTTATGATTTTTTGTCTCTCTGAAATTGACTTAATATATCTAGGAAAAATGATATTTGCAATGAAATGGCAATAAAGATTTTCACTTTACTTGCCCTTTAAAATGAAAAAATGTTAAGGACAGCTCAGGACAGTGAAGTCTTTATCAAGGAACCAGAGACTATAATTGTTGTTAGAAATATTATTTTGTTTGTTTGTTGTTTAACGAAGCACACAGCAATATTCCAGCTACATGATGGCGGTCTGTAAATAATCAAGTCTGGGCCAGCCAAGCCAGTGATTGTGATCATGAGCATTGATCTACACAACCAAGTCAGCAGCCTGACCACCTGATCCTGTTAGTCACCTTGTATGACAAGCACAGTTGCCTCTAACGGCAAGCATGGGTTGCTGAAGATCTAATCTAACCCGGATCATCACGGGTAATAAGAAACATTAAGAAACTTACTATTTGGGTCTTCATCTTCATCTTCAGACACTGGTATCTCTTTCTTAGCTTTCTTACGAGATTTCTTCTTTTTTGTGTTCTTAACAGAAGTCGTTGTTGTCTCTGTTGTTTCCGTTGTTTCTGAAGCACTGAGAAAACAAATTACCAATCATCAAGTACTTTTGTAATCCTATGGATTCAAGTCACATGGTCAAAACAAGGCAGTTTTTTCTATAGGTGCTGGCACATGGACATTGGATGACGTCATCTTTAATTATGTTAATTATTTGCGACAATACGTTCAAAGACGTCACATTGATATGGGCCCCTTCACACACAATGAAAACCATGGAATTATTGTCATAATGCACATTGAGAATTACTGAAAATAATTTCACCAATAGCCATGGGTAATATCTGACATTATTGTCTCTAATATCCCAACAATCATCACCATGTGGACAGTGGGCTACCTGATGTTCAAGCTGTCAAAACACTTTAGAATGAGTCACTGAGTAGCACACAGCACATGTACTCTTATTTGAACAGTGTGCACATCTATACAAGAATTAAAAAAATATCTTTGAATTACCATACATATTATATTTAGTGATGTTAAAAGCCACTTTTATCAATATCTGTGTTGGGCACCAAAAATGTTCACACATTATACTGAGGGCGCCCGGTATAAATGGTATATCGGTAAATTGAGGTTCATTCTTTCCACAATACATAACACAATATCATTTTTTTAAATTCTCAGTATATTGGATGATTTCAAATTGCGATCTTTTTCATGTGTTTTTAATGTTTTACACTTGCCAAATACCTGGAGCGTGCATCCGTGCGTATTTATTCAATCAGTAAGCATAATGATGTACATGCATCTTGTTTTGTTCCTTCCATGAACTTCAATTCATACACTGGTGTTTCAAATTCCTTTTGAATTAAAACTTTAGAATTGTGATATGTATTGCAATGAGGCCTTATGCATTGTAAAATATCGCGATTCACTTTAAACCTCCAATAGCCATCCCCACATTGTCCCCATGCAGGATACCAGTGTGTGAGACTTAATGCAACTTTGGGCAGAGCTTCCATCCTATCTCATCTTGCCAGCTTCATGTAGAGAAGCGACACAACCTCAGTGAGAATCAAACACAGCCTTCAACATGCTTATCTTCCAACGACCGCCTCAGTGGTCTAATGGTAGAGCGTCCGCCCGGGGAGCGGAAGGTCCGGGGTTGGATCCCAAGCTGTGTCCGGACTAGTACAAGCAGTCACACTCAAACACATACACGTGCATGCACGTCGCTATATAAGTGCAATAATCTTGGATGCGATGTTAAACCCTATTTCACCTCACCTCAACTTATCTTCCGACCCTCCTGCCAGGATATGACAGAAACAGTCTTGATACATTAAACTACGCTTATTACGAACATGCTTATAACGAACTGACGGATATAACAAACTGCTTTTCTTCATCCCTGCAATTTGCTGTATATATGCTGTATACATGCTTATAAAGAACTACGGTTATAACAAACAAGAATTAGTGCTCCCTTTGAGTTCGTTAAAATCGTAGTTTACCGTACATGAAACCAAAGCTAGTGACAGACTGCACCTACCTCTCAATATCAACGTAGTATTTCTTCAAAACATTCTCCCAGTTCTTAGGAAAGCCATTCTGAAAAGCTTTAACAATTTTTTCTGGAATACCTGAAATTACACAAAATGCTTTCATGTTTCAACTAACATAGAGTGTATAAATTCCTGATAATATTAAATATAAATTAACACCAGGTTTCTATTGAATAATTTAACCTGCAAGAAACATTGACGACATGTCTTGGTTTGTTAACAAACATCTTCTCAACATGCTCAACTGCTGCCAAGTTCATCCACAGCTGTGCTGTCATCTACACCACGAGTAACTTACCAGCTTCTAGAGCATCCAGTTTCTGAATGGGTCCCACAAGCTGATACACAGATCCAGAAGATGTCATAACTCGTTTCTGATCAAGTCGCTGACAGATCACCGAGCTGTGCCAGTACTCATCCTCTCGGCTGAAATACAAACACAACATACTATTTTACACTAAAATACACCAAAAACATGTTCAAACAGTCAACAATAACATGCAAAACATAAATCAGGTCGAGTCCTTCAAGTGATTATATCATATGGTTTAACAAAAATAACATGAACATTCTATAATAGTTCATTGACGTTTTCTTGGCTCAAGATTTGCCTAACAAAACCAGTATAACAATAACATCCTCCATGGCCCAGCATTGCTACTGAAGGTTGACATTAAGATTAACTCTTTATGTTCCCACAAAAAGCCCCAAAAAGTCCTTTTTTCAGTCCTCACTTTACCATTTTGGGGGACATCTAGCATGAACTACAATAATAGTTCCATCTGCACACCTATCTGAGCTACAACTACAAATCATATAAATAGCAATCAACTGTACAACACTAACAATTCAGGGCATAACAATCATATAAAACATAATATACTATATCTAGACACAGTTTGAGTGATCTAATTTATAACAATTCAGGGCCTAACCACCATCTAATACACAACAGATTCTGTGTACACACAGTTTGAGTGATCTAATTTATAACAATTCAGGGCCTAACCACCATCTAATTCACAACAGATTCTGTGTAGACACAGTTTGAGTGATCTAATTTATAACAATTCAGGGCCTAACCACCATCTAATACACAACAGATTCTGTGTACACACAGTTTGAGTGATCTAATTTATAACAATTCAGGGCCTAACCACCATCTAATTCACAACAGATTCTGTGTAGACACAGTTTGAGTGATCTAATTTATAACAATTCAGGGCCTAACCACCATCTAATACACAACAGATTCTGTGTAGACACAGTTTGAGTGATCTAATTTATAACAATTCTGGGCCTAACCACCATCTAATACACAACAGATTCTGTGTAGACACAGTTTGAGTGATCTAATTTATAACAATTCAGGGCCTAACCACCATCTAATACACAACAGATGGTGTGTAGACACAGTTTGAGTGATCTAATTTATAACAATTCTGGGCCTAACCACCATCTAATTCACAACAGATTCTGTGTAGACACAGTTTGAGTGATCTAATTTATAACAATTCTGGGCCTAACCACCATCTAATACACAACAGATTCTGTGTAGACACAGTTTGAGTGATCTAATTTATAACAATTCTGGGCCTAACCACCATCTAATACACAACAGATTCTGTGTAAACACAGTTTGAGTGATCTAATTTATAACAATTCTGGGCCTAACCACCATCTAATACACAACAGATTCTGTGTAGACACAGTTTGAGTGATCTAATTTATAACAATTCTGGGCCTAACCACCATCTAATACACAACAGATTCTGTGTAGACACATTCTGAGTGTTCTAATGTTGTAACAATTCAGGGCCTAGCCATCACCTTAAACACAACAGATGATGTCTAGACACAGTTCGAGTGATCTTTTTTATAACTATGATAACAATTCAGGTCCTAGCCATCAACTAATACACAACAGATATCTAGTCACATTCCGAGTGATCTATTTAAAAACAATTCAGGGCCTAACCATCAACTAATACACACACACCAGATGATATCTAGACACATTTCGAGTGATCTAATGTTGTAACAATTCAGGGCCCCATTCCTTAAAGCGATCTTAGCGCTACGATGATTGTAAACCTATGTTAGAGTATGGGACTTATGATCACCTTAGTGCTAAGATCACTTTGTGGAACGGGGCCCTGGACCTATCCATCATGACGACAAGATGCACTACTTTATTTATTAAAAAATAGGGTAAGCCTTTTTCAAAGATCTTTTGACTTGCATGCCTAATTTTGCACACTGCTGTAAATATACTACTCAAAAGAAGTTAAAGAACACCCACAATTGGAAGGCTGTGTTGCAATACCCACCAGCCATGACAGATTACTATAGTCATGTGAAAAGATCAGGTGTTCTTTAACTTCTTTTGAGTAGCATATATTATTCCAGGGCCACTGCATCATCAACTTACTCTCGCTGCCCTTCAAGACATACTCCAAGCTTGCTCTGCATTGGTTTAATGATCCACAGATGCAGTTTGGTCACCTTGTTTTCTTTAGCTGAATCTTCGATTCTTTGCTCTACCACCTTGGCCTCATCTGCTGAAGAGGCTTCTTCTTCTGAAGGTAATGCCACCTGCTTTTGCTTTTCCTTCGACTGCTTTACCTTACTTTGAACACTCTTCTTCTGAATTTGGGTATCTTCTTTTGGTTCGAAAATATCCTCGCTTGAGGACTTTTTAGTGGTGTCTTTTTCAGAATCGGTTGTTGATTTACTAGCATATTTATTTCTTGTGTTACATGTTCGAGAAAACCCTGTTCGTCGGTTTTCCATCTTCTCCTCCTGTTTTCCTTCTTCCTTCTCTTGCTCTTGTTCCTGTTTGTCTTCCTCCTCACTGTCTTGAGAGTCTATGTAATACTGGTCGCGTTCTCGCTTTCCTGTTTTGAGTTTCGTCAGGGCGACAGGCTCCACAGGCTCCACGGGCTGACTACACAGGGCATCATCGACTTCATCGTCCTCCACAACACTGTCTTCACCCTCTCTGTCAACACATTCACAATGAAAAATATTTGTCATGAAAGTTATTTGGATCTAAAAGAAAACAATATAAGGCATACTTATTTAAATTCAAAGGACATTTTTAACCCTTTCAGTGCTTTGTTTATTCCACACATTTGTTAATCTGAACCATTTCACAAGGAATAAAACATCCTGGTTTTGCTGTACATATTGTTATACTCAAAAAGAGGAGTTCTGTTACATACTGTTATATACCGAAAAGAGGAGTTCTGTTACATACTGTTATACTCCAAAAGAAGAGTTCTGTTACATACTGTTATATACCCAAAAGAGGAGTTCTGTTACATACTGTTATACTCTTAAAGGGGAGATCTTTTACATACTGTTATTCCCCAAAAGAGGAGTTCTGTTACATACTGTTATATACCCAAAAGAGGAGTTCTGTTACATACTGTTATACTCCAAAAGAGGAGTTCTGTTACATACTGTTTATATACCCAAAAGAGGAGTTCTGTTATTTACTGTTTTATACCCAAAAGAGGAGTTCTGTTACATACTGTTATAGACCACAAAGAAGAGTTCTGTTACATACTGTTATACCCCAGAAGAGGAGTTCTGTTAGATACTATTCTACCAACAAGAGCTGCTCTGTTACATTCTGTTATACTCCAAATGAGGAGTTCTGTTTCATACTGTTATACCCCAAAAGAGGAGTTCTGTTACATACTGTTATATACCACAAAGAGGAGTTCTGTTACATACTGTTATACCCCAGAAGAGGAGTTCTGTTAGATACTATTATACCAACAAGAGGAGGTTCTGTTACATACTGTTATGTACCCAAAAGAGGAGTTCTGTTACATACTGTTATATACCCAAAAGAGGAGTTCTGTTACATACTGTTATGTACCGAAAAGAGGAGGTTCTGTTACATACTGTTATGTACCCAAAAGAGGAGGTTCTGTTACATACTGTTATACCTCAAAAGAGGAGTTGTTACATACTGTTATACTCCAAAAGAGGAGTTCTGTTACATACTGTTATATACCCAAAAGAGGAGTTCTGTTACATACTGTTTTACTCTAAAAGAGGAGATCTTTTACATACTGTTATTCCCCAAAAGAGGAGTTCTGTTACATACTGTTATATACCCAAAAGAGGAGTTCTGTTACATACTGTTATATACCTAAAAGAGTAGTTCTGTTTCATACTGTTATGTACCCAAAAGAGGAGGTTCTGTTACATACTGTTATACCTCAAAAGAGGAGTTGTTACATCCTGTTATACTCCAAATGAGGAGTTCTGTTTCATACTGTTATATGCCACAAAGAGGAGTTCTGTTACATACTGTTATACCCCAGAAGAGGAGTTGTTAGATACTATTATACCAACAAGAGGAGTTCTGTTACATACTGTTATACTCCAAATGAGGAGTTCTGTTTCATACTGTTATGTACCCAAAAGAGGAGTTCTGTTACATACTGTTATGTACCCAAAAGAGAAGGTTCTGTTACATACTGTTATACCTCGAAAGAGGAGTTGTTACATACTGTTATACTCCAAAAGAGGAGTCGTTACATACTGTTATACTCCAAAAGAGGAGTTCTGTTACATACTGTTATATACCCAAAAGAGGAGTTCTGTTACATACTGTTATACCCCAAAAGAGGAGTTCTGTTACATACTGTTATATACCCAAAAGAGGAGTTCTGTTACATACTGTTATACCCCAAAAGAGGAGTTCTGTTACATACAGTTATACTCCAAAAGAGGAGCTCTGTTACATACTGTTATATACCCAAAAGAGGAGTTCTGTTACATACTGTTATATACCCAAAAGAGGAGTTCTGTTACATACTGTTATACCCCAAAAGAGGAGTTCTGTTACATACAGTTATACTCCAAAAGAGGAGTTCTGTTACATACTGTTATATACCCAAAAGAGGAGTTCTGTTACATACTGTTATACCCCAAAAGAGGAGTTCTGTTACATACAGTTATACTCCAAAAGAGGAGCTCTGTTAAATACTGTTAAACCCCAAAAGAGCATGAACTACAATAATAGTTCCATCTGCACACCTATCTGAGCTACAACTACAAATCATATAAATAGCAATCAACTATAAAACAATAACAATTCAGGGCATAACAATCATCGAAAACAGAATAGACTATGTCCAGACACAGTTTGAGTGACATAATTTTTAACAATTCAGGGCCTAACCACCATCTAATACACAACAGATGGTGTGTAGACACATTGTGAGTAATCTAATGTTGTAACAATTCAGGGCCTAAACATCATCTAAAACACCTACAGATGATGTCTAGACACAGTTCGGGTGATCTATTTTATAACAATTCAGGTCCTTACCATCATCTAATACACAACAGATGATATCTAGACAAATTATCTCTAGTTCTGGTTACATACTAGTTTGAACAACAAATAAAAAAACATCGCCCGCCTGCACTATATTTTCAAAAGCCATTGCCTGAGAAAATTTCTTTTATTTTTTTACAGCCCAAAGTTGTGTTCTTAGATGTGTTCCTCATGCTCGTACTGAAAGAGTTCAACTCACTGATCAAGGGAGGAGAAAAACTCCTTCACCAAATGGAGCCAGCTGGCTGGAAACCCTTTCTTGAACTTCTTGGCTGTTTCAGGAGGGATTCCTACACAACACACAGCAGACAACATGGGCATCAAACATTTAGAAAGGCAAACTTGTAACACAGCTTTTGTCATGTTAACAAAGTACCATCACTAGGGCTGGCTAAAAAGACAGATAATTGGAACTATCGTCGATGGGAAGATATATTAACGATTACAGATATGAAAATTGTGTCATCGATCAATTCTTTTGGACTTAGCATATTTGCTCAGTTACTTATCCAATATTTATCGATAATTGATCAATATTTTGTTAGTGATTATCAATCTCAATGATCTATATCAATAGCCAGCCCTAACCATCACAATGATCGAAATTAAATGAACATTTTTTTACATTCAATAACAAAGTGTACTTATGACAGATATGATGCAAAGAACATGATGAGAGTAGTAAAGTCAAGTTACTTTTAATAAGCAGAATTCCTCAATCATCATGATCAGATAAAAACAAGAAATCACTAATCATAGCAATGGTAACCACAAGCATATATAATTTATCTACAAAAAAACCCCAAGAGTCATCAGAAGATGACAAATACCCCCGCCCCGCGTTAGCGAAAGGCACCACTTTAGCAACATTGTTAATACATGTACTAAGTTTGGATGAAAAATCTTTCAAGTTATGGATGGACGGACAGAGAGACCAGATGATGGCTATATCCTCCCACATTATATGCTGGGGGATAAATAGAAATAGAATTCTCAACCTGACAGATTTGATTAATATCCTCCACCAAAGATATATCCATGATATATATGTATGAATAGTGTCAGAATTCTTGTGTAATAGGGTGAAGTACCAGCTTCTGTTGCCTCATAGAGATCCATCTGTCCAACAAGCTGATACCGGGATCCACTGGATGTGGCTACCATGGTCGCCGTGAGCCTCTCCGTCACAACCCCAGTCTGCCAGTACTCCGCTACTTTCCTACTGTAACAGTAGCAAAGGGATATTCAGTCATTATGTCATAACAGACTTGATTTACAACCAGCTAACCCTTTCAATAAAAATGTAATGTGCTACTAGCAATAAATGGCACAAACCATATTCAAGGGGTGCATTATTGTTTCAAGACAATGGATACTTGACGAATTCCAACTTAAACCATATTCAAGGGGTGCATTATTTTTTTAAATGTTACTTGACCTAGGGCAAGTATGACTAACATTTCACTTGCCCTATTTCAAAACGTACTTACCCAAAATCAAACTAATAAATTGTTCTGTTTCAGAACTGAGATAACTTTTGTCCTCTACAACTAGTTGTCTTACAACATGTACAGTGACTCAGATGTATGATAAGTATAACAAGTCAATGCTTCATAGCTCAAAGGAATCAAACATGGCACACTGAATGAACTGGGTCAAGTTTCACAAAAATGTAATCATGTGATTATGTTACAATACTTGATTGGCCAATAGTTTGCTAGTGTCTATCTACACGAATAAACCAATGAGATTAATACATGTCGGGGCCAAATTGTCAAGAGAAAAAGACTTACTCTCTCTTGCCATCCAGACAAATTCCCCTTGAGAGAGGCATTGGTTTGATAATCCACTCATACAGTTTCGTAGGTTGATGTAGAGAGTTTTCGTGGTCTTGTCTCCGCTTGGCTCTTGTAACTGGCAAGTATTCTTCCTGTGAGGAGGACATTTCCGATGCATCCTCAACATCAGCATCCTGGCAAGTTTCTTCTCCTTGTTCTTCTGTCTGAGAGTCAGTATCTCTTGGCATCTTCTTGGAAAAGAAGTTGTCAATAATCGGGTCCTCTTCTTCATCCTCCTCAGCTGAAACGAGGTCATGTCAGATTTGGGGTTTTGCCTGATCACATTAATTTTATACAATGTACCAGAATTGTCATTAATAATACTTGCAAACAAAACCAATGGCTAGCATTTTACTTCTTGGATAGGTGATAAATTTGTTTCTAAACAGGTCTGCAAACGTACAAAAGAGACCTGGACCCACTTGCACAAAGTGATCTTAGCGCTAAGATGGTCGTAACTCCCATACTTTAACATAGGCTTACGATAGTCTTAGCGCTAAGATCACTTTGTGCAAGTGGGCCCTGGGCACCAAATAAGAAACATATCCATGTAGAGGTTCTAGAGATATCATATCAACAAACAACAATTGATCAAATTGATCCCATAACCTTGAAAATATGGTCACAGTCACCATTATCAACTGGGATCTGTAAACATATGCCTTAAATGTGATACAAATTCTTAAAAATATTCTGGAGCTATCTTGCTAACAAACAGCAAATTGGTCAATGTTCTGTGGTCTGTTTGCAAGCAGTTCTAAGACACTGGCACCAAATCTGAATCAAATCCTTGCAGAAGTTATATCTGTTAGTTATCTAACACATGGAGCCTAATAGTCACATGCTAAGTCTTCCACATAAGAGCGCAAACAGGGCAACAGTGAACAATTGACAGTATATTTTCTATCATGCATGTTAACAATTGAAAAGAATCTTCATCAAAATAAATCTATTTTATATATTTTTCACAGGAATATCCAACGAGCATGATGAGTGTAAACAAGCTGAAAAGAAATTTTACGGCTATTGGCAATTTAGATTGTTTCCCTTTACTTACCTAAAGGGGCGGTCGGGTAGCCTAGTGGATAAAGCGTTCGCTCATCACGACGAAGACCCATGTTCGATTCCCGATATGGGTAGAATGTGTGAAGCCCATTTCTGATGTCCCCCGCCCGTGATATAGCTGGAATATTGCTAAAAGCGGCGTAAAACCATACTCACTCACTCACTTTACTTACCTATGTCATTTTGAGCAGAATTCCGCAGAGCTGGCATGACATCAGCAGTGGAGGTGTCAGGCTGGGTGGGCGTGGTTGTACGAATGCCAGCCTCATGTTTTCCATGTGAGGACACCACACAGTGCCCTTCCCCTCCCTCTGTCATAGTGTGCTTTTGGTTGTCTGTGTTGCAACCCTCAGGCAGGACATTATCACCAGTCTTTGCATCACTGGGTCTCTTGAGGGACTCAAATACCTGCGCCTTGAGTTCTGTCCTTGGCCCCGATGTGGAGGTGACAATGGGGCGCGGACTAATGAGCTGGTGACACAGGGGTTGGGGACTTATGAACACTGACTTGTTGCCATTGTTGAAACTTGTGGACCTCAAAGCCTGCAATACAAACATATCACAACATTCATACTATTTGAATGGGCAAGCATTTGAGAACATACTGTTACACGTTCTTTCACATAGTCTGTCCACCTCACAACAAATACAGACACAGGCCAATCCATACGACACATTTGCCTTGAAGATGTTGAATGACCATAAAATCTTGAAGATGCCATGCTATGAGATTTTAACAAACATTTTACAATTACATGAGGAAAAAGCAATAGATTTGGTCGTATAGAAATAATAATCATATTGAGACAAATATTTCTTGACTTTGGTTAAGAAATGTAAATAATGTTCTTCAAGTTCTCAAGAAAGAGCCATGTAAAATGGGCATCATGATTAACACTCGGACCCACTGACTTTTATTCTTAATTTTGAACATTATGAGCAGCGGTAGAAACTAACATTTATAATGATAACATATAACAAAACCCTTACCAAATGGCAAATTTCTACTTATCCTTATGATACCTTAACTATTGGACAGTTTGGCTAGGACAACAGGAATAGTGCCAATGTCTAACACTGATGGTGTAGGACATACCGTATTCGACGTAATAAGCGCCCAGGGCGCTCTCAAAATTGGAAATAGGGGGCTCTTATTAGAATATAATTTTTGTGAAAAAAAGCAGCTGAAAGATCGTAAATTTCGTGGTTTATGCTGACAGCCTGAAATGATACAAAAGAAAAGTATGTGCGTATCATATACGACAAATATATTTTCCAGAAATTAATTGCCCATAATTAAGGGTGCATATAACACACGAGTGCGTATTATACACAAAGAAATAAGAGTACATTGATCAATAGATTAGGGGTGCTAATTGGGATTGTTCACTAGCCAATATATTAGCAAATATCGCCGTGGGCGCTTATTACGTAAAATACGGTATTAAATGTATTAATGCCTAACATGCCTAATCAGGGTTTAACATTGATTTACAAAAGTCGGGGGGGGGGGGGCGGTGGGGTAGCCTAGTTGTTAAAGCGTTTTGCTCGTCACGCCGAAGACCCGGGTTCGATTCCCCACATGGGTACAATGTGTGAAGCCCATTTCTGGTGTCCCCTGCCGTGATATTGCTAACAGTGGCGTAAAAACATACTCACTCACTCACTACAAAAGTCGGGGTCCAGAGGACCTTCAATAATTATTTTAAAGGGTCGTTGCAAGCCATATCAGCGTAAGAAATTGGTACTGGTCATGTAGTCTTTGCCAATCTGCCCCCATTTCAATTGCGTAATTTACAAAAAAGGTCCAATCAATTGAAAGAAAAAACTACTAGGATGATGGCATCTGTGACACATTCATCATGTTTTCAAAAGTTTGAATTGAATTGTACAGTTTAACAAAAATAAACGTCAATGTTTGAACTAAAGCAGATTATTTATTTCAAAGAGACCCTCTCTTGAATGCCATGTTGTCAAGTATATTCTGGGATTACAATGATCATAGCTACTTAACATCCTTAAGTTTGGTCTGTTTCAATTGTTAATTTGATTGTAACTAACAAAGATCTTTGTACAAGTGGATAGTGGTTGTTGCTGAAGTCTGATATCATGAAGATCACAATGTTAATGGTTTACAATAATTGTAGCGCTCAGATTGTTCTCTGCATGTGGGCCCCAGTACCAACAACATAACCATTATAGCAGTTTCTGTGCTGAAAGTTCCATCTTAAGTCAGCTGAATCACATGAATACTTACGATAGGAGCTGGGGAACTCTTGTACAATTCTTCAAAGGCAGATTGACACTCTGTTGGATTAAGTCTGGAACTCATCTGTAAGGGAACATGATTGTATTGAAAACAGTTATCAGGATACCGTCATGAAAATGATTGTCAAATTATTGTACCAATCCTGTTTCAGTGTTTGCTTCCTTAAACTTGTTAAATATATATGTTACACTAATCCTGTTAACAATTTAACATGACATGCATAGACTTCCATGTAGTGTACTGTCAAGAATGACTCAAGATAGGTCATTTGTAATTATGTATGAATGATTTCTCCACTAATCATGAGTGCATGATCACAATACATGCATTTACGATATTTACACTCATATAGGCCTATCAAGTATAAAATGGGATAGATCGATAGGAACCTGAATCTGGTCGGTGTACAGACATCTCACCCATAAAGTAAACATAAATATGCTGTATTTCAAATGAATATTATGTGAACATGGTGAGTACATTTAAATCAAGTTATTATTCATTGAGAACGAAAAATAATAACCAAAATTCATGACCAAAACTGATTTTGAAGACAAATCATTGTATATATTAGTGATTGTACACAAACAAAGATCTACAATGATAAAAATAACATTTTAACTGTGGAATTTTGTGTTAGAACTAAGAATCTATTCCTTTGGTTTGTTAATAACATTAGATCTACATATTTCCGATTTCAAAGTTTGTGAAACTGTTGATTGTAGTTACTCCATGTAACGGTAAATTATCCCTCTTGCACAAGATGATCGATAACTAAATTAATATAATTGAACATTATAATACTTAAAGTTTTGTAAGAAAATGTTATTTAGATACTCACATCAATACTGTCCAAGTAAAATCTCAAAGGGAATCATGGTAAACAAAACTCTTTGGAAAGCCCGCCATTGCTGTTTCCGTAACGGAAGCGTGAATGTCGCAACAACAGAAAAGAATTTGGTTTGGTAATATGGAGAACATTTGTTATATCTGCAATCAAACATGTAAAGGGGTGTGGATTTGACAATACATTGACAACTTTTAAAATAATAGTTTAATAACAACTGACAGCTGACGCAAACAATTTTCATTTACCAAAAGTCGATACGGCTCGGCAATTTCCGCCATTTCCCGAGTTTAGCCGAACATAGTACCTGTTTGAAGACTGTGAGGTTGCGATTATGGCGTTATCACAAGAAGACATGGCTGCTGCTATCAAGGAACCCGATCCATCAACTAAAGTAACGCCTTAGCACTGAAATAACATATTAGGTCCACATGACATATCAAAGAAATGGTCAAAGGAATTGGGCGAGGAATGTGTGATGAGGATTATGATTTCATCATAAGGGGACATAACTCCCAAGTACCCTCCCCAGATTGCATTTCAGGCCACAACAAATTAATCGTGTAGTTCAGTCCAAAGTAATGTATTTGATTAAACAATCATTAACAGTTTAGTATAGGTTTAATACAGCCCACCTCTTATTTCTTCTGATGGTTATAGTGAAAACACAACCTGTAGCAACGGTTTTGTTTTTGACACCCAACAGCTATAGACATGCTAGGTCGAATATGTTTTTAATCATATAACAATAATTATATCCCAAAATTTTGCTCTATAGGATTTTTTACATTTTATTTTTCCAGTTTCTTTGACAACAAATTGAATGTAGGTTAAATGGGGATAGGGTGGCCTACCTTTAGAATACAGTACCACAAACTTTTCAAACACATAACAATACCCTATGACATAATTTGGAGCACCTTTAGAATACAGTACCACAACTTCTCGTGAGGACGATCTCTGCCGTAGGCCTGACAGCTAACCGACTGAGCTACGTCCACACTGTTAAACTTAGTGCAAATTTACCTAGTCATGCCTATGACGTTGCAGAACTGAATGAAAAGGGTCGAATAGGTGACAGACACTTACGAAGGTTACGGGTAGGCATGGTGTCTCGTGACTTTAGTCTACTGACACTTACGAATGATCCCGATGGCATTTGGCACACTCGTCCCATTCCGTAATCTACAAGATACCGGGTGGTGAGGAATGAGCCGATATGCCGCGAACTGAAAACGGCTCCAGGCGTCAGACGTCAGACGTCGAACTCGCAAGTGGGCATGAATGATATGGTATTTAACAATTCGTCGGGTGATTTTTGTGACAGAAAAGTGTGGTAGGGAACACTGTAAGGATGATGTGGATAATAGTAAGGAACGATGGAGGAATAAGCATGAATAGTGACGACACAACGGTGAGTTCGCTTTTGAATCAGTAATGAAAAATGTAGCCGGTGAAAGTGGCTTGTGTGAATGTTCCAGGACAGTTTCCAGTAGCCAAAATATTCGACACAAAACCATTTCATCCTTTTTACTCAACGTTTTTTCCTGGAAGAATATAAGGAGCCGCTATATAATCTACAATAGCCACTAAACGAGTACCTAGCCCCTAACCCTAATGATCGTAAAGGGGTGATTGATCGTAAAGGGGATCCAAGGGTTTAGGATAGACTTAGGGTAATCTAATAGCCACTAAACGGGTTCCTAACCCTAATGATCGTAAAGGGGATCCAAGGGTTAAGGACAGAGTTCGGGGTAACCTACCCTAACAATGGCGACATTTGGATGTGTTCAGCACCACTAAATATCCCTAACAAACTACATACTTGTGCATAATAATGAAAATTAATGCACCGAAAAAATAATATATGTATATTAGTTCCTATTTATAACCCTTTTAGCCACTTGAATTACGAGAAAAACGAAATAAAAAATATATAAAAAATAAAAGTGCTTTCGTAAACTAGCGCTTGCTATAAAATGTGCCGCCGCAGGCTATATTCAGTAAACAAATATTCAAAACTCTCCACAGCGCTTGGCGTATTCAGTGACATTTCGTGTAGAGATGATAGATCACTGAGAGGAGCTTATGCACACTCGATGACCCCTGACGTCACATGGCATTGTTTCGCCGGTGTGACTGGCAACAAAATACTACAAATTACGTCATAGGGTATGATCACGTGTTTGAAAAGTTTGTGGTACTGTATTCTAAATGTAGTATTATGTTTCTGGTCACGCCAACGAAACAATGCCCTGCTCCTCCTAGTGATCTATCACCTCTATACGCAATGTCATTGAAAACGCCCTGCGATGTTGAGAGTTTTGAATATTTGTTTATTAAATATAGCCTGCGGCAAGCGCTAGTTTATGAAAGCACTTTTATTTTCAATATATATTTTATTTCATGTTATTTTTGTAATTCAAGTGGCTAAAATGATTATTAATGGGAACTAATATACATATATTATTTTTTCCGTTCATTAATTTTCATTATTATGCATAAGAATGCAGTTAATTAGGTATATTATATTGGCGCTGAACACATCCAAATGTCCCCGGTGTTACGGTAGGTTACCCCGAACTCTATCCTTAGCCCTTGGATCCCCTTTATGATCAATCACCCCTTTACGATCATTAGGGTTAGGTACCCATTTTGTTGCTATTAAATTTCTCAAACTCTGTCCTTAGCCCTTGGATCCCCTTTACGTTCAATCACCCCTAATTATAATCATTAGAGTTAGGTATCTGTTTAGTGGCTGTTATAGATTCTATAGCGGCTCCTAATATTTTTCACACAAAAATGTTGAGTAAAAAGGATGAAATGGTGTAGTGTTGAATATTTGGGCTACTTGAAACTGTCCTGGAACATTCACACAAGCCACTTTCACTCACTACATTTACTCAGTACTGATTCAAAAGCAAACTCACCCTTGCGTCGTCACTAGCCATGCTCATGCCTCCCATGTCATTCATGCATACCCGCGGGTTTGACATCTGACGCCTTGATCCTTTTTCAGTTCGCACCATATCGGCTCATTCCTCACCACTCGGTATCTTATAGATTAAGGAACAGGACGAGTGTGCCAAATGGCATCGGGGTCACCCGTAAATGTCCGTAAACTAAAGTCATGAGACACCATGCCTACCTGCTACCTTTATAAGTGTCCATGACCTATTCGATCACTTTCATTCAGTTCCGTAGCATTGTAGGCATGACTTGCTTAATTTGCACTTCCTTTCACAGTGTGGATGTATCTCAGTCGGTTAGCTGTTGGGCTTACAATCTGAAGGTCGCGAGTTTGCTTGTTTCTGGTGCAAATTTCAAAGACCATTCAGTATTTTGTTGGTCAAATTTTGCACTGATATGAATTTGCCCATGAGCTGGTGCATCTAGCTATAGGGAATGTTGGACAATTTTCCTCAAAAACGAGGACCAATCAATGAATAGTTAATGTCCTGAGCATAAATCATGAACCATTTGTATTTCCAGCTGTCCTTACTTTACAACAAGTGGTCATGTCATGACTTAATGCTTTTGGAATGTGTTACCTTTTGTATTTTTTCTATGTTGTACTGTTGACACTCACTTGCTGACCTAGATGCATCATAAGAGGACCAGTGAAGATCCGGGGTAGAATAGGTCTTCAGCAACCCATGCTTGCCATAAAAGGCGACTATGCTTGTCGTAATAGGTGACTAACGGAATCGGGTGGTCAGGCTTGCTGACTTGGTTCATGCATGTCATCGTATCCCAGTTGTGTGGATCGATGCTCATGACGTCAATCACTGGATTGTCTGGTCTAGATTAGATTATTTACAGACCACTGTCATATAGCTGTAATATTGCTGTGTGCAGTGTTAAAGAACAAACAAACAAATAAACAAAGCATCATAAGAGTCGCTGTCCCACAGTCTGTTGTTATTTGTATGGTGTGTGAAACTGAGACATTGTGTGTAATTAGGATCAATGTTGACTGCTCGTGCCAGACTGAGTAAGATTGAGTTAACAGACTTGGTGTTTGAATGTCTGAAATCAGTCTTGCCAATATGTCTCTCTTCAAGTCTTTTCTATGTGTGCATTTCAGGATTTTATCTTTCAACAAACTATGTTGAGAGTCAAGGACCCCAAAGTGTCTTTGGATTTTTACACAAGAGTTCTTGGAATGAGGTAAGATGTTCACATCTCTATCTGCCTTTGTTTTGTTTGTTGTTAAAGGCCGCACTCAGCAATATTCCAGCTATATATGATGGCAGTTTGTAAATAATGGCATCTGGACCAGACAATCCAGGGATTGATATCAAGAGCATCGATCCACACAATTGGTATTTCGATGACATTCATCAATCAAGCTTTACCACCTCTTATGACAAGCATGGGTTGCTGAAGACGTCTAACCTGGTTCTTCACAGGTCTCTATCTGCAGCCAGGGGGCACGGGTGGCCGTGTCGTCTAAGGCGCCGCGACTCGCTGTGCAGAGTTGCGTCCCTTGGGCAAGCCAGAAACTTATGATTGTGGGTTCGAATCCCAAATCGCCCCGATTATGTTTTCTAGGTTTGTACTCGTGGGTTTCACCGAAGTGGGAAACGTCTGAGACCTGCATCACTTCGGGCTTTCCTCTCACATTAAGCTGACACGCCGCGATATAACTGGAATACTGTTAAAAGTGGTGTTAAACCCAACTCACTCACTCACTCTATCTGCAGCCGGCCCTGGATGTAACAAACATCAAGGGATCATTACATTAACAGTCAGTTATCATGTGTCATATTATTTCTATAATAAACTGATTGACTGATTGTCATCCCATATGTCCAATGTTATATTTTCTCTCAAACTTTGGAAATGCTATAAGAATGTCCTATAAAAAGTAGATAAAATTATGAAAACGACTTGATGCCATTTTTATCCAGCAAATCTAGGGATTGAGATATTGAACTGAACCTTCGTGTCAGTTTTGTCAACAGTCCATATCTTTTTGGAAGTAAGAGACTTGTATCACATCAGATTCACCGGGACTTGACTGTTACAGGTTGTTGAAACGGTTGGACATGCCTGCTATGAAGTTCACTGTGTACTTCATTGGGTACGACCTGCCCGAGAACATCCCCACTGACGAGACTGAGAAAAGTATCTACTGTTTCAGGCAGAAGGCTACCCTGGAACTAACACAGTGGGTTACAATTATCAAGTTTAGTGAATAAGAATTAGTGAATTGTGTTCTGTGACAATGAAACCCTTTGTGGTGGATTGGGTTGGCAGTGTACAACTTCCTGTTGTAGTAGATGACGAAAATGAAGATTTGGTGGCGACAGTTGCTGCTGAATGTGGATAGTACAGGTGACCTGACTCAATTTGTGATCAGTCAACGATTTACCTGCTCAATGTCTGATCTTAGCATATCAGATTTAGTGTATCGCTGTACCCTGGACACACCTGCAGGCATGATGTATGCCATCACAGTCATCATCAGCTATTCACACTTGGTTAGGCTGTTTAGGTCGTTGTCTGCACAGGTACTACAGAAATGTACCCTAGCATGACAAAATATATATGGCACAAAACCAGCTGTCATGTAAACTCAGGGGGCACGGTTGGCCCAGTCGTCTAAGGCGCCGCGATTTGCTGTGCAGAGTTGCGTCCCTTGGGCATGCCAGAAACCTATGATTGTGGGTTCGAATCCCGGTTCGCCCCGATTATGTTTCTAGGTTTGTCAGCACCATACCCGTGCTCATGGGTTTCACCAAAGTGGTAAACATCTGAGACCTGCATTTGTGCATACAGATAGGTACCTGGGGTACATTTGTCTGTAGCAGTCACTCGTACTTGTGCCGACAATAACCCCAACAGCCTTAGTCAGTGTGTCAGCAAATGTCCAGCTGTCAGCAGTCCTAATAACCCTTTCATTTGAATTAGCCTTTGACGAACAAAAAACAGGATATTGTATTCTTGCTGCAGTTACTAGTAATCATAGGGCGGCATGGATTGCCCTGTGGTCTGAGGAAACACATCTCTCACTTTGGAATTAGATCTGTATGCGTAACTGAGTTGGGACCTGCTGTACGTGGGTCGAAAGACACATTTGGCTTGATTTAACCATTCTTGTGTTGTAAATACTAACTTTTACGTGACCATTTTCTTCTTCTCCAGTAACTGGGGTACAGAGAATGAAGACATGAGCTACCACAATGGGAACACAGATCCAAGAGGGTTTGGTATGCCATGTTTTGTCTACTCCGTGTGTGTTGGTAGCTTAGTGGCTAAAGCATTCACTTATGATAGGTACAGTGTGAGGTGAGGTGAAATGGGGTTTAACGTCACGTCCAAGATAATTGCACTTACATAGCGACGTGCATGCACGTTTGTGTGGATAGGTGCTTGTACTAGTCCAGACCGATGCCGAGTTACTAGTGCTAGCCACTGAGATACCATGCTGCAGTTTTAACATGAATACCGTACTCAGACACAGTATACTGACTCCGAGCCAACCAGTCCTTGTTTTAGCCCTTTAATGCCGAGCGCCAGACAGGGTAACAACAAGTACCATCTTTTAACGTCCTTTGCTATGACGCGGCCGGGCAGATGCTTTACCAACAGACCACGGAGGCGGTCACACACTATATGACAGTGCCAGTGTTGGTTTAATAATATCAGTGCCTATTTTGAAAGAGTGGTTCTCTTTAGGTCATTTGTTACTTTAAGGTAATATGTTGCTAATTTTCTACTTCTAAATTCAAACTATTCAGACGCATTGTCAACCAATGAGATACATTACCTTGGCATCATCAGGACAGACACTGTTGAATTTCTCCATCAGTTTATTGTAAGATCTGGAATATGGGGTTTCTGAAGCAAAATAGGTTCCTTGTAGGTGCTTGTCATACAATGTTGTACCCATACTTGTAGTTCAATGTAGTTACAAGGTCATAAAATGGATGTTTGCTCAGGCTGACAATCACCTGTTTCCTGAACAAGACATTATTAGTTATGGTGTCTTTAGTGTTTACGGTGTCATATTAGGTCAGCAGAAAAATATTAGACGAGGCAACTGTAACGTGATAGCAGTCCGCTTTCCTCTAGCTCAGCTTGGGCAGCTCAGCAATCTATTCTATTGCTATGTGACGTCATTGGCGTCACGTTTCTTGTTTGTGATGTCATCCTTGACTATGTTAATGATGTTGCTATTTGTAACTCAGTGACCTCTGTTGTAAGCTTTTTCTCTCTATACTTTTTATTAAAAAAAGTCACGAACGTGGTTTCATTAAACATTTATGTCTTTGCGCATCACAATTAATGATATTAAAACACAAAACAGTGTCGAATAATAAATTTCTGTTTCTGAATTTTCATGTGAGGCGGATGTTGCAAAATCCAAAATGGCTGCTACTGACGGTCTCATATTGGGTCAGTAACAACCATCTTGGATTTTTACTTACGGTATACAGGCTCATATGGGGTTTGTAGTTCTGCTCTCTGATTGGTCAATCTCACTTTGAGGAATAATAAGATTGAATATTTACAGGCAGCTTCACTTATGAAAAACAATGGTTCAGAAATCATGTGTGTTTCCAGGTCATATCGGGATATCGGTGCCAGATGTCTACAAGGCCTGTGAGAGATTTGAACAGCAAGGCGTCCCATTCATCAAGACACCTGATGGAGGTACACAACATTGTCTGATCATGCTGTATTGGTATTACATGGCAGCTTTAACTTGAGGCATCATTGTTGATTGAGAAATATGTTTTGGTGGATGATAGTAGTCTCATGGCTAAAAAGTGCTTTCTAGTCACACTGTAGATACTGTTTTTAGTCTTCAGAGTGACACATGGCGTGACGCTCATTCTTGGTATCATCCTCTGTATATATTCTTACTTTAAAAATTGTTCAAAAAGTGGTGCAAAGGCTCACTCGTGTTATCTGATCAGTAAAAGCAGGACTTGTCCACCCATCAACAGACTCCTAACGGAATATTATTTATTCAATGTTTGAATATAACAAGTGGTTAAATATTTCTCTGCTATGCAGATAATGTCCTGTTGCTTGTTGCAAAGGTACTCTATTCAATATTGATGTAGGATGTGTGTGATATTAAAACTTCATAATTTCATCTATGTATCCTCTTCATAAACTTAAAATGCTGTGATTCAATATATGCATTTTGTTTTCAGGTAAAATGAAAGGACTTGCTTTTATTAAAGACCCGGATGGCTACTGGATAGAAATCCTCAGTCCAAATAATTTGATCAGAACATGAAATCAACATGAAGCAACACTTATTACCAAGACCACATAATCAAGAACCCATATTCAGCTTGAAATATGTTAATATGTTGGTGATGATTCTATTGTGTATATTTACTGAGTATCAAGGAGCTCTGGCATGTGTCAGTGTTTTGTATCATTTTACAAGTACTATATCATGCCTAAGAAAGTAATAATTAATTGACTTCAACTTTTTTTGTGTTTATGGAAACCTAAACGCCAAAATATATGATTGGTTAACCTATCAAAGCCACAGAATCACTTGCAGTTAATTTTTTGTGGTATATTTCCATAGTTTTAAGGCTGGACATTACATGAGCGTATCCTGATTTGGTGTTGAAAAAAGCAATGTTTCACTTCAGAAGCTCAGTTTCAAAATAACAGGTGTATGTCCTGATTAGGTTTTGAAAACAACAACGTATCTCTTCAGAAGCTTTTCAGGCATTTTCCCTACTTATAAGCAGAGGGCATGGATGCCCCACCTATCTACTGTGCCATCAATCGTTCTTCTTCCCAAGGCAAGGGAGTTAACTGACTATAAAAGTAGAAATTCCACCCTTGCCCAACTAGGCTGGAATTCCTGGGCTTGATCGTAGCGCCACCAGTGGCTATTACGAGTTATGTCCCTTCTATGTCCTTCCTATTAACTATCCCCCATGTCACTTGCATTTGCTTCAAACAAAATGGCGACGATAATCAAGATCTGTATTGTAATTAAATGGGCCATACCCCGCAAAGTGAATCAGATCACTTGAGCACCTTGATTAAAAACATGAAAGAAATTGCAGAATATCTGACGACGCCCAGTGGGCGGTATACATGCTTTGCAAATCCTGCAGTCTACAAAAATCTGCAAGTTGAAATCCATGTAATTCATTATGCCATTTTGATTGGACTATGCAAAGACTCGTTAGTCCAGCCAAAATGTAACTCCAGAATTCCAGCCAAGTTCAGCAAGGGTGGAAACTGGACTTTTAGTCAGTAAACTCCCTTGCCTCAGGAAGATGTCATTCATTGTGCAGATAGGCATCCCTTACCAACTTCAGTTTCTTCCTTCATTATACAGACAACTATGATTTAGGCTTAATTGGTTCACATTTTTCACACTTTGATCTTTCACATCTTAGATGATCTGCAAGTGATAGAATCTTTTCATGGACTTTTTGTAATATTTGATTAAAATATTGCTTACTTAAGATGTTTTAGCAGTGACCACTTGGTAATACTTAAAGTGGACATTTTGACTATCATGATGTATTTGACTGCTCACATTGTGATACATTGATACAGGGATTGATTGAAACACTTGTACGTTTTGCCTCAAAGCTTGTTGTTCAAAGCTTTACATCATGTAATTTTAAAAAGCAAACAAGGCAGGGCTAGACTACGCTTGAATGAAATCCGTCAAAATGTACCATTCCTAGACATTATGTGAATGTCATGTCTACACCCAGTGTGTAGTAGCTTATATATGGTGCTAGTTATTCAAGTGCTAAATGTGTGGAATTCCTTATTGTTTTTTGTGTGAAATCCGTTTATTTTTTAATCTTATCACAATTATCAACATTTATGAAAACATAAACATAGATTATTTCCTAAACATGTCTTTGTCACAGATAGTTGACAGTTCTAATGGCAGTGGAATGTTGCAGTGCAAGCATTCTGAACACTTGCTAATGTGGCTTTTGTCTTAATTGTGTGGCATTAAATTGGTTTGAATTTTTCTGTCTTGTTTTGAATATATTAATTTAACTACTGTCAAAGTACAGGGCCTGGTCAAAAAGTTCTAAGCCTAACAAACAAAACCAGCAACTGTGAAAGTGTTTTTAATTTTATTTTTCAACATATCGAAAGTGAAGCTTTTCAATTCCAGTCAGGAAGAAGTTTACTGAAGCCACCCTGAAAAACCCATTCACGGCAGCTTTTAGGTCTTCGTTGTCGTCATAGTGCTTTTCACGAAGGCATTCTTTTAGGTTAGGAAACAGGTGGCAATAACTTGGTGCCAGGTCTGGCATGAATGGAGGGTGAGGAAGCTCTTTGAACCCAATTTATCGCACAGCAGCCTTTGCAAGTCAAGAGGTATGAGAAGAGACATTGTCATGATGAATAGAACTCCAGCAGTCAGCATTCCTCGCCGCTTTTCTTTGATGGAATCTCTCAGGCGATGAAGCAGGTCAGCATAGCAGCCACCGGTAAACGTCTTTGGACTTTCCAAATAATCAACAAGGATCACACCCTTTGCATCCCAGAATACAGTGGCCATAACTTTCTTCACTGATCTCGAAGACTTGGTGCCGGACAAGTGGAATGGTGCCATTCCATGGATTGATGTTTTGACTTGGGATCATACTGGTAGACCCATATTTCATCACCCATTACTAATTTCTTTTTGAATTTGACGAAATCCTCCTCAGTTTTCTCTAAATTTTCTCTGGCAACGTCAGTTCTTTTTTCCTTAAAATCAAAATTTAACCACCCAACGAGCAGGTCTTATTCATCAGTAAATGTCCATGAATAATAGTTTCAAAGGATCCATGGCTTAAACTTGTGTCTTCATCAAGTTCACCAATGGTAATACGCCTATCTGACATTATACAGAGTTTTTCTATCTCTTTGATTGATTATTCATTGATGGAAGTTGAGGGACATCCAGATCTAGGGTCAAAATCAAGGCGTGTTCTCCCAGCCACAAACATATCTGACCAACGTTTAACATTGGAATAGCAAGGGAAATTATCCCCATACACTTGTGGCATGCGGTCATGAATTTCTTGAGTACTTTTCTCTAAAATCAAAAACTTGATGACTGCTCGGTACACATTCTTTTCCATTTCTGTGTCTGTTTGGACCAACTGGCTGTCACTAATATACAAACTAGCTCAACAGACCAAATACACTTGCAATGAACTACTCAAACAATGTATTATAATGCCTAGTTCGCTTTGTTATGACCTATTGTTGAAAGTTAGTCCGGCTAAGAACTTTTTTACCAGCCCTCCTGTATTTCTTTCTGATTGTTACATATTAGGGCAGTATGGTATAAGTGTACTAGTGTTTCAATATTTTAGATAATAATTGATTCATAATAAGGGGCCCAGTTATTTTAGTAGGTGTCTTGTTTATGTTTGTCTTTGATTCTGGCATGACCTGTTGTTTCTTTGACATGAACAAGTATTTGCCACTGATATAATCCCCCAAATACAAACAGAACAGAATAATTTTTGAGGATTAATTCTAATATGTTTTTCAACACAGAGAAACACAGAATGTGTGGTCATAATCTCATTGAGAGATTAAACTGGAACAAATAATCGGCAAGTATACATTACACACTCAAGTCAGTTTCAATGGATTTGGACTAACTACATTTTCAGAGAATGTTTTAACAGGATATTTTCTTTATCTGTAATCAATGATACAGGGAACCATTAGAAGAAGAAGCAAACCCATAGTGATGATGTCATCAACAAAGTCCAAATCAGTCAAATGCTACCTGTGATCTTGAAAATAATGTCAAGGTCACAATGTTTATGTGAGGTCGAACTGCTTTCCTAGCATAACATTACCTGTGAATTTTATCTTCACACATTTCATTACCAAAAAGGGAAAACAGTTTCCAATGACCTTGGAAACTAAGGTCAAGGTCGACACATTCAACAATTGTGGAATTGCCAAAGATACAATTTTGCCAAATATTAATGAAATCAGAGACCATATATATGACCGGTATATGGTCTCTGATGAAATCTATGCAGTGTTACTTGCCACCTTGCAAGTGTGGTCAACAGCAACATATCCGGATAGATAACCCGTCAGTCTGAATTGAAGCAAGCATGGTCTATGGCAGCCAGACAGAAAGGTGCTAGCCTGTATGCAATTGATCAGTCATTCGAAGATAAATTAACCGTTTCTCTGTAGCCAGAACAGCTCTAGCCCCAGAACAGCTCTAGCATGGCTAGAAACCACCTTACATTTCCAAGAAAGGTGGCATTATGATAAACTGCACAAATATCACTTTTCATTGACCGGAGCCAAAAGCAACGAAATACAAAAACGAATAAAGTTATATTTACTGTAGGTGCTATCTTTGGATTTGAACAATGACATATATTGACTATAAAAACAAAAGTAACAACTGCTAACTTAAGGAATAATTATTGATCACATGCATTTTTTAGTCTTTGACTTCATACATTTAATAATAGAGCAGGATGATACATTTCTAATTTGACCAGCGACACAACATTCCAAGAACTACCCCTCCATATACTGTTAGTTGATTGGTTTGTTGTTTAACGCCGCATAATATTCCAGCTATATGACGTCGGTCTGTAAATAATGGAGTCTGGACCAGACAATCCAGTGATTGATATCAGGAGCATCGATCTACTCAAACGGAATACGATGCCATGCATCAATCTTGTCAGCGAGCCCGACCACCCGATCCCATTTGTCGCCTCTTACGACAAGCATTGTCGCCTCTTTCTGCAAGCATGGGTTGCTGAAGACCTATTCTACCCCGGATCTTCATGGGTCTCCTATGTGTGAGTAAGGTACACATATCTATTGCGACCCTAGGGGCGGTCGGGTAGCCTAGTGGTTAAGGCGTAACCTCGTCACGCCGAAGGCCCGGGTTCGATTCCCGACATGGGTACAATGTGTGAAGCCCATTTCTGGTGTCCCCCGCCGTGATATTGCTGGAATATTGCTAAAAGCGGAGTAAAACCGAACTCAATCACTATTGCGACCCGCAAAGATCCGGGGTAGAATAGGTCTTCAGCAACCAATGCTTGCCGTAAAAGGCGATTATGCTTGTCGTAAGAGGCGTATCCCAATATTGCGTGAATCGATGCTCATGTTATCATCACTGGACTGTCTGGTCCAGACTCGATTATTTACAGACTGCCGTCATATAGCTGGAATATTGCTGAGTGCGGCGTTAAACAAAAAAAACATATCTATTGCGAGTTTTAGTATAAATAGAGTTTGCTTTTTGTATTGATATGATTTCTATTTTCGTACACTGTGAATGAACTGTGTAATATTACACCAAAGGGTGACAACATTCGCGGTGATATATCTTGATGACGTCACTCGTTTAATGAGCGCCTCCGTTCGATCGGGTTTGGCACTTTTACTCCATGTGGCGTGGTAGAACACGGAGAAAGACAAATCTCACACAGACAGAGTTGAGACGCGAGACGTGTATCTGTGGGGAAATTGATTCAAAAACACCTTTTAATCCTTTAATCTGTAGTTGAAAGCCTCCATATCATGGTGCATACTCTTCCGTACTCTGTACGCCTGGTCTAATGACTGTCATCACATGGTCGTCTCCCGTCACTAGTGACAATACATTCAACAGACACTTTCTGAAACAAAGGACATAGCAACTGTCATCACATGTTCGTCTCTCGTCACTAGTGACAATACATTCAACAGACACTTTCTGAAGCAAAGGACATAGCAAATGTCATCACATGGCGTTAACTGGCTGTCTCAGAGTGGGCACATGCATTGCCTCTTTAATAACGCGGAAGGGGGAAATGGGGATTTGTTTAAGCAAACACCAAAAGATCATTCTCGTTAAGTCACGTGGTGTTACTGACACCAATATATAGTCCAAATCTCTTCCGCCGAAACGCACTGTGTATTTGCAGAAAAGTTCACAATGTAAGTAAACGCAGCACTGATTTCAAAATGACTATTTTCTCTGTTTTCATCCTCTACAGATGAGAGATAGCAAATGTTCTTTTAATTTACATTATACACGTTTCGTTATGCCAATCAGTTTTCTACTTCCTATTCTTCTAAACGCGTTGGAAACAAACACTGTAATTAATACACGCACATGATACGTGTTGACAAGACTAAAGTATTACGTATTCCTTTTTGTTACTAATGAAGAAAACAACATGGCGTGCGATCTTTGATATTAATTTCAGCATTAAATATTGTGAGAACCATGAATGTTCCCCTAGGACTATCTACATTGCAGTATTTTAATATTTTATTTCAAGGAACCCCTAATGCACTAAGAATCCTTCGGGGGTCTTCATAGTTCAATATGCTTAAATTTAGCAATTTTGAATTCAGAGTGAATGTGTATGGTGTGTGAACATTCTAGAAATAAGGAATTTTTTCTTTTACATTCGGGTGTTCAGGCTCGCTGACTTGGTTGATGCATATCATCGTATCTAGCATGGATTGACGCTCATGATATCCATCCATGATGTTAGTCACTGGATTGTCTGGACCAGATTCGATTATTTACAGACCGCCCTCATAATGCTGAAATATTGCCGAGTGCGGCTTTAAACAACAAAATAAGTATTTGCATTTATCCTAATGATATAAATTATATAAAATGCCCGGCAAAATGAACTGTACTTTGTTTTGGTTGGATCAAAACATTGCAAGTAAACGTTTTCAAAACGCTATTAGGCTGACAACGGTCACCGAAGCACTGCAAACGTAAGGTCCAAAACACAACACCCGTTTCAAATAGTTCACTATCGCTAAAGCATTTCACTTTTTGTTTAACTTGATTGATTGTTGTTTAACGTCGCTATATGACGTCCGCCTGTATATAATCGAGTCTGGACCAGACAATCTAGTGACTGACATGATCATCGATCCACGCCATTGGGATACGATGACATGCATCATCCAAGTCAGCGAGCCTGATCACCCGGTCCCATTAGTCGCCTCTTACGACAAGCATAGTCGCCTTTTACGCCAAGCATGGATTGCTGCAGACCTATTCTACCCCGGATCTTCACGGGTCTTGTTTTACTTTAACCACCATCCAACATAGGTGTATATCTTTTACCAAATTACAATTAACACAACCTTTAGGAAGGAATTGGAGTGAGTGAGTGAGTTGGGTTTGACGCCGCTTTTAACAGTATTCCAGTTATATCGCGGCGTGTCAGCTTAATGTGGGAGGAAAGCCCGAAGTGATGCAGGTCTCAGACGTTTACCACTTCGGTGAAACCCACGAGCACGGGTATGGTGCTGACAAACCTTGAATCATAATCGGGGCGAACCGGGATTCGAACCCACAATGATAGGTTTTTTTGGCGTGCCCAAGGGACGCAACTCTGCTCAGCGAATCGCGGCCCATAGACGACTGGCCACCCGTGCCCCCGGAAGGAATTGGAAGAAATCCCAAAGACTGCCATATCACAACTGTAAATTGTCACGAAATCTTATCACAATTTCTTTCTTCAGGGAGGAGAACCGAAAAGTGATACGACGCATGTCCTTTGCCCTTGACCTGAGTTCTGCTGTGCTGCGAGCCCGCGCTGACGGAAAATTCTGTGACGTCAACATTGTCGTAAAAGGTCAAGACCATCGCTGTCATCGCCTCGTACTGTGCTCAGCGTCTTCTTTCTTCAAAACCGCACTTGGTGACACCGAGAACTCCACCGGCAAGATGATGATCCGGGGCATTGACCTGAGCATCTTCACCATCCTTCTCGACTACATCTACGGCGAAGACATAGTGCTGACCCGAGACAACGCAGCGGACATCCTGTTTGCGTCTTTGAAGCTCGGCATGGAAAGACTACAGCGCGAGTGCGAACGTTACCTGGGCGACCACATGACGTCAGACACAAGCATTGAAGTATGGAGAACGGCGAGGATGAAACAGCTGACAGATCTTCAGACCATTGCCTTCGAGTGGATTGTGGCTCACTTTGATAACGTTGTTAGTACCGAATCCTTCATAGCACTGAAGGCGGATGAACTGAGCGTTATTTTGAGAGAGGATAAGCTTAAAGTCCCGAGCGAGGAATTTGTCTTCGAGGCTGTGATGAAATGGATGAGGCACCATCCATCTTCAAGAAAAAGCAATCTGTCCACAGTGTTAGCTAGTGTCCGCCTCCCCTTCATCAATCCCCACTATCTCCTTCACTACTTCACCTCCAACGACGTCCTCATCCGCAACAAGTCATGTCACCGGTTAGTTGAAAACGCCAAGGCCTATCAGCTACTTCCGGGAAGGAGGGCCGAGTTTTCTTCCTCGACCACTGTCCCCAGGGCATCAGCTGGCGTGGAAGACATCATAATTGTCATTGGCGGCTACATCGAACAGCATCGGCAACATGATGGTTCATCGGCAACATCAGCGACAGTGTCATCGTTGACCACACCGCAGACGCCCGTCACCCAGCACCGGAGAGTTCAACATCAAGGTAACATACAGACTACCCCTAAACACACCAGAGAGTTCATCCGCGCCAACGTCGTGCTTCATCAATCCTACACCACCTCACGAACAGTCCATGGCTACAGCTTCTTGTCCAACCATTGGTACAAGCTCGCCTCGCTGCCCCAAGACCCAGGCTTCGACTTTGCTACAAGTGCCCATGGCTCGTCCATCTTCGTCAGCGGTGGGACTTTGACCAGCAAACGGCTCCAGAGATTTGACAAGAACAGATGGATAAGTGAGAACAGCCTTCCCGAGCAGAGATGCTCCCACTCTTCAGCTGTGGTTGGTGATCACCTATACTTGGTCGGCGGTCTGTGGTTCGACGGGAGGGGCGTGTTCGGCGGAATGGTCTCCTCCATCAGCAAGTTCTCCGTGTCCAGTGATGCTTGGGAATCCTGTTCCGGAACACTCCAAGTCCCCGTACAGAAACCAGCAGTTGCCGTCATCCACGACAAGATCTACCTGTTCGGCGGCGTTGACCAATACGGGAATCACGTCAAGACGACCCAGTACTACGACACCTCCAAAGATGGATCGTGCGTCCTACATTCCATCCCCAGTCCCGCCACTGAGATTCGCGCCCTCGCTGTGGATGACGTAGTGTACCTTGTCTCAAGATACGGTCTCCAGCAGTTCACAGAAGACAAACTCATCTGTAAGGCAAGTCTGTCCGAGCTCGACGGATGTGTGGACTTTGAGGTGTGTCAGCACAGGGGACAAGTATATGTCATGGGAGGCTTCCATGAAAGTACTCTTCGTGGTTCGCGCGTCATCATCAGTAAGAACTTCGACGTGAAGACCCAGGCCCATTTCCTAGGCTTTCACCGAGCAGGTTTCGGATGTGTGAAGGTGACCCTCGGGAAGAAGTACTTGAAAGGACACCGACAGTGAAGATACATCCTGAGTACTATCGGTTAGCATGTGGAGTATTTTCGGAAAATCTGAAATGATTTACACACCAGTGACTCAAGACATTCCAGTGAAACTGCGTGAAGACGTAGCGGCCCGTTCTATTCCATAAATAATGCAAAGGAGTAATACGGAAGTGCTATGTAATATTTAGAATATCAGTTTTAAATAAAATATTTATTTTCTAAAGAAATTGCGTTGGTATTACAGTGGGCCTTTTTTGGTTTTAATGCCAATGGAACAACAGCGAGTGTCGACTTAATGTGGGAGTGCATGTTGAACAAGACATAATTTAATGACGTTGACCCCGATTGTGAGATCCGCGAACACTGACATGGTGCTGATATTAAGCGACTCTAGATGGCACGACTGAGCCAGAACGATTGTACGTGTTTTGGGCAACCGTTTCTTTTACATTGATCAGCAAGAAACAATTCCGGTTATTTACATGTTCACTGGGTTCCAACATTTACCCCATGCCAGAGGTCATATATATGGCACTCCCATAATCTAAAATGACAAGATCAAATAAACCGTGAGATTTACAAGTAATGCAAACAACCTATAGTAACATTTTACCCGTATTTCATAACTTTTAATACCACGCTCAGAAACGTATATATTTCATAATTAAACTTTCTCCCGCCGCAAGCTAAGGGAGATAATTTTGGCACTCTTCAGTTCACTGGGGTATGTTTGGTATCGACTTCCTTTTGCTTCAGCAGATGCCCTTTCGACTTATGTTTTACCTGATTCTAACATCCCTTTGGTCTATAGAGACATCATTGTTGAATTATAACTTCCACCAGATAACAGAATAGGAAATATTTCATAATGAGCGTCCACCTCGGTAGAGTTACATCGCTGTCATCACAAACGTGGTGTCGCGTTGCCCATGCACGCTCTTCGTGGAAAGTATGGCGGTCGCAGTTCAACTCTGGACTGTCGTGCAGGGGTATGGCCGGCCAATCTGACAGTCCTATGAATGTGTTTGACAGGAAAGCGAAACGGATACAGAAAAACAGAACGGCTTTGATGGAAGATTATCGAGTTTATGAGTATTTAAAGGAGGAGGTGAGTCTCATTCATGATGATGTAATTATTACTGTACTGTGCTATCGTACATAGCGCTATATATCTGCTACTTAATCTACTAATCAAGGTGACGTCACATTACGTGTGCAAATGAAATAATGGTGAATGCAAAATAGCTTCAGAAAAGAAACTTTTCAGTCACGAGTGGAATCTTCGGCTATGACTGGGATGGGTAACTCAGGTACTCAGGTTGGGTGGAACCCCGTGTACCCTCAGGACTACCCGCACCCATGTTTAGTCACGGGATACATTTTTAATGATAAGACTGATCTAGAACTCCATGGTTACACTACAAGTCACATTGGTTTGCGTCTTTGACTATATACACATTCCTTCTGACTTATATATATTTGAATAAAGAATGTAATTCTTTAATTCATTGTCCTTATTAATTATATTGTACAAGGTGAAGGGATACATATCATTTTCTGCCAACTGTCATTTTACAATGATATATTTAAAAACACCCATTGTAACTTGCCTGCATTATACTTTTGCAGATTGGATACAGAGTTGCAGACAGAATTTGTGATGTTAAAAGGTAAAATGACAACTGCAAAAAGGCTTATGACTGATGATGGAAAAGATGAGTTGCTCCCATACAATATAATACACAACAAACAACCAGTTTACATGAGGCAAGAAAAACCATTCTGTCATATATCTCTTTCCTACTGTCCCCATTGACATCTAGCATTTCTAATTCTGTTCAATTTTTATTTATTTTTAACAGAAAGTTTGGTGTTGCTGTTGATCTTGGATGTGGCCGAGGACATGTCTCAAAGCACATCTATAGTGATATGGTTGGGACATTATACCAGTGTGACATGGCAGACAGGGTACTGGTAGGTAGATATAAACTATAAACATGCTTGATAAAACTTAAATATAAAAAGTCATGGTGCACAGTTGTTTTTAAATGCCCAAAGTATTTTTCATCACAATGTTACAGTAAGGATCATTAGTTTTTGAAATTAAGAATGAAAGTCGAGGGTCCCTGTCTTTGCCCTAATGTTAAAAGTTTATGGGATCCGTAGATTCAAATACTATTGTAGCGAACCTCAAGGACCCCAGGACCTCAAGCACTGAGTTGAGTAATGAGTCATCCAGTAACCACCAGTTACTTCTGTGATGAGGGGATGGCTTGATTTGTAGTTCATGGCTTCAGGATTGTTTGGCTGCAGGTTTGGATCCCAGATATTAACCACTGGTTTGTTTGGCCCAGTCATGATTAAAAGACAGGCTGTTGTGATATTGCTGGAATATTGCACCATAAAATAATATTCACTTTTTGGATGCTGAGACACAAAATGAAATGAAAATCATGAAAATTGAAGAAACTTCAAATGCCAGGCAGCATGTATGTGTACCATGGTGTACAGTAAAAGTTGGTAATTTTGTAACCCCTGATAGGAAGCTGTCTATGAAACACTTGCTCTTGACTTTGGACACTATTGACAACCTAAATGTAGCAAAATGGGCTGTGAACGTTAGAAAAATAAGAAAACCCTGTTGTTAATGTTGAGAGAGAAGATAAATGAATGTCATCAGTGAATTGTGTTTTCTCATTGCAGATGCAAAGTGAATTATCTCCAGAAGTTCCTACCCATCGAGTTATTGCTGATGAAGAATATTTTCCTTTCAAAGATAACTCCCTTGACATGGTTGTCAGCAGTCTTAGGTACATTGTTATTGTGCAGCAACACAGTTGTTTGGTGGACATATCAAGTGACTAGAGACAAAATGTTAATTTTTTAACTTATCCTATCTCACACTATGCATTTCTCCTTCTTTTGATCCTATGTGGAAATATGTTTGAACAAGAGTTTCCAGCTGCTAAAAACAATTCACCCGAACACATCCCAGCATAGTCACGTCGCCACCAAAACAAATGGGTCACGTTCTGTAATCCTGTGCATAGTGACCTACAGGACCTGATCACCTGACTACCCCTGCCGTATGTGACGCTGTTGGTTGCTCCAACGTAGGCGTTGAAATTAGGGGTGTCATGATAAATAGAAATATTGATATATTGTCAATAAATTGATTGTTAAATCAGTTTCCGATCAATAGTATAAAAAAATTGAAACCTGAACAAAAGAACATTCTGGAATGGCTAATAGATGGTCTAGATTGTATGGATTCAGTCGTTAAGCCCGTAACTATCGTTCTGAATACCCTGTGTTAAAGTTTTTGAGGTTGCATGATTAGAAATCACATTCCGACTGTCACTTTCATGATCTAGGTAAGTGACACTCTGATGGGTTGGATAAAAGGTCGTTCTGACGTGACCCCTAATGGGATGTCCTCAGATCTTTCTTAAGCGGTAGAGGGAGCTAAGATCTGATTTACATGAGATTGGAAGAATGGAAAGGTACACTTACAATTGCTTTCGCTGATTCAAAATTTTCTATTCACTGCTGCTTTTACATATCCAGTACATATGAGGCTACCTGATGATGCTTGTGTTCATTGGTGTTCCAGCCTACACTGGGTGAATGACCTGCCTGGATGCTTTAGACAGGTCAGTACAGTTGCTGTATACTTGATAATGGGTTCAATCTAAAGGCTCTTGGTATAATCAAAATTGTTATTCACAGGAAAGAGAAAGATATTTGAAAAAGTAAATGCTTTTTCTTTTTTGTTATTCCGTACTTTGACATTCGCTCACACATTCTGTGTCTTAGATAGGACATAACAGAGCAGGGTTTTTATATTGCCAAAGTGAGCAATCTTTGCAGCTTGATGCAGAATATATACTGAACAAATAAAGTAGAGATCATGAAATATATTCATATACCATACACATTTATAGAAACTCAATAAATATCCCATAAAATATTCCCGATCCCTAACTTTTTTCAATCAGTATAGTTCACAAAAAGCATGGTTATGATTGATGAAATAATGATTCATTCAATTCCAACTTCTCCTTTTTAAAAAATTCCATCTAGATATTAAAACATGCAGCTTTTAGCATGTTCAGTTAGTGAAGTGTTTCAAGGATATATATTGCATATCTGAAAGAGTGTTCATATCTGTTGATAACAGTTTGTATATATATACCTCAGTGTCTGTTTTTCCATGAGTTTTTTGTTTCTGTATACTTGGTCTGTGTAGGTCCACAATGCACTGAAGGATGATGGGGTATTCATTGGCAGCATGTTTGGAGGAGACACCCTGTTTGAGCTGCGAGTATCTCTGCAGTTAGCAGAGACAGAGAAGGAAGGGGTAAATATCACCACCTGGCATGACCAGAGAGCGATTGATAGGGAGATGAAGTCCCCTTTCTGAATCACTTAATAAATGATGTATTTTGAATATGAAATCCTGTCATCAGTGATAAATATATTGCAAGTGATTCCATAGCATTTGATTGGCTTACCAAATAATTTGTTTTATTTGTGTTTCCATAAACCTAAAATTAACATAGGCCATCATGCCTGCTGGTGGAGTACTGTTTCCTGGCTAGCTGACAATAGAATGGGCAGGGTTTGTGTTTAACTATTGCACTGATCGATGCCACTGATTGTGTATCACAGTTTTTTAATGTTAATTATCACCTAAGCAGTCTGTGAAGCATCTTCCTGAGGCAAGTGTGTCCACTAGCCTATATGAAAGCCTAGTTTCTACCCCTGCCACATCAAGGCCACTTTTCTTGGCTCGACCCTGGCGCCACCTCGCGTAGATCACTTGTGCCCCTTGTAATGAAAACGCAAGATCTAATCAGATCGCTGTTCTTATCTTATTTAGCTTCACATAAATGGCGATAACCTCATCGATCAGACAACAAAAACATGGTTGGGGTGGGTGGGGGTGGGGCAGGGTTTGGTTAAAAGATGAAAAAGACATATTCGTGTCAACAAAGACAGGCAGTGGTAAATCACTTTCATATGAGGGTGTACCAGTCGTGGATGTTGATTTTGTGAAACATTCTCTGATTGGACTATCTATATGTGTGATAGTCCAATCATATTTTGCACATGAAAGTGGGCTTGATGTGGCAAGGGTGGAAACAAGACTTTGATAAAAAGATTAGTGGATGCTCTTGCCTCGGGAAGATGTGTGTGAAGTTATGATTTTTTACTAACTTATTTATCATGTTTGTAAGAAATGACTTCAATATTATTTTGCATTTATGGCTGTGTGCACACCATTTTTTTACATTTATACCTCCATAAACACAAAAATATGAAGTAAATTCTTAATGACATACATAACATGGTATACATGTATGGCTGCAAATGAAAAGTACTGACCTGTGGATTTAGCAGATTATGGAATGTAATACACTCATACTGAAGACAAATCTATTGAAACATTGCTGTTGCCACAGGACCATATAACTCATAATAATAAATAGACTCGCAAAAACTCGCAGATGGCCTCATCTGCGAGTTTGTTTGTTATTGTTTGTATTAGTTATATGGTCCTGTGCTGTTACATACATATAGAATACTAAACGAGCTCCCGTGTAATACCAATTTTATGAAACGAGTGAATAGTTCTAGTATCTGACGAGCGAAAGCGAGTCAGATACCACAACTTTTCACGAGTTTCATAAAAAACGTTTTACACGGGAGCGAGTTAAGTATCTTATTTATTACTGGCCATTTATAACGTTTTTAGAATTATACTGTTGAGTGTGAATAGGCTGACACCTACACGATCCACAGCATAATCCAACTGAGTTTAACACAGTAATACTTCAAACATGTCAAAAGTTGAAACGTATGAATTTAATACCATACAACGGTCCACCTTTAGAATTATTGTAGCGTTAAGGTTATCACAACTCACATACTTTAACTTAGACCAACGACTGTCGTTGCGCTACAGTACGATCACCTTGTGGAACGGGGCCTTGCACCTCAAAGTTTACAATCACGTCACAGTACCCGATGACGTAATTTGTGGAATTTTGTTGCAAGATCCCTCAGCGAAACAATGCCATGTGACGTCAGCCTAGCAACAAGGTTGCTGGGGTCATCAAGTGTACATAAACTCCTCTCAGTGATCTATCATCTCCACCCGCAATGTCGTTGAATAAGCCAAGGGAGTTGAGAGCTTTCAATATTTGTTCGTAAAACGTGTTCCGAGAGTACATAAGCACGCGTTTTGGTATTACACAATGTGTAATACAGCTGTATGTTTATTAAACAGGTGATCTCTTCACGGGCAAGTAATAAAATGAGTTTGAGACTAGTATGACCAGTCTTATATAAAGTCATGTGAAATGAAAGTAGTTTTGTTTGTTTGGTACAGGGCTTTGCACCTCACATCTCCCCTTTCACTGATGTCAGAGACCTGGGCAACCTACTGACAAGATCTGGCTACACCATGTTAACTATCGTATGTACTTGATAATGCATGGGAAAGTTTTGACCAAAATGGTTTTGGGACCTTTGTTGGCTTTTGGAGAAGTCGTTATTCAGCCCCACCTTCATGAATATTTTCAAAATTTCTAAATTGAATTCCCAATTTAGGATGTCATTATGTTTAGGTGACTTGTATTTTACTTGAACATGTTTATTGTATAGATAAAGTCTTTTAAAGTTATTTTACATTGTTGCATTTGAATGCAATTCTAAAATATGGAAATAAGAGTTTAAGATAGATCCTTATTGTGGATAAAATAAGCTTTTATTTCCCATTTGAATACCGCCAGCACTTCATTGAAAGTCCTGAATAAATCCTGGTGTCTTCAGTCAGAAGTATTGCTCAAGTGGTGAATTACCCACACAAGTTGTACAATGTAACAGTGGTGCTTCCATGATATAAATGTTGACATTTTGCTGTCTGACCACTCGAATGACAACATTAACGAGGCCTAAGATCATATTAATGACAAGCTGGATTGATAGATTATGGACTTCAGCTGAATTTGTAGGCAAGCTGACAGCCAGTCAGCAACATTAACAAAGGCAACATGACCATGACTATATCTGGGGATGATGCTTTCTGGTGGCTAACTCTTTTTTAACAGTTTGTCATTCCTGTCAATTTCAAGGCCACTCTCTCAAGACTTAAAAGCAAATGTCTGATATGTCTGAGGGGCAGTTGGGTAGCCTAGTGGTTAAAGCGTTCACTCGTCACGCCGAAGACCCGGGTTGATTCCCGACATGGGTACAATGTGTGAAGCCCGTTTCTGGTGCCCCCCACCATGATATTGCTGGAATATTGCTAAAAGTGGCGTAAAACCATACTCACTCACTGATATGTCTGACATATAAACCCAAATTTATCATCAACCAAATGAGCAATGTTCCTAGATTAAACTTGCATCCTAAAGTTTGACATCCTAGAGTTTTTGTGATAAGTTCTATAAGCTAATTACAACAATCATATTCATGGTAAAGGACTCGACCTATGTAATTTTGGGTGATAAATGAAACTTTCATGGCCAGTATGTATTTCATGCCAATTCCTAAATGCAGGACACAGACGAACTTGTGGTCAACTACCCATCCATGTACGAACTCATGCAAGATCTCAAAGGTAAAACAACAGTCCAAAATGTTAACTTTTTTAGCAGTTACAGCTATGCCAGCATTGTTAACGTTTCCCCTTCATATCCCTGTGGAGATCGCGTGAATGTGAACAGATAACCGTTACCTGCTAAGGCAGTGCAGCACATCAAAATACAAACCTTTCTTGAAGGAAACATGGTGTTGAATGAGAACCGCCTCCATGGTGTATTGCATAGAGGGTCTGCCCGCGGAGGGGAAGGTCGATGATGTGATGCCTTGTCTGCATCATACCAAAAGACTTTAAAAGAGGGTTCTTGTTGTTATCCTACCTTGCGCTCGTTATTAAAGGGATAAAAAGGACTGTTAGCTCAGAGTCAGTATACTGTGTATGAGTGGGGTATCCATGTTAAACTGCAGCATGGTATCTCAGTGGGGAACTCGACATTAAACCCCATTTCACCTCACCTGTTGGATGACAGGTTAGCTGTATCCCCATGTTCATTCTTCCTAGGTATGGGAGAAAACAACTGTTCCTGGAACAGGAAGCCGTTGCTACATCGCGACACAACGGCTGCTGCAGCTGCTATATATAAAGGTGAGTGTAGGGTTCTTGAAGAAGAATTTGTAAAAGTACTCATCGTATTCTTGGGAATAGTGATTGCCAACTAAAATAATGAGAGATGGTTGTTTTATGCTGTCAACAATATTCCATGTGTATCATGGCAGTCTTTAGATAATTTACCAGTTGTTGACAGTATGAGCTCAGATTCACATCTTTGGGGAATGATAACACACACTAAGCCATGTCCAAAATGGTGACACTCGTTCCTCATTATAACTAACATGGGGTAATGCAGACCAGGTCACTGAAATCTCATTTGTTTTTTCTTTATATTTTTTACGTGTTTTGTGTTAAAAGTATATCAAAACATTTGTTTTTATGTGTATATATTTTAGTTATTTTTGTTAAAAGTATATCACAACATTCTTTTTATGTAAATTTTTTATTTATTTTTTGTTAAAATTATATTACATTTGTTTTTATGTTTATTGTTTATTTATTTGTTGTTAAAAGTATATCACAACATTTGTTTTCTTGTGTGCAAGACTTCATACTACACCTCATTTATTGTATCTCACCTTACCAACCTTTCTTACTGTGATGTTGTGATATTGTTTGATTATGTCTGACCCATCTGGTAGCGTCATCTTCTGTTAGTGTCAGTGGTCTTTGTTGCCCTGCCATAGATTACTTATGGTCTTGTGCCACACATTCCTGAATTACCAACATGAGCAGGTAGGACTGAACTGAAGGCATGTCCTTGCATGTCTTTGTCATGGTTTGGCTCAGTTATTAGCATGATTAGTAATATTAAGATCGTGGTTGTACCATTTTTCTGATTTTCTCAAAACTTTTTGACATTTTCCAATAAATATATGTTAAGAAATCAGAATTATTCTATCCCTAACTGCAGGTACTGTCTGCTAGACTCAGAAGATGTCACCCAACAGCTTACAGTTTATATCTTCAGCAACCCATGGCTGGTTGTAAGAGGCGACCAACGGGATCGGGTGGTCAGGCTTGCTGACTTGGTTGATGCATGTCATTGTATCCCAATTGCATGGATCGATGCTCATGATGTCAATCACTGGATTGTCTGGTCCAGACTTGATTATGTACAGACCACTGTCATACAGCTGGAATATTGCTGAGTGCGGCGTTAAACAACAAACAAACCAAACCCCGGAAGCTGGCGGAAAACACTTGTCTCATAGCGGACAGGTTCAGGTTGTCACATCTTACTTTCCCTCATTGCAGACATGCATGGAAATGAAGACGGAGTACCAGCAACATTTCAAATAATGTACTTCATAGGTTGGAAACCTGATAAATCACAGGTAAGGCAGAAAAGAAGTTCAAACCTCAAAATTGTTCATTACAGTTACCTCCTGATACAACTTTGACCATCTTGATATTGATGTTACAAGAAACTAAGGGTGTCATGGATTGATATTTAGTCTTGAGATATTGAAAGTATAAAAAAGTATCGCGATATGATTTATAACAAAATTAGTTAATCTGTATATGTATAGAAAAACCTTTCCTATCTCAACCTGCAATTAATCAACTTTTCATGCTAAATATTATCTAGGCTGATCCATGAAGTTTTTAAATTGAATTATATACCTTCTTATAATCCATCTTAACCATGATAATTTAACGAATGAAAACATTTCTGTATCAGTGAATTATTAAATTAGTTTCAACATTAGATACCGTAATGATATTAGAAATGTATTGATACATCGATATAAGATGGCATCACTACAAGAAACATACACAAGCAAATCGGTCCATTCTGAAATTGGCATGTACGATGAGGACTGCACTTTTCTCCCTCTGTGACTTGATATACAAGGTATGCAGTACCCGGTTTCGGTTCCCGACATGGGTACAATGTGTGAAGCCCATTTCTGGGGTCCCCTGCCGTGATATTGCTAAAAGCAGTGTAAAACCAAACTCTCACTCACTAAGCTTCACCTAGAAGGAATTGCATAACAGTGTTATCTTTAGTTGTGGACATCACCTGATATCATTGAGGTATATCCACAAAAACTGAATAAATCGTTTCACTGTGATATGTAAGTAAAACAAGCAGGGGTCTGTGACCTTTGGAAGATGGAGGAATGTGCACTGATTAGCTTCTACATGTGGACACTTTTGACTTGATGTACAAGGTGATACTGTTTGATTTACCTGTACATATGGGACAATATATATTCTTTGATAACACAAATGTAATAAGATATCAAAACATTAGTTAAAATTGTTAATAATTCTAAAAATACTACCTCTGTCACATCATAGCAATAATCTTGTATTTTGGCTGCGATAACATTAGATATAGGTGCTTGATTTACATTTTAACTGTACTTCCTTATTTCACCTTTGTACCAATGTACCCTGTCAACCTGTTGTGTCTCTTCCAGGCTGCGGCAGCCATGAGAGGATCAGGTCAGGTGTCCTTGAAAGACATCGATCAGTTGGACAAGCTCACCAAAGACTTCCATGATGCCAAGGACCGCTATGACAAGGACCGACTAGATGAGATAGCGGAACAGTTGCAGGATAGAACTGAACCAGACACAGATAATAAAAAATGAAGAACACATTGTCCTCAAGACATGAAGACATTGTCCCCATTGTTTCTGGTCATTAGGCTGGCCGTTCCCCTCCATGACACTAGTGGCATCAACTGGCTTCAGGATACAGCTGATACAAATGGCATCAACTGGCTTCAGGATACAGCTGATACCAATGGCATAAAATGGCTTCAGGATACAGCTGATACAAATGGCATCAACTGGCTTCAGGATACAGCTGATACCAATGGCATCAACTGGCTTCAGGATACAGCTGATACAAATGGCATCAACTGGCTTCAGGATACAGCTGATACAAATTGCATTAACTGGCTTCAGGATACAGCTGATACAAATGGCATCAACTGGCTTCAGGATACAGCTGATACAAATGGCATCAACTGGCTTCAGGATACAGCTGATACAAATTGCATTAACTGGCTTCAGGATACAGCTGATACAAATGGCATCAACTGGCTTCAGGATACAGCTGATATAAGATGGGACATTATTTGTACAAGCAAATATTGGAAAGCTTCTGTGACAATGGTCTGAAGTGGATGGACTGGACTACAGAAAGAGCTGTTGGTAATGCTGACCAGTGATGCTGTATGCACTTTCTAGTTGTTTAATACCTGCGTAACTGAATCTGGTGTGAGGCAGTGGACAGTGGCAAGGGTCAAGGATGTGGGCAAGTCTCGTTCTCTGTTGAGCTGCTGTAGTCATCAGCAGTGACTTGTGTAGCCGGACCCAGCACCTACGATATGAACAGAGCCATACTATACTGAGGGAACTGAATAAGGGAACGAGTATCAGCAATTGTTTACTGAATATCATTGTGGTGAATATCATTGCTTCTTGTTCATGTCTGTAATATAAGATGCAGTTTAAACTCCTACTTTGAGACCTGTGAATTGTCTAGACTAGACATTTTCCCCTGAAAGTAGTAATGTTTCTTCAAGAACTAAATTTTTAGTCCTTATTTATCTTAGTACGGGTTTGTGTAGAGAGAAGTTACGTCACTGGGTGACATCATAATGTGTGATGCTTGATAAATATAGATCCCCAGCTACCTATGCTTGTTGTTCAAGGTGACTGAATGGATCGGGTGGTCGGACTCGGTGACTTGGTTGATTCATGTCATCGTATCTCAATTACGTGGATCGATGCTCATGATGTCAATCACTGGATTGTCTGGTCCTGACTTGATTGTTTACAGACCACCATCATATCACTGGAATATTGAATGTGTCGTTAAACCACAAACAAAACAAAATTTCATCACAAGGTTGCAGAGATGCAAATATTTAACCAATGTAACCTCACATGATGCAATAGAATGCTGAATATCCAAGAGGGGCGGTCGGGTAGCCTTGTGGTTAAAGCGTTCTCTCATCATGCCGAAGACCTGGGTTTGATTCTCGAAAAGGGTACAATGTGTGAAGCCCATTTCTGGTGTCCCCTGCCGTGATATTGCTGGAATATTGCTAAAAGGCGACTAACAGGATCGGGTGATCAGGCTTGCTGACTTGGTTGATGCATGTCATTGATCCCAATTGCGTGGATCGATGTTCATGCTGTCAATCACTGGATTGTCTGGTCCAGACTCGATTATTCACAGACCACCGTCATATAGCTGGAATATTGCTAAGTGCGGTGTTAAACAACAAACAAACCAAAACCATTTATCTCAAGACCTGTCACAAGTTCTGTGATTCTGGTGGGTGTGTGTAGCAAGTAGCTCCCCAGCTACATCGTCATGTGATGATCCCTGTACATTGAACCTGTCTGTCCTGTTGATTTCCACATTTGAGTGAAATAAAAGGAAAACAAGTCTTCAAGAAATTAAGGCATTTTATACAGATAACTTTTGATGAACTTAATATCAACAACAATGAACAATAAGACTGATTTGCACATTGTGTGTGGGAGACAGATTTTCAGCACTATCAACAAATTACCACATATATATTAATTCTTTAATTGACCCAAGGATATACCGGGTACCTTTAACATGAATGATGATTGAACATTGACATTTTAATATTCCTCGTGAATTTAGAAAATGTAAAGTTTAAACTTAAACCATGAATATCACTTTTTGTTAATTTGTCCAGCTCATAGCCATCTTAGGCAAAGTTACATAAAATCTAAATTTTACATCTTTCCAAATATTCTGAAGTTTAATACACTACTGTCATTGCAAGACCCTATTATCAATATGAATACAGTGAAATACTTGTTTCATGCCAATGCTGTAAGAACACAAATACTCCAACTTTGACAATATGCATTCTCTTGGGGGGACTAGACTTGGGCTCTGCAAACACCCTGTTGTCTGCTAAGATTGCCTAGTTTCCACGCATGGCATTAATTGTGTGGAGAGCTAAACTGGAAAGCAAGACCTGAGAGCAGAGACTCTCTTTATGAACATTCACACATTCCAGTCTCTGCACTATCACATCCATGGTAACAACCAATGATTAGAGTGAATAGCAAATATATTTTGTACACGTAAGAAGCAATTATCATTCATGTTCTGTTCTTCACTTTATTCAGTACTTATAAGTCATGGGCCTTTTTGTACAAATGCAATACAATTTAGGTGCAAACAGCATAAAATACAACACATTTCTTAGCTGCTTTTTTCAACAAAAGCAGTTTTAACATAATGTGGTATTAGCATAATTCATGATCATGTTGCTTCAGCAGGTGGGATGATGTGTCTGTAATATCACAGCTAGAGGCTTGTACGTTGGAATCTTTCACTTGGATTGGTCAAAGTTTAAAGTTCTTCCCCTCCATTGCGAAAGATTTTCCAGGGAGTGATGATGCTGGAAGTCGAGATATAAAAGTCTGAAAATAAATAAACAGAAACATGGTCAAGAGACAGTTTGCCCACTTCATAATATCAGCCCTAAATACATCCAAGTCGGTGACTGTCTGAATCGATGTTTGCGCTGTGATGCTGATAATCATGACCGCAATGGTAATGGTTAAATCACCATAACCCAGCCATGGATGTCACTCCGTGCTCATGAATACACGTCATGCCCATACGGCTAAGTGTCATCCACTACATAGGGGAGGTCGGGTAGCCTAGTGGTTAAAGCGTTCACTCGTCACGCCGAAGATCCGGTTTGATTCCTGACATGGGTACAATGTGTGAAGCCCATTTCTGGTGTCCCCCGCCGTGATATTGCTGGAATATTGCTAAAAGCGGCGTAAAACCAAACTCACTCACTCACTCATCCACTACATTATATGCTTCATATATTACCATGGAAACAAAACCTTTTTAATGAAGAACCATGACCATGATGAAAATGGCCGAGCTTGACCTATGACATAAAAGCGTGTAAAAAATTAGTTTCTAATGGGCTTTGTATAAACTGATGTGATGTAAAAACCAGAAAACAGCCAATGGGAATAACTTTTGGCAAGACATTTCCAATTGTCAAACTGCCCAATATATTATGATAATGGCCCGTCGTCAAGCATATGAGGGCATTATCAAGTGACAGTGGCCCGCTCATTTCTGATAACATGCAGGCAGTTTAATGATAATTCTATCCATTTTAGCTATAATATGTATTGAATATTGCTAAAAACATCATATAAAACTTCTTCCTTGAGTGATGATATTCTCTGACATGCTTACCGTTGGTTTAGAGTGTGTCTCCAGCATATAGCCTACACACATGCTGTCTGTAGTATGAGCCCACAGAACCTCAGCTGCAACACCAAACATATGACTTCATACACGACATTGACGATGTGGATGTACAGGACTCCGTGATAAATGTATGTATGTATAAGAATTGAGTGGTCCTTAACCTTTTTTGAGTAGTATATGTAGCCCTGGTGGTGTCACTTGCCATACCAGGGTCTGCTCTTGAGATCAATTCCAGATTTTCCCTGATCATGATCTGTCACAACCAAACCCATGGGTGTCACCAAAGAGGTTCACACAACTGAAGTTCCTTTGGGCTTTCATCCCCCGTTAAGTTAACACACAATGATGTGAGTGAGTGAGTGAGTATGGTTTTACGCCGCTTTTAGCAATATTCCAGCAATATCACAGCGGGGGACACCAGAAATGGGCTTCACACATTGTACCCATGTCGGGAATTGAACCCGGGTCTTCAGAAAAGCTGACGCTTTAACCACTAGGCTACCCGACCGTCCCACACAATGATGTAACTGAAATACTGATCAGAGGGGCATTTTAGTGATGTGTTATATTTTCTTAGTGAAAATTCCATTACTTTTTTTCGTGAATCAAACCCACACCTAATCACCAATACACAAAGTCGGTAACCTAACCCACTCAGCCACCGAAGCTTCCCCAACAAGTCTGACAACAGGTAGTCTAGTTCACATACTTTGTGTACTCTTCTGATAAGTGTGATAGGCTAGTCAAGTGAAAAACTGTGGCATGTGTCGGACACTACCAGGATATAAGTGTGACATACAGACTCGGATAGCTATCTATACCTTCTCTGTAGCCGTCGTCCTCCATGAGGTGCTTCAACACCAGGACACCGCCATGTTTGTCCTCCACGTGGGACAGGAACTCCGACTCTGGAGAAGAGTCACATGTCCTGAGAGCTATATCAAACTTTATCACAGTCACAATAAGTCCGTGACAAGATATTTTATTGATAAGTAATATGTAATGTCATTCTTGGGTTTAACCCTCCCAAATATTTATCCATTATTTCATTACCCGTCTCTAAGATGCTAAATTGCCAATGAGTGAGTGAGTGAGTGTGTATGGTTTTACGCCGCTTTTAGCAAAATTCCAGCAATATCACGGCGGGGGACACCAGAAATGGGCTTCCCACATTGCAACCCATGTCGGGAATCGAACCCGGGTCCTTGGCATGACAAGCTGACGCTTTAACCACTAGGCTACCCGACCGCCCCAAATTGCCAATGACAGTAAACTACGGTTATAACAAATTCAAAAGGAACCGCTAATTTTAGTTCGCTAGGACCGTAGTTCATTATAAGCATATATACAGCAAATGTTGGGGCAACAAAATAAGTTCGTTATATCCGTCAGTTCGTTATAAGCATGTTCGTTGAAATTTTGCAGTTCATCTTTTTATCAATGATTCTCGACACCAGTCTGCCATATTGATTTTTAATGACCCCCCAATTATTCTCTTCATAGCCTTCAAATAATAAGTAACCCTAAGTACCTAGAAAGTTGTCCTTGAATGCAGAACTGACTGCTAGACTTGCATTGGGTTCCTTCTGCACCCTGTCAGCACATGTCTTGGCCAAGAAGGTCTTGATGAGATGTTCACCACCACCTGCAGCAGACGTCAGTGTGTCAACGAGATCTGAACAGGGTGGCAGCAAATAAGGACAAATATGTCCTCCATGTGTCAAGTTTCCAATATGAACATGAAAGAGAGTTGCATCACTATTCGCCATATTCCATAGAATACAAAGAGGGGAAAGCGAAATCAACTTTACAAAATGCATCCAAATTGGACATCGAACCTGGCTCTTGGTCTTGACTTTTAAGCATGTTTTATTTAGGTTGAAATGGATTGAGAACAAAGTAGACAAAAAATGTTTGGATAACAACTTCTTTATTACACTGTAACAGCAAAGGTTTGGTATCAATCCTTATACCCTTGTCAAGCAATAGAGGATATTATATTTTCGCGAGGGAAATACCAGAATTTAGCTAAGAGTGTTATAAATAAGTATAACATGAACACAAATATAATGTTCTATTTATTACCGAAGAAGATGTCTACATACAGAGATCAATTTAGAATTTCTTTTCGCACTGATCACAACTGCTGTCCTTGAAAACCACAATTTGTCGAATGACATCAACAATCTTCAGCTATGACGTTAGTGTGATGTCATTCCGACCTCACGTCACAATAAGATTCGAATCATGTCAACAATGCTGTCCGGATGACGGAAACAATACACTGTTGTCTCGTGATATGACCCTAGAGCACATATGATTTTTATGAACCCTGATATGTTTGCCCTCGTAGGTAATAAAGCCTGCTTTGTGATCCTTCCAATTCTAAGAAATGCCTATCAAACGACTGGGAGCAAGTTATCCAACTTAGGACTCCATCTCCCCCTTGACTTGCAAACACTTTTACCACTGTGATACCCCATGATCTTAAAACTGAAAGACTCCTCCAAAAGATCCCCTTTCCATTGCAGATCTAAATTTTCACACAGCTTAGTATATACCCCCACAAAATGCCATGTTTCAGTGCCCTTCGAAATTGTCCGTTGCACTGTGACCACCATGTCCGAGAGAAGACACCAACCCTTGCTGTTCTAGAATGACTGAAGTAAATCTACCTGAAGAGACAACCGCTACACCTGGTGTCTTGTTGCAGCAGCCATTGTGGGCCCAGGAACCAACACCATAATGAGCGGCCTGGAGGAGGAAAACAGCACTGTTGAACATGTGATATGAGTGAGTGAGCGAGTTGGGTTTAACGCTGCTTTTAACACTATTCCAGTTATATCGTGGCGTGTCAGCTTAATGTGAGAGGAAAGCCCGAAGTGATGCAGGTCTCAGGTGAAACTTCGGTGAAACCCACAAGCACGGTTATGGTGCTGACAAACCTAGAAACATAATCGGAGCGAAATGGGATTCAAACCCACAATCATAGGTTTCTGGCGTGCCTAAGGGATGCAACTCTGCACAGCGAATCGCGGCGCCTTAGATGACTGGGCCACCCGTGCCCCCGAACACGTGATATGATTGTACACAGGATGTTTCTCTGCTTGTTGTTTAACGCCGCACTCAGCAATATTCCAGCTATATGACGGCAGTCTGTAAATAATCAAGTCTGGACCAGACAATCCAGTGATTGACATCATGAGCATCGATCTATGCAATTGGGATACGATGACATGCATCAACCAAGTCAGCGGGCCTGTCCACCCGATCTCGTTAGTCGTCTCTTACAACATGCATGGGTTGCTGAAGACCAATTCTAACCCAGCTCTTCACAGGACTTGTACACAGGAAGAAAGCTACACATGTGATAAGGCTGAATGTGAAAATGAGGATGATCGTACTTGATACCTATACACCATGTTACTTGATACCTACACACCATGTTTGATGCAGCATAACTATGAATATTAGGGATGTTGATCAGTCACCTCAAAGGCAGCAGAAACAATACCTTTAGTATGATTTAATTTCAACCTTGAATATTGAATATGAAAGGAATTCATAAACATCGAAAAATAGATATCAACATTGAATCATTACATGAAAATAGTTCCAATAAGGCATGTGGCAAGCGGCAACAAACATGACAGTATTTATTTTACAAACTTTGGAATGTAAATATGACAATTACTTATGAAAGTATTTACTACAAGCCATTGTGTGGAGGAGCAGCACCTGGTACGGCTGATCATGTTACACAGTACATGAAATAGCCTCTAAATATTGCTCAGAGGATACTCCATGCACTGTGTGATATACATAGAATACTAAACGAGCTCCCATGTAATACCAAGTTTATGAAACGAGTGAATAGTTCTGGTATTTGATGAGCGAAAGCGAGTCAGATATCAGAACTATTCACGAGTTTCATAAAATTTGTATTACACGGGAGCAAGTTTAGTATTATTTATTACTTGCCATTTACAACTTTTTTTAGAATTTCACTGTTGTGTATGAATAGGCAGACACCTACACGATCAACAACGTAATCCAATTGAGTTTAACAGAATAATACTTCAAACAAGTCAAATGTTGACACATATTAATTTAATAACATACAACGGTCCACCTTTAGAATTCAGGTGTCCGTTCCACAAAGTTATCGTAGCGCTATCGTAATTCACATACTTTAAGAGAAACTTACAACTGTCGTCCGATCACCTTGTGGAACGGGACCTGCACCACAAAGTTTACAATCACGTCACAATACTCTATGATGTGATTTGAGGAATTTTGTTGCAAGATCCACTGGCAAAACAATGCCATGTGACGTCAGCCTAGCAACTGAGTTGCTGGGGTGCATAAGCTCCTCTCAGAGATCTGTCATCTCCTCATGCAAAGGCGTTGAATAAGCAAAGAGATGTTGAGAGCTTTCAGTGTTTGTTGGTGGAACTTGTTCACACAGTACAAAAGCACTCGCTTTGGTATTACACAATATGTAATACAGCTGTATGTTTATTAAACAGGTGATCTCTTTACTGGCAAGTAATAAGATAAAAAATGTATATATATACACATGTATTTGTATTCATTCCCGAAATGTACATCATAATTATATCATATATAACCATATACATATATATATATGCTGATACACATTATGAAGGAGATTATATATATCATCATGGTCATCATACAAAGACACATTCCAAATCATAAGGACTAGGTTGGTTGGTTGGTTTGTTGTTTAACGCTGCACTCAGCAATATTCCAGCTATATGACGGCGGTCTGTAAATAATCGAGTCTGGACCAGACAATCCAGTGATTAATATCATGAGCATCGATCCACGCAATTGGGATCGATGACATGCATCAACCAAGTCAGCGAGCCTGACCACCCGATCCCATTAGTCGCCTTTTAAGGCAAGCATGGGTTGCTGATGACCAATTCTACCCCGGAATCTTCACAGGTCCATAAGTACTAGGTCATGCAGATAGAAATCTTTAACAAAACAAGACAAAAAGTGAGTCCCCTGCTCACTAATACTCCAACATGTTTCTAAGTTCAAAACATGAGAAAAGCACTATTTTCTCAGAAAATACAAATATTGAAAACAAACTTTGCATTGCACCTCTCTGATATAGAAACTGTACCCCCAATCGGAAAAGAATCCCTGAAGTAGTTTTCAAGTCATAGGTCAGACAAATGTTGAACTAAGAAAAATATTCTAAGTTATAGATGAAAAACATCATATTTTTTCAGAAAATACACAAATCAAAATCAAACTTTGTACTGCACCTCTTACATTAGTATGGAATCTGTTCCCTAAATTTGAAAATAATCCATGCAGTTGTTTTTAAGTTACAGGGCACGAAAATGTTTAAGTACAAATATCCAAGTAAAAATTATGTATTTTTAAAAAAAATCCAAATATTGAAATCAAACCTCGCACTGCACATCTCCGATATGTATAAAAAGTGTTTGAAAAGAATCTATGTGTTGGTTTTCAAGTCATAGGTCACAAAAAAAAAATTTCCTCGCAAGGACGGATGGCCGGAATTCCCTGGAATATCTATATACCCCTGCAGATCTAGGTCAGGGGTATAATTAACTTCTCAAAATAGTGTAAGATGATATTCACATACCCATTCATACAATAATCACAACAAATATGTAAAAACTTCTCTCCAAACAATTCTATGATGACAAAAAAATCCATAAGAGTTTTAACATGTTCGACCCAAGTTAAAGTTAAAATGACATTATTCTCAGTGCAGACACAACTTTCCAGTTTTAGTGTTAACTCACCTTGAGCCTTTCAAGGTGCTAACACTCCTGTTGAATTAGCCCTTAACACATGGGAAGTATTGTTAAACCCTTAGAAACCTACACAAAAACAACACAGTGCTTCCAGCCATTGGCTCCAAATACAGAAATATGAAAGACTACTGGTACACTCTTTTCTACAGATATGCAGATTCAAAGTTTCAAAAATGTAAACAATATATTCAAATGAAATCAACTTTTCTGTTTTCTAACAATAATATGAATAAAACAATCTGAATAACAAAAACAGAAATTTGACCTATTGAGGTGAAGCTGTAAAGATTGCAGCTTTTGCCTGTCCCAGAAGATAATCCTGAAATCAGGACACATAACGAGAGAAGTTTGCTGACTTGCTAATTCAGAGGTCATGCCTGATTAGAAAACAACAAGCAACAGGATATCCATTGTAAAACAATGTGCACTGGGCTATCAGTGTTTCTCATGCGATGAGTATGGGAGGCTGAAGTAGGATGAGGCTCAAGCTGTATTTAGTCGGCAGATGGAGCCAATCAATACACAGCCTTTTAGCTTGATTGAATGACACGAGGAGCACATTACATAGCAGCAATTTGAAGATACAAGACATCACACAGGGCACGGAATCATTACAGGACAAGAACATTACAGGTAGCGCTAGTCTCGATCCACGGCACCACAGGTAAGTGGTATCTTGTCACGTGACAACACGGCCAAAGATGAGGGGGTTAAGGGAAAAGGGACGACGTTTGGTGGGGGGAGTATGGTTGTTTTGGTGGGTCAATTTTAAGATGGATTAGTGGGTGGAGATGGATGGGATAAGATGGATGTGCATTGGAAAGGGTCTTTACTTTAAAAAAAAAATAGTCAATAGGGGAGAGGTTTAGATGCAAACATGGGGAAATAGTTTGGAGGGGTCAATTGGAGAAGAGGTTTAGTTGCAAAAGTGGCGTAAATAGTGTGGAAGGGTCAATTGGAGAAGAGGTTTAGTTGTAGAAGTGGGACAGAGAGTTTGGAGAGGTCAATTTGAGAAGAGGTTTAGTTGTAAAAGTGGGGAAAATAGTGTGGAAGGGTCAATTGGAGAAGAGGTTTAGTTGTAAAAGTGGGATAGAGAGTTTGGAGAGGTCAATTGGAGAAGAGGTTTAGTTGTAAAAGTGGGGTAAATAGTTTGGAGGGGTCAACTGGAGAAGAGGTTTAGTTGTAAAAGTGGGATAGAGAGTTTGGAGAGGTCAATTGGAGAAGAGGTTTAGTTGTAAAAGTGGGGTAAAGAGTTTGGAGGGGTCAATTGGAGAAGAGGTTTAGTTGTAAAAGTGGGGTAAAGAGTTTGGGATAAAAGTGTTGGAAAAAGTGTGGTGAAAATAGTTTGGGGAGTCATTATGTAAAGAGAGATGGTCACTTAAAATGGAGGAAGAGGCTAGGGGGTAAAAGTGGGAGTAAATAGTTTTGAGATGGAATGATTGGTTTCCAAGGCAAGGGGGTCACAAAACATGTCCTAAAGAGTGAAGTGGGGTTGCACATCATAAAACATGGTGCATCCATGTGGAAAACAATGGGAGGGGTGCACCAATCTCATTTCAGAAATTAAAAAAAATAATTTATTTTCATTTTCCTTCTTCATTAGTGGACTGTAACCAAAATGGCTTTTCACATAATACCGTATTCGACGTAATAAGTGCCCAGGGCGCTCTCAAAATTAGAAACAGGGGGCTCTTATTAGAATATTATTTTGGTGAAAAAAACCAGAGTTAAAGGATAAATTTTGTGGTTTATGCTGACAGCCTGAAATGTTTATATACGACAGATATATTTTTCCAGAATTTAATTGCCCATAATTAAGGGTGCATAAAACACACGAGTGCGTATTGTACGCGAATAAATAAGTTTTGTGTACATTGATCAATTGGAAGGGGTGCTAATTGGGATTGTTCACTAGCCAAAATGTAAGCAAATATCGGTGTGGGCTCTTATTAGAGCGGGGCGCTTATTACGTTGAATACGGTACTCTTTCATTTATTGCAATCCTTTTAGAAAAAACAAACATTTAGAAAAACAAAGAACACTGCGAAGGTAAATAGCGACGGATTATTTCAGCAACAGTGCCATACTGCTGATTACACAGCACTTATATCTGATATGATGCAACTGCTGAGCTCAGGTCAAAAACCACACCCTTGAGCCAGTGCATGGTATTGGTAATGGATATCTGTGGGTCTGGCAACAAACACAGCATTAAGTGTACATGCGTCTCAGACATGCAACACACAAACACCATTATGTTGTGAATATGAGAAGCCATGCACAACCATGAAGGCTACAACAGATCCCTTTTAAGTGATTCCCTAATCAGAGTCATCAAGAGTTCCACTCTACAGATTTACTTGTTTGAGCACATGAGCCAGGTTTAACACTGCTTGAGGCAGTGTTTCTGCCATAGTATGGATACCAAGAATGGGCAGTCACAACTGTCTTTGTCAAAGAACATTCAAATGAGGGATTTCAAATAAAATGCCAGAACGAGAATTTGAGAACATGAGAATTTGATGATGTTCAAAGTTCACAAGTTACATGAAGGTCAATATTAATGTTCAAATCAAAGCAAAAACAGTAGAATAGGTCCTCAGCAATCCATGCTTGCCGTAAAAGGTGACTATGCTTGTCGTAAAAGGCGACTAACGGGATCGGGTGGTCAGGCTCGCTGACTTGGTTGATGCATGTCATCGATCCCAATTGCGTGGATTGATGCTCATGATATCAATCACTGGATTGTCTGGTCCAGACTCGATTATTTACAGACCGCCGTTGAATAGCTGGAATATTGCTGAGTGCGGCGTTAAACAACAAACCAACCAACCAAAAACAACAACACTAATGGTAGGTTCAGCAACACACCAGGTACCAACATGAAACCTTCTCTTCATAGTGTGCACAACTAGATCTAAACTGGAGCATTGTACTTTAATCCGCGATGATATCAAGTATTTAGAGATAATTCCAGGAGCTATAAGGCATTATGGATTATCAGTCCCAGTAAATGATCAGTGGTCGATATAAAAAATATAAACTTTTAAAAACTAGTGTCCTTAATAATTATCTCTTAAAAGAATTGTTGGTCTAAAGAAATGTTGAAAAAAGAGTTTCAAAGGTTTTCTAAAATTCCAACACTGACCTACCGTATTCGACGTAATAAGCGCCCCGCTCTAATAAGCGCCCATGGCGATAATTGCTAACATATTAGCTAGTGAACAATCCCAATTAGCACCCCTTCCGATTGATCAATGTACACAAGACTTATTTATTCGCGTATAATACGCAATCGTGTGTTATATGCACCCTTAATTATGGGCAATTAAATTCTGGAAAAATATTTCTGTCGTACATGAACATTTCAGGCTGTCAGCATAAACCAAGACATTTATCTTTCAACTCTGTTTTTTCCACCAAAATAATATTCTAATAAGAGCCCCCTATTTGTAATTTTGAGAGCGCCCTGGGCGCGTATTACGTCGAGTACGGTATTTGTTTCAGAACTGAAAGAAGTAGTAGACTCTACTGGATGACACTTTCTTTTATGATTTTTTTTTAATTTGGTAGATCTGCGAACACAGGTGTCAAAAACTAAAACTTCAATATGTTTCAACACTGGACTTTAGATTCCTGACAACAGTTTTTATCTGGTTCATGATAAATCTGTTTCTATCACACCACATTCTGTTATATAAGTGCTAGATTATGGCTCTCTAGCTGTCAATACTTCAGTTTTGTTCCAAACTCAATCTCATTAAAATCAGATCTTAGTTTTCACTACCGCTAAACATAGATCTGAGGGCATTGTATAACAGGTCATGTCAGAACGACCTTTTGCGAACTTTGACCGACCAATGAAATGACTGACAAGAAATCGACATTAGTCAATCAGAAGGCAGCTTTCTTGAGCTTTACGACACAAGTTTCAAACTGGCGACTACGCTTGGAAACATATTTTGACGTATTCTCGATAAAAAAAAATTAAAACTGATAAAAATAACATTCTGGAATGGCTTAAAGATGGCCTAGATTGTATGGATATAATAAAAAACAACATAACTGTCGTTCGGAATACCCTCTGTTAAATTTTTCGAGGTTGCATGATTAGAAAACACATTGCGTCCGTCACTTTCATGATCTGATAAGCGACACTCTGATTGGTTGGATGAAAGGTCGTTCTGACGTGACCCGTCCTCAGATCTTTGTTTAGCGATAGCGAGAACTAAGATCTGAATTTAACGAGATTGTTCCAAACTGAAACTGAAGAAAAAACTGATAGGAAATGAAAATATAGTAAACATTATTGTTTTCTTCAAGTAGGACTAGCTGCAAACTTTGAGGATCAGTGTAATTAGGTATACACTAGTCCTTTGGGCTAGTCTTTATAAAAACAAATTTCTGAGGCTGTTAATATCCATGAGTTTTTTTTTACTGTAACCCAGACTGTTTCTATCCATTGACTTGAAATTTGAATATTACATTCACTGCTCTTTGGGAATGAGGTAGAATTTCTTCTGAAATAACTGAAATGGATTCACATAAAATCGCAAACAATACTGATTTTCTGTCCTGATTGAAATACATATTCACTATCAAAACTATAATGAGGGATTTAATGTTAATTTCATGAGATTTCTTAGTATTACTATAAATCCTTTGTGGAAATATGTTTGCATGATTTTAATGTTTTAGGAAGTCTGCTGCCATTACACAAAAGGCATTGGGAATTTAATGCAGCTTTGTGAAATAAGCCAGGAGTGTTCTTGGGTGAAAACAACAGTGCTTGTATCATTTCTGAAACAATATTTTCTTATGCAATATAACTGAAATTGTCTTTTCTTAAAGAATTGAACAAAGGGCAAACACACTCATATCAAATAATAATCAATCCAGAAATACATCAAAGTAGTGGTTTTTATATGGCTGCCATTGTGGCCATTATGACAATTAGAGGTCCTTCAGAGGTCCTCAACTTCCAAGTCCTCAAAGAAAAAGAGTTAAAAACGTAAAAAGGTCTAAATTCTAACATACTGTTGACAAACACTTCCATAACATGTCAGTCATGACAAGATGCCAACCACATGTGATCATTAGAAAACCTTCATGCTTTGAGGCTTCAAGTCACTTTAGTTATCTAGTTATGTTATGTCTTGGAAGTGGTTCACAAGGGTAGAGACATTATAACAGCGAAGTGGTCCACAGTGACAAACCTACCCTGAATAAACCTAGACATCTAGCCACAGTATAACAGCGAAGTAGTCAACAGTGACAGACCTACCCTGAATATACCTAGACATCTAGCCACATTATAACAGGGAAGTGGTCCAGAGGGACAGACTTACCCTGAATAAACCTAGACATCTAGCCACATTATAACAGGGAAGTGCTCCACAGTGACAAACCTATCCTGAATAAACCTAGACATCTAGCTGCATTATAACAGGGAAGTGGTCCACAGTGGCAGGCCTACCGTGAATAAACCTAGACATCTAGCCACATTATAACAGGGAAGTGGTCCACAGTGACAAACCTACCCTGAATAAACCTAGACATCTAGCCACATTATAACAGGGAAGTGGTCCACACTTACAGACTTACCCTGAATAAATCTAGACATCTAGCCACATTATAACAGGGAAGTGCTCCACAGTGACAAACCTATCCTGAATAAACCTAGACATCTAGCCACATTATAACAGGGAAGTGCTCCACAGTGACAGACCTACCCTGAATATACCTAGACATCTAGCCGCATCATAACAGCGAAGTGGTCCACACTGACAGACTTACCCTGAATAAACCTAGACATCTAGCCGCATCATAACAGCGAAGTGGTCCACACTGACAGACTTACCCTGAATAAACCTAGACATCTAGCCACATTATAACAGGGAAGTGGTCCACACTGACAGACTTACCCTGAATAAACCTAGACATCTAGCCACATTATAACAGGGAAGTTAACACAGGGGCACACTATATATAGACATGCTATAGCATGCTATATGTACTCATCTTCCCGAGGCAAGAGAGTTAACTGACTATAAAAGTCCAGTTTCCTCCCTTGCCGAATGAGTCTATGCAGAGTCCAATCAATATCGTGCACAAAAATCGAAATCCGGTTCGTAAACTGTCGTGCAGATTTCGGTCGTTGCAGGATTTGCAAAGCATGTGCACCGCCAACACGTTGTGAGCAGATATTTTCCAAATCTTTTCCTGTTTTTAATCAAGGTACTCACGTGATTATTGCATTTCGCTATGTAAGACCCGTTTTATCACAATATAGATCTTGATTATTGATCAGATCGTCCTGACTGGGCGCCACCATTTTGTGTGAAGCAAACGCAAGTGATACGAGAGGTGGAATCTGATTGGTCCATAGGAGAGGCTTAGAAGGGACATAACTGGTGGTGCTCCAATTGAGCCCAGTAATTACAGCCTCGTTCGGCAAGAGTGGAAACTGGACTTTTAAAGTCAGTTAACTCTCTTGCCTCGGGAAGATGTGAAGTACTATATGCAACTGGTTTAACCAACAGACTGTGTATAAGAATTTACCCTTGGTAAAAATACATTTACATGGAAACATAGGCAGGTACATGTAAAATATCAAGCCATTTAAGTTTAAGTACAATTCCCCCTTTGAACAAAGGGCACATCTGCTACATACTTTTTCTAACTGTTAGTTTGTTTCTCCAACCTACTTCAAGGGCCTAAATGAATTATCAGGAAAGTGATATTCTTAGACTTAGAACGGGTGCAGGTGTTATTTGTTTATATAAGATCAAACTAGGGCTTAAGATGGATGGAAGTGGATGATGCTAAATGAAATATCACAGTGTTTGTTAGTTTTGTTTGTAGTTTAACACTGCACAGCAATATTCCAGCTATATGATGGCGGTCTGTAAATAATCGACTCTGGACCAGACAATCCAGTGATTGACATCATGAGCATCGATCCACTCAATTGGGATATGATGACATGCATCTACCTGACCACCCGATCCCGTTAGTCGCCTCTTACGACAAGCATAGTATCTTTTTACGGCAAGCATGGGTTTCTGAAGACCTATTCTACCCCGGATCTTCACGGGTCTGATATCACAGTAGCCCAAGTGTAGGTGAGGTCAGAACATTGGAGTTTAACTTCAAGTTCAAGAATATTGCACTTTTATAGTGAAGTGCATGCATGTGTGTGTATAGTTGCTAGTACTAGTCATGACATATAGTGGTAGCCCACTGAAAAACATGAATACCCCATAGACACAGTATACTGATTCCGAGCCGACCAGGCCTTGTATTATCCCCTTAATGCTGAGCTCCAGGCAGGTTGACAACAAGTACCATCTTTTAATGTCTTTAGGTATGATATGGCCAGGGGATTGAAGCACCAACCTTTTGCTCTCCGAGCAGACTCTTGCAACACCACCTAGTCTTCACAAAGTACTTAGAACAAGCAAACCGGTTGTCGATAGTATGTGTATTGCTATATGCCATTGATACTAAATCAGCCAGATCACATACAAGATTGATTTGACCTCACGGCTCCAAAAACCGTAACACCAGATCACCATATGGGTAATCCTTTCGTTATGTCAGATATTGGGGAGGCAAAGAATTTCCTCTGATACCTTTTACTAAGAAAGAAAATGATAGAATGACTGAGAGTCTATTGTGTTTGACTCACAGGTCCCATCCTGCCTGTGTGCTTCATCCAAATCCCTCCACTGGAGCAGGCGGCGGCCATGTTGCCCTCTCCATCAACACACACACACCCGACTGTATCCTGGACACCGCTGCACTCACCACACTGAAACTCATTCATTGAAAGATAAACCACGTTAGCCAGAGTTTTCTATTGTTGAAATGTAGTGAGTGCTCCACTGGAGCAGGCGGCGGCCATGTTGTCCTCTCCATCAACACACACACACCCGACTGTATCGTGGACACCGCTGCACTCGCCACACTGAAACTCATTCATTGAAAGATAAATAGTGTCAGCCAGAGTTTTCTATTGTTAAAATGTAGGCAGAGTCACATCCACAACTGTGAAAACACATTTTGTTTATCAACATTGTCAGTGGTATTTTACATAGCCCTCTCTTTCTCCTCAAACAGCTGTCAGGGAGGCATGACATCACTCTGAAATAATGTGACAGTATGTCAAATGCTTCAGCAACAATATAATCACTGGGCTAGAGAATACAGTGCAACGTACACCATACCTATATTGGTCTGACCAATTAACTACACTAATATAAAATAATTGAGTGTTCTTTAACTTCTTTTGAGTAGTATATGATTAATACAGTATTCATTACACTCTACAGAATTTCACTTAAATAAAAATCGTGAAATACAAATATCATAAAAGTTAGCTTTCCTTTCAATCATTTCCACCATAATAGATAACCTTCCTTTCAAACATTTCCACAATAATAGTAACTTTTCTTTCAAACATTTCAACAATAACTTTCCTTACAAACATTTCCACCACAACAGTAGCTTTCCTTTCAAACATTTCAACAATAACTGAAGCTTTCCTTTCAGAAATTTCCCCCATATCAGTAGCTTCAAACATTTCCACCATAATAGTAACTTTCCTTTCAAACATTTCCACCATTAGAGTAGCTTTGCTTTCAAAGATTTCCACCATAACAGTAGCTTTCCTTTCAAACATTTCCACCATAATAGGTAGCTTTCCTTTAAAATATTTCCACCATAACAGTAGCTTTCCTTTCAAACATTTCCACCATGACAGCAGCTTTCCTTTCAAATGTTTCCACCATAACATCTTTTTCAACATTTCACAATGCTTACCCTTTTTGCAAACACTTGGTGTCATCACATAATTTTCAGTGATCCATTCATATAATTTTCAGAGCTGTTTTACCTTTTATTCCCAATAGATTTGATGGATAATCTATGGAGTTGATGTTTATTGTTTATCATACTTGGTAGCTTTCCTTTTAACCATTTTCTTTGAAATAATGCAAGTAGCAGCCATATTGCTGCCACACATAGCTCAGATACTGCTCATGGTATTCAAGATTCATCTGGTTGAAAACATTTAAATACTGTAATTAGTTGCTTTCAAATGTTTCTTTTGATAAAAGAGACCCTTTTTCTTAAAGAGGGATCTTAATTACAAGACACAAACTTGATTAAGGCTGGAACATTAACAGGTCTTTAGTTAGCAAAAACCTAGTCATGATGATTAGATTACTGGTACCAGCCAAGTCAGGCCGGACCAATCTAAGATGGCTGTTGTTAGTTCATTAGGACAACTAAGTTGATTGCATTCTGGGTAATGATGACTACTGCATGCAGCGGTGATTATGGTGAAGGACATGTACAGAATCTGAAACCTCTTTAGGAATTTGCTGATGTACGAATTCTGCGTGTTTGATGCAATTATCACTGAAAAAGACCAACCAGAGCCTTCTTATTGCATCACAAGTGATAAAAGTTGATTATCGCCCTGTCTTGATTGGGCATTAATCAAATTAATAACATCAACACACAAACATGAAATCAAAGCATGTAAATTATTCATTGACCAGAAATCCTCATTTTATTTTTTGTGATCAATATGTATTATGTACCATTGTATCCCCTTTGTCTTGTGACCATATCACTTTCTTAATATTGACTGATATTTTGCTTGATTTGACCCGTGTTTGCGTTTGAAATGTATACTAACGGATATTTATGTAAATTCCATCACTATGTCCTGAAGTTGTTGTCTGGACACCAATCTGTCTCTTGCCTATTTAGCTTCTTGAAACTTCATCAGTACATTTGTAAACCATAATCAGATGATTTATTTCTAATTATCTGCTGTGTGGATGTAATTTAAAGCCGCACTCAGCAATATTCCAGCTATATGACGGCGGTCTATAAATAATCGAGTCTAGACCAAACAATCCAGTGATTGACAATATGAACATTGATCTACGCAATTGGGATACGATGAGAAGCATCAACCAAGACAGCGAGCCTGACCACCCGATCCTGTCAGTCGCCTCTTATGACAAGCACAGTCGCCTTTTACGGCAAGCATGGGTTGCTTAAGACCTATTCTAACCCGGATCTTCACAGGTCCTGTGTGGATGTGCCAACCCTAAGTTTCACAACTGTGGAATGAAATTAAATATATGAGAACTGTCTTCTTTCCTCTTTATAGTAGTCCACTTTTAAAGCGTATAGCTTCGGGGAATCCCAATATTACAGTCAAGGGAATTCCCTTTCTGCTCACGTGTATCGTCATGCACAGGACATTTAGCGACTTTCATGCATATTCATTGTCCAAACAACCCTTTGAAACCGAAGGCCGAGAATGAATGAAACAGCAAACGTGCAGGCTCGCTCGCCTGTTTTTTTCCCGCTCGCCTCGGTTCAACTTTCATGTCTTCAGGTTTCATTTCCAGCTAGCATTTTTCCAACTGTGTTTTACCATAATCAGGGAAGTAATGTTTGAATCTGGTTGTAACTGACCATGTTATCTGAAACAGCCACCTTCTACCGGACATATTTCATCTGGTTCGTTACAGTCTGACTTGCAGTTCTTTTCGCCACTTGCCTTAATTGACAGGTCCAATGATCATTGTTTTGTTCCTACTCTCAGTTGATTGGCTACTGACTGTGTAGGCGTGTCTAATTATGTGCATAAATTAAACAATCACCTGATTCATGTCACGCCACAGTATGTATTCCTACCTGGAATGTTTATCAATCTCGTCTTGCTACACGGATTCATACAGTTTGCACATCTGTTTTTCGATTCATACCCCAATGAACCAAAAAGAATACACAGGCAATCCTTAAAAATATGAATATATGCTTGAAATGCCACATTACTATCGCTCCCCACCACCCATTGTCATTGGATCAGTGTCCACTCTTTTTCTTACTCAGCTTCATGGGGAGTATACAACCCTGTAAGCTGCAAAAAGGTTAACAGTCACATAACCATCCCATCCTCATGGTACCCTTCACTGCTGGGTGAACAGAGGCCTAACTTGAACAAAGCCACCTGCCCAAGGAGACACCACAGGGTGGGGCAGGACCGAAGTCCTTGAAACTTACAGGAGCCAAGCTGCTGAACACAGTCATCCATCCAAGCACTTACCACCAAGTCTCTTAATGAAAAGATTATTCAGAGTAGAAATCTCAGTCCGACTGTTTCAAAAACAATAACAAGGGATTCTGAGAGCAGAATAGGTTGATCCCCGAACGCGTCATACCAAAAGACATTAAAAGATGGTACTTGTTAGCTGTGTGGCTCTTGACATTAAGGAGCTAAAATAAATGTCATCGGTCCGGACTAGTACAAGCAGCCACACAGCCACAGCCACAGCCAGCCAGCCAGCCAGCCAGCCAGCCAGCCACACACACACACACACACACACACACACACACACACACACACACACACACACACACATGCACACACACATGCATGTTCATTGCTATATAAGTGCAATAATCTTGGACACAACGTTCAACCCTATTTCACCTCACCTCAAGTTCATCCTTTCCTGTCTTCATCCTTTTGTGGGTGGTGTCCTCAGCTGTCTCCTTGTTCCCTGACGTAGATGTCTGATTGGCCAACTTTCTCTTGTACTTCAAGTATGTTCTTCGGGACGACTCTGGGGACAAGAATTAACAATACATTCTGTTATCAAAATATGTACACTTGTCAATCATTTTTTGGTCCCTGGTTCTTAGGGATCAGCCACATCATATTCTTGGGTCGGGTGGGGGTTACATTTAGGGTTGGTGTGGGGTTGGGTTGGGAACTCTGGATCACACCAGCATCCATCAATAAGGACTGATTAATGCACTCTTTGCCCTATTCTTGTGTTCCATTCACCCCTGACTTCAATTTAATTATAATGTACTTCAATGTGAAAGACTGATTTTTCTGAAGTTGAGAAAAGTGATATTTTCAGGGCAGTGAACACAACACTTGATATTTCACTGCAGTGAACATAACACTTTGACAAATTATTTTCATACAAGAGTTACCTCCCTTCAAATTGTCTCCCTTTATCGTAAGTGTCTTGCCCTTACACAAATTGTTGACGTCCGTTTTGTGTTACTTCCACATTGACAATGGTCATTTAAGGAGTTAATATCGCTTCTAGTCATTTGTTATTTTCTCAAAAATGTAAACTCGTCAATCGAAACTGTTCATTTCAGTCTGTATTCGTTCTCTTCAAACAGCGGTCTTGTAGCTGTCAAGAAAAAATGTTTGAAGTTGATTTTCTATATAATCATATCCAAATGTATGATAAAGAATTTTCGTGACCATAAACATTTTTTGAGAATTTTGTTTATTTTTTTACGATTTTGCAAACTTGGAACTACTTTTTAAGTTGCAATTACAAGGGGTGGTGAAACGTCCCTGTGTGTTACATAGGGAGAATTTACGTTTCAAGGTTTTACATCCATGATGGGAAAAAAAAAAATTCTGGTAGAAGACTATACAAAAAGCATATGATAAATAACATATTCCATGTGTCAAATGCAATATCATATCCATCTTAATCTGCATCCAACTGATGTGTGCGAATTACTTCGTATCAAACAAGTTTGTGCCAACATCATCCAGTCATAATCCTGTGTCCAATGGTTATTTCCTTTCAGCATAGCATCTATTTCCCATTCGTCTTTACAACACTACATACACCATATGGTCAGATTCATCTGTACAACTGAATGGTGTTCAATCTCATTAAGGGGGCACGGGTGGCCCAGTCGTCTAAGGCGCCGCGATTTGCTGTGCAGAGTTGCGTCCCTTGGGCGCGCCAGAAACCTATGAATGTGGGTTCGAATCCTGGTTCGCCCCGATGATGTTTCTAGGTTTGTCAGCACCATACCCATGCTCGTGGGTTTCACCGAAGTGGTAAACTTGTGAGACCTGCATCACTTCGGGCTTTCCTCCCACATTAAGCTGACACACCGTGATATAACTGGAATAATGTTAAAAGCGGCGTTAAACCTAACTCACTCACTCATTCAATCTCATTAAAATCAGATTTTAGTTCTCGCTATTGCTAAACAAAGATCTGAGGACATCCAATTACGGGTCACGTCAGAACGACCTTTCATCCGACCAATCAAAGCGTCGCTTACCAGATCCTGAAAGTGACATTCGGAATGTGTTTTCTAATCATGCAACCTCGAAAACGTTAACACGGGGTATTTCCGAACGACAGTTACGGCCCGTACGACTGATCCCGTCAAAATTATTGTCTATCTCTCACTTCTGTGGATAAACATTTGCATGGAGGAGGCATTGCACAGTACGTGGGAAGCACTGCCATGCAATAACAACTATATATTAGACATTCAGGAATGTTCGTTAGTTCAGTTTTTTAAATTTTAATCGAGAACTGTGTCAACATATTTTTCATAGTCTGAAATGGAAGTCGCCAGGTTGAAACGAGTGCCTAAAGCTGAGAAAGCTGTTTTCTAATTGGCTGATGTCGACTTCTTGTAGGTCGTTTCAGTGGTCGGTCAAAGTTTGCTGAAGGTTGTTCTGACATGACCCGTAATGGAATGTCCACAGATGTTTGTTAGCGGCAGCGAGAACGCAGATCTGATTTTAATGAGATTGACAGCGTGACATACTGCAAAATATATTTCCTCATATCATAAGGAAGACATTCAGTCCCAGGAAACATTCTGATGGCAACTTATCTCAGCCTTACTGAATTACAAAATAAAAAAAAATTACCATGTTTTATTTCAAAGCTATAACAAATGGCAGATTATTATTGTACACGTAATGACATCAAAGCATTTCTAAATTAGGAAGTATAGACAATACAATTTGCTTAGAAACATCAAAAACTACATCAGTGTGACAAAGATATATTGATTGAGACACATGTTTTTGCACCATATGTCAAGGGGGGGGGGAGGAGAGGAAAACATCTGCTGTATTGGAAAATTAAAATTTAGCTTCATGTCTGATCCAAATAATAAATGACAGCTGTTTCGCTGATCGGACCTAAACACCTAGTGTAAATAACAGTCCACCTGAACCTACTCCATATGGGAACAAGAGTCTGCACAACTTTCAGACCACACCAGGGGCAGGGGGGTGGCCGAGTGGTTAAACTTGTCACGCAGAAGATCCGGTGTAAAGTCTGAAAGTAAAACCCCCCTTCAAAGTGTACTTGGGTCGATTCTGGGGCCTTCCAGAATCTACCCCGGGATACATTCTGGGAGCTCACAGAATCTACCCCCCTTTCTCAGATGATATCAACCCCCAGGGGTATACTCTGGGTGCACCCAGATCTATCCGGGGGTACTCTGAAGGGGGGGGTGTCGATTTTGGCAGCTTACACCGGGTGTACTCTGAAGGGGGTAGATTTTGGCAGCTTAAACCGGGGGTACTCTGAAGGGGGGTAGATTTTGGCAGCTTAAACCGGGGGTACTCTGAAGGGGGGTAGATTTTGGCAGCTTACACCGGGGGTACTCTGAAGGGGGGTAGATTTTGGCAGCTTACACCAGGGGTACTCTGAAGGGGGGTAGATTTTGGCAGCTTACACCGGGGGTACTCTGAAGGGGGTTAGATTTTGGCAGCTGACACCGGGTTTGATTCCAAACATGTGTACAGAGTGTGTGGCCTAAAGCTGTGTTAAATACACAGCAAAGTAACTTAACCATGCAAGGCCGTAGTAAACTTTTTTTTGACAGGGGGGGGGGGGGGGTCAAATAAAATTCATTTTTTATTCAAATTAACTTTCACAAGGAAAAGTGTTTTCTGTAAAAAATTCAACAACCCCCCTGCCACCCCCGACCCCCACATCTCTCTGTTAGTCAAATATTTACCATGTTTGTATTTGACGGCAATTACCATTCATCTCGCCAATATAAAACAACCATGTTGCACTGAATATCACCCCCCGAGTATAGTACTACGTCCATCAGTCAATACTGACTTGCTGCGAGGCCTGTTCATAGATACATTGTCATACATAGTTACACACTGAGTGAATCGTAGGGAGGCACTTGGTCAAGTCATTTACATGGGCAGTCACAAGCAAGTGCACAGATTTCAACCCAAATGAGTTAAAGAAGGCAGTTGATGGATACAGGCTCCGAGGAATCACTGCGAAATGGCATGTCGGCTGAACAGATTGTGACTACATTGGAGTGATAGGACAAAACCATCAATAACAGCTTGTGTGACATCGTGAAAAACTGTAACATACTATGTAAGTATTGTTAATTAAACTAGATGTCAGTTAGACCTTATAGTTTACTATAGGAATGTACTGGGATGTATCTAGAATTACAAACTAAGAGCCACACTGGGTAAACATTGTTACTACATGTATTAAAATAATGATTTTTTAAAGTTCGTATTTCCTGAACTCTTAGGTATTTTAAGATTGTATTTCGACGCTGCATTCAATTTAACAATATAAAACTAAGTATTAAAGCCTCTTTTAAAGGATTTGTTATTGTGAAGAACAAGTCACCTCTAAAAAGCTGTATGTAGCTGTATGTAGCTGTATATGTAGGATTCAGTTCATGAAGAAGCCCCCTGGAAGAAGTAAATACAGCAATGAATAGTTTGATACTGAATGTGAACTGTTATATGTAAAAGATGTCGAGCATTGAATAGGTTTAGAAAATATAAGGATAGTCACATGTTGAACGATTACAACTTCATAAGAAACAAATATAATGCTGTATGCAGGCAAAAAAGGAATGAATATTTTGGACACAAAAAGCAATATATGGAGAAAACATTAAGAACTCAAAGAATTTCTGGTTTGTGGTAAAAAGTATGAATTGTAAAAACTATGTTCAAAATAATATTAAGATTGCTGACTTTTTTGCACATTTTAAAGATTTCTTTGCCGGACGACTTTCCGAGAATCTTACAAGATGACTGTACCAATGATGATGTCACTAAAGATATTAAAGAGGATATTCTCAATATGCCTATAACAAAAGACAAAATATTAAACAGCATCCATCATTTAAAATGTAACAAATCTCTAGGAATAGATGACACCATTTCTGAATTATTTATACATTCAGGGGATCTACTTGTCCCATACCTAGAATTGTTACCGGTATTTAATATGATGTTTAAAGAGGGATACTTCCCGGAAACATGTTCTATTGGTATTTTAATTCAGCTTCATAAAGCATGTGCTTCTAATGATGTCAACAACTACAGAGGGATAACTCTCTTGTGAATCTTCAGTAAAATATTTACTTTTATTATTAACAAGAGACTTGTGTCTTGGGCCAATATCATGGATAAAATGTCTGAATCACAGGCTGGATTTAGGGAAGGATTTTCAACAGTTGTGAATATATATTTATATTGCAATCTCTGATACAGCGCTATATCAGCAAAAAAAAAAGGGGGGGGGGGGGAAGTGTTATGGATTATTTGTTGACTTCTCTAAAGCATTTGTTTCTATACACAGGTGTAAACTATGGAGATTATTTACTGCATGTGGACTTAGTTCCAAAATGTTGAAGTTATTATGTAGTATACACTGTATATGAAAATGTTAAAACGTGTGTGGGAGACTATGGTTTAATGTCTGATATGTTTGAATGGAAATTTGGCGTCCGCCAAGGATTCATATTGATTCCCTTTTTATTTTCC